GTGATTTCTTGCGCTGGTGCAATCTTTTCAAGGACCTGATGTGAAAGCTAAGAATCACATACACACTTCCAGAAGTTCCAGCAAAGCCATCCCCTCCCGAAGGACCCTCCGCTTGTATCAAACGAGGTAATCAATCGACTCGTCTTTGGCACCGCTATCTTGCAACCATTGATGAGTATTCGCTTTGAAGAGCACTGTTCGTCACCGTATAATGAACGTTGCTATTTCGGCTGATTTTACACTGTTTAAGTGCTCTGGTTTAAAACTGGCATATCATCATGCGGGTTCCTATCAACGTCGGACCGTCTCTATCGGACGACTGATGATGAAGTTTCACGAGCGGAAGCTGTATCTATTCAAAATTCTTCTCCATAGCAGGCTCATGGTGTACTGTGGGCATTTGCGGTGCAGTGGCAATGCACGGTGGCGGAGGGAAAGCAGCACGGGTGGGCCATTTCGTGATTGGGCAGACCTTGAAGTAAGCGCTCAACACAGTCTTCTGCCTGGCAAATCGTCCATACCATTCAAGCGACTTCGCCAGTGTCCAGGGGGCCGCGCAGCAAAGCCTACCAGTAAAGTCTCTTGGATTCGAAGCAGAAGGGGAAAGATTTGTGTAACAATAATGTTTGTCTCGGTCCTCGGAGACCAATGGCAGACTCCGCATGTGACCAGGCGAGACGGTGCAGTAGAAGGAGTTTCTGACATGCTAACAGCGGTGTAAGGGCGTCGAATCGCGAGTAGCATCATGCTCGGCTTTCCGTCCTTAAACGAAAGTTTTGCACAAAAGACTCCGGAAAGTTCCAGAAAGTGAATGAAATATTCTAGCCGAGAGAAGGGCTTAAAGGATTTCCCTGACATGTCGTTCGTACTGGACGTCATTAAAAACCCTTCATGAGCTTACATTTACATAACATAGCTTAGAGCACAGTGAAATATGGTCTGAGGTCTCGATACCCTGTTAATTGCAATATTTAAAGCAGCTCAGGCCACCGCACGTGGAAGTTGTCATTTTAGGCAACACATTGATGTTCTCTTGTGTTGCCGCCGTCAGGCTATGTTTCCTGTGCATTTTTACATCAGGGAGTAGCATAATAAACCTTTCATAACAGTATCCTCGTTTTACCCCTTCTGCTCCGCATCGCAGAGATGTTGGCTCGTGTGGCGGTCCCCGGGCACCAGCAAAGTAACGACCAATTTGCCGAATTTGGTGCATTGCTTGGAATGGCGCAACAGCCTCCGTCCTGCCTTGAACCAGACCCAAACACCATTCTGCTCATCTCTCGACATCGTCGCCGTTCGGCTCGCTCGTCGTGCAGGCTAACCAGGCCAACGTCCAAAGCGGGCTGGGCGTAGTCCGAATCGTTCATCGCACACTTCCGAACCGACCTTCTACCGACAAGCGTGCGGCTATAGCGGCTTTTCATTCATTTTGAACCCAGCACATGTTCAACCATCCTTTTCTCTAGTTCGCCATCAACGAACGTCCTCGGCTCGTCCTCGACTCTGGCGAAAGACGCACCAGCACAGGCCGGCCGAGACTTTGGGGCGTTTCCTAAGCAGTAACCACCGCCACTCCAACATTCACCTTTCCTCTCTCGTTCCCTCACAAGCTTTCTATTCAACGCTGCCTGGCTCACCATCCGAACGTCTTCAGTGCCGATGGCTGTCGTCACTCGCTGTGACGGTCAGTGTCGGCAACTGATCCCGATAGATTGGTGGAGAAGCTCGTTTCGGTCCATTTCTTGGACATTTGGCCGCAGCCAGCAACGACCCTCACGAATACCATCCGTCAAACCCATCCTGGCCGGTTCTGGCGAGCTCGCCAAGCCGCCCCACTATCATGATCTGCTCTACCGCACAAGTCACAGGGAGAGGAGGATGACCGTCTCACCCGCCGACCTGGAGCTCAATCCGGATTTGGCTGGGGTGAGAGGTGTGGAACAAGTCATCGGTCCATACGAGATCGACGAAGGCATACGAACGCTTCCTGAGCGAACATCCACAGAATCGCCGGAGCTTTTCACGGGCGACCTCGACGAGGATGAGCTGTCCCTCCCGCAGAAACAGTGGGGAGACCAGATGGAAGCGTTGCTCGGCGGCGTCCTCGAACGCCTCTCGAGCTCATTTCAGCTCCTCGCAGTTGCCAATGGGAATCCGGATAGGACGTGGGACTTCAACGTGCTCGACAGCCCACGATCCGACACCGTGGAGCTGACCGATTCGGAGACGTCAGTTGAGTCTGACATGTTTCCGATAACCCCACGTGCAGGCTTTGCGCTCGTTCCTGTGCAATACACAGGTTCAGACCACCTGCTGGAGTATTCGTCGCCGCAGCCAAGCAAGCCGCTGAATGCTTCCGCAGTCAGCTTCATCCCATCCGTATGCACACCGCCCCCCGCATCCAGCTCTCGCTCGTCCAAGTCGGACCTGCACTCGCCTTCGCCAAGTCGCGAATTCGCGTTCCCGTCGTTGTGTGCGAACAATCCCGCTGCATCACCTGCCGCGCATAGGCGGTCGCTGTTACTGCAGAAGGACAGAGACGGATTCTACCATCCCATCGACGGCGATTCCTCTTCATTTTCCCCGGAGGATCGTGGGAGCACTCTTGCGTCCACTCAGAGCATGACCCCGAGTCGAGCGTCGGCAGATCTCCTTCCTGCGTTCCTAGCCGATGACCCGAACATGGGTCGATCCAGGGGGCGCAACACGTCGCGGACGAGGGAAATCGTCGACCGGCTGCGGTCAGGACGCTGGAATGGCAAGAAGACTGCGTCGAAAGTGGCGGGTGACAAGTCCGCTCCTGGTGCTGCGCCTGCTGCAGTAAATAAGCAGGAGGATGACATGGATGCTGTGGCGAAGGCAGACCGAAGAGAAGGAACGCTCGACACAGGTTCCGACGTTCAAACGCCTTCCGATGCTGATGGATGGATCCCGGGACCACCCTCTGAGCGCATCCATGTCACCGAGGACGGGTGGATTGCGGGTTCATCAGTGCCATCGTCTTCTCCTTCAAACATCGCGAGCAGCACTAACACCTCCACTCCCGCGCGACCCTCTGCGCGATCACGCGGTCACCGGCACAAGCGCTCCACGAGCACTACGAGCTCGTTCTCGGGTTCGAGCTCGAGCGCCTCCTTCTCGCCAGCCACCTCCGTGTCGAGTTTTGGTCCACATACGCCCCCTAGCACCGCACAGCCGCACTTCCCACCTCCATCCGCGATGCCGGTGGCGCCATTCCCAAGCGCTGCGGTTGGCGGGTTCGCTCCGCCGATGGCGCAGGCGCAGTATCTGCAAATGCAGATGCACATACAACAGGTGCAGGTGCAACAGTGGCAGATGCACGCGCCGAGCCTGTACTACAATCCGGGCGGGTATTCGCCCTATGCGGTGGCGCCTATACCGATGCCAGCGCAGCCTGTTATGTATGGTGCGGGTACCAAAGGATTGAATGTGCTGGGCGTGCAGTGGTGAGTGTCCGAAGTCTGTTAGTGGGAGATAAGAGCTTATTGCCTGTGGTCATAGATCGATATCAAGCACCGCTCAATCACAACCGTGTTGGAATTTCCTTCGTTTTCTGTAGTTACTATCTCCCAACTCTCAGCTATGCTGCCAGCATGGACGTCTTGCTATTCACCTATTTGCTGGTCTCGCTTTTTCACGTAACATCACAATATCCTCAGCTTGAAGCTCACGGGTTTGATGTAGATGGTTCATTCGCCATAATTAACATGATATGCAAACTCCCGATACTCGTCTTCTTGTGTTATACATCCAATGTTGTACGTCTGGAGAATGCGACAATGAATTTGCATTCTGCTGCACAGCGATGTCGAGTACGGGCGCTGCACAACGGTGCCAGAGATGAGTCGGCCGATGCCCGAGCAAAGTATCTCGAACGTGAGCAGACTGATTGATACGAATAATTGCCATGTTTATGGAAGCAGTACGACGGATTTCTACAACAGCACACCAATATAGATAGTACGACTCGACATCAATGTACGGAGATGTTCCTGCTTTATACAGGTTTAGAGCTTCGGATGAACATACATGTACACCTCTGAAAACATAGCCTTGTCAGTACTTTGTTTTGAAAAGGAATCAGCAGTCGTAAAGTTATGGAGACACATCGTCAGGCATCATCGACTCGCCCCTTGCCATCGCCTAGGCGGGATGATCGGAGCTGCTTGGTGGGGCGCCTGGGCGGCAAGGCCGGCCCTCCTTGAGTCCCGTCAGAAGTGAGTTGCGTTCTGAAAGATGGTGGTATCGGACGTGAGGTCGCGCCACGTCGACGACCGATGAGGAAGTCATTGCGAGACAGTGACGATGTGGCTCTGGGAGGATCTCCGGAAGCGGCGAGGCTCTGTAATAAGGCTTCAAAATCCTCCTTGGCAGATAGAGGCACATCTGATCGCGAGCGAAGATGAGAGAGGAGATGTGCACGAGTATACTGGGAGTGTATAAGATCAGACTCAACATTTTGAAAATACGAGTGGCTGCGCTCACCGAGCCTCGGTCTTCGGTCAGATCCACTTGAGGAACGGGGGTAGATTTTCCGGGAAGGGGCGGGCGACGGACCTTGGGCCGCAGAGAGTGCATGCGAGAGCTTGATACGGGCGCTTCGTACTCGGCCGTCAGCGAGATGTCTCCGAACGCACTGAGCGTGTGCTCATCGTCGGTCTCTCCGTCCTTATTATAATCGGCGGCCGGTGACGGCAGATGCGGAGATCGGGCCTTTGTCAAGCGAGGATATGAGGGCAGGCTCCGGGTGGACCGGTGGTTGCGGGTCCTCGCTGGAGACTTTGGAGAGCAAGGATGATATGTGACGGTAATGAATGAGCAGGTCACAGTGAACAGATGAGGTACTCACCTTCTGCGGAGACATGGAGTAGCAGTGGAGGGTTGGGAGATAGGAGGATGTGGTTCTTTGCCACTGTGATAGCCTCCTTTATATCTGTACGTCAAACCGTGGCCACATCCCAAGGCTGCCTTCGCGGAGAGTGAATTTGCCGAACTGGAGTGGCCCATTTGATTGTGATATTCCATCGCTGGCCGCTCTACGCGAGACATGCATTCCGGCAATAAAACGTGTCTGGCCCACCATCAGCCGGTTGTTCTGAAAACGTAAGCCGTTCGGAGAGAACAAGCAATCCGCTCATGTGCCCACAGGAAGTACACGGGATGAGAAAGTCGGCTTCCCGAGCGCATTAGCCAAGTCTGGATGTGCTGGAAGCCCAAGCGAACATTATAAGTTTGGAACAAGACACGCGCTGCACACATGCGCTCGGCTGGCCAGAGAGAAGTGAAACAACGCGGTCACGTGATGCAACGTGTTCAACGCGTCTGCTCTTCAACTTTCCGCAATATCCCTTTCTCGTTTCAATCCCAGTGCCATTAGTCGGACACTTTCAGCTTTGTCTGAATCTGTCTGAATATCTACTACTTGACTTATCAAAAAAGGCCTCACCGCAAACAGGTTTTGACAGGGACTTGGGCTCCGTCAACGTTGGTGATGGATTCACTATCTCATCAGTTCACTACCAGTAAGTCCTTCATGCTTTATCGACATGTTGAACACTTTCATAAATCCGGCAAGGCGAAAGTATCCCGCAAGGCACACTCAATGTTTCAACTCACCGTTTACTCTACCGAGGCGCGCTGTCCCTGCCCGACTCACACCTCCTCCTCGACGGTCTCAGTTTCACTGCTGCTCTAAAGAGGCCCGGGGAGTCAGCGAATACTATCTATGACAGCTCATTTGATCTGTTGAACCACCCTCTTGCGCTGGCTCTCGAGAGCATGCGTGGCCGGCCGAGTCTCCACTTGCTCGGTACCGTCAAACTCGGCGAGGTGTGGATTGATGAGAAGAGTATTGGAGTGGTTCAGTTGTGGGTTGTTAACAATTGCTCCACTGACGTTTGCTAATGATGCCTACAAGAGATGTGCACCCAAAGGCCGCGCTCAGCAGGCTGTATTTCGAGAACGTCTTCTGCCTCGAGCCGATCATTTCGAAGGACGGGAAGAGTGAGTATGGTGTGCGAGTGAGCTTGAGCGACAGCAGTACGTTCTTTTGTTTACTCCTACTGCGTATTGCAACTATCCTCCATCGTAGACGACCCAAGCTCCAGCGATATACTCATCTATGCGCAGCTACAATCATCGGATCTCGAAGAAATCGAAGCAAACCATCTAGACAGCCCATCCACTACGACCCTGCCAAAGATACTTCGTCTTCTCGTTGCTCGCATCCTTCCAGGACCTCCCCCGGTACCTGCTCCACCACGGCCGAGGCCGGACGATCCAACGCCGCGTGTCCCTTCCGTGTTCTCCTCTTATGTAAATACGAAGCACAAAAGAGAAGGATCGCCTTCCACGGCAAAGCGGAGCAAGATTAGGGAGAAGGAGAAGCGAAAGGAGTTTGGGAATGCTACTCATACCTTCGAGAAGGGAAGAGAAACCATGACCCGCCCGTTAAGGCCTCCAAGCTCTGCTGCACCGAACAAGGGCAGTAAGAATGCAGATTTCAAGGTTCCTCAGGTACCTCGATTCGTGGGAACCTCATCCACGCAGCGCGACGAAAGGAAGCGAATTAACACGCCGAGAAGTATGGCTGAAGCAACGTTCGACATGTTCGCCGTCGGCGACTCGGTATCATCCCCTGACGAGCAGGAGAAGACTAACAAGACGGTCAGCTTCATATTTTAACGGTTCTTAACTAAATTAAACCGATTGCAGGTCATCAAGAAAGCCGTCGTGCGCTGCCTCGCGGACCATGCCATCAACAAACAGCATCCAGAATTCAATGATATCTTCGGGCATGTGTACCAGGGGACGTGTTTTGCGATGGTAAGCCGCTTATCCGCCCTCCAGATTGGTGTTCATGATGTCTCCAGAGAGCGCAAATGCGCAATGTGCCGGTGGATTTGTGGAATGTTTACAAGTTCGTGGATGCACATGCGAAGATGTACTTGCACAGTGGAAGCGAGGGCCCTGGGCCAACATAGCGTTCATAGAATTCATGTATTGGACGATGTAAGTGATCTTTCTGGACATTGAGAACGATAATTGAGACAGACTCAAGAGGAACATGAAGGATTGAGAATGCCGCCAGGATGCATCCGCGATTACTTGATAAGCCACAGCAGGATGTACTCTCACCTGCAGTTTCCTACGGATGTTTTTATTTCTATTGCCGCCCGCTCTATGTGCTGCTATTGAACCTCGAGGAGTTGCTCAACATCATCCTAGCCAGCACTACAAAGAGTGCAGTGATTTCTCTTTTGAAAAAGGAACGGAAGTTTGTGGTTTTCTTTAACTCTCCCCTGCTGCGAGATCCTACCATTTTTAAATTAATAAAGGCAATTTGGTGCAAATTAGCACCCAGAAAAGGTACCAAACGAGCCTTTTCCATTTTTGGGAAATACTGAATTATTCATTTCAATTTTGATGTCTGTCCTGCAGCTCGGAGAACCGGTACTTTCTTTGCTGTGCACGTAAAAGGTCTTTATGGGTTCAGCATGTATACATCATAAACATGCTAACATGATATGCCATAGAAGCGATCTCAGGGCATATGTACATAGGTCAGCGTTCATACCGCGTTCGCTAAGCGTTTGTCACGGCGCGAAACCATCTCACGTCTACGTCTGCTGCAGTCTCCCGTGGGCAAACTCGACAGAACCCCCCAGGCTCCGGATATCCTCGTCTGACGTCTGCATGCTATGGCGGAACACGTCGATCTGTCTCAGAGGCTCGATTCCTGCTTGCCAATCTACCCTGGCGATCCACCCTTCAGCTGCTGTCCCGCCCTGACTCTCGCGAAGGACGGCGTGAACGTCCATGCGATCTCCATGGGATCCCACACCGGCACACACATCGACGCGCCTTACCATTTCGTCGACGGGGGCGCACGAGTCGACGAGATACCGCTCTGGCGCTGCATCGGGCCAGCACTGGTGGTGGACGTGACCGGCAAGCGAGCCCGAGAACAGATCTCATGGGCGGACTTGCAGCCGTTCGAAGACAAGATGCGCGAACGTACCGGCTTGAGCGAGGGGCTCATTCTGCTGATACGTACGGGATGGTCGCGCTATTGGGGCAGCTCGGCCTACTTTGACCACCCTTACGTCGATAGAGACGCCGCCACACGGATCGTCGAGCTCGGTGTGAAGGCTATCGGGATCGATACTCTGAGTCCTGATATGACCTTCACGGACCCGGATGTGCATGGAACGTTTGATGTGCATCATATCATACTTGGCGCGGGAGGTGTCATCGCGGAAAACCTGGCGAATTTGGAGAAGATCCAGGAGGGTAGTTGGATCGTCAGCATGGTCCCACTCAAGCTTGCCGGGTGCGATGGTTCTCCGGTCCGCGCCTTTGCGACACCACGGGCGGTCTCTTGAACACGACATCATTGCAAGTGCTCCGATTGCCAACGGTTCAGAACACAAGGCTATACCTCTTAATCTGGGTGCAGAACATGTCGTAAACCGAGAGACCCTGGTGGACTTGGATAGGGCTCAGGAGGGCAGTTGAATCATGGCCCATGTCCCCGGTGATATATATATATTGGCTTAGATGCTGTTGACGTGGCAAACGCGTGGTTCAACACCTGAACGCGGTGGTCTCATCCTTGCACAAAGGTCTGCGTAATCACAGGAGAATGAAGGACGAAAGAGGATCATTATGTACGTTCGGTGCTAGCTCGCGACTCAACCCAAGGCTAGAAGCCTCCGTCACTACATTCATACAATTTACGAAAAATCGGCGGACATTATCTTATCTACGGTTTATACCAGTGGCACCGGAGCGCGGCATTGATATACTGGCAGCATTTTCCAGCCTTTCCAGCATGAAGATATCGTGTTCTTTGGCCATAATCGACCTTCGGTGGACACCAGGCGCCCACTGATCAACTAAGCTATCGTTGAGCATGCTTGAATACCTCCCCTTGCCATCTGCATCTGCCCAATCGAAGTCGACCAGCATTGCGCGCCCAGAAGGCAACAACAGTATGTTTGGTGGGCGCAAGTCACCAAAGACGATATTCTCGGCGTGAAGTAGCGCCACATCTTTCTTCACGTCAGCGTATACGGTCTGCGAAATATGATTCCAACAGAGCTCGAGAGGCTATCCATCGTGGATGCGGTCCATCACGACCATGCATAGGCCTCCGAGGACCTGAGAGCATGCATGGAGGGCTGGAGCCAGACCCTTCACAGCAAGCAAGCGATGGGCTTCAGGGTTGTAGCGCTTGGTGGACTTGACCAAAACCTCCCTTTCAGCTCTGACGACGGGTTCGCACCAACGGGAGGTGGTTGCGGCATCATCGCGAGGTAGAGACCGTGACAACGCTCTGCGTCAGTCTTTACAATTTCAAGAGCCTTGTTAGTGCGGGAGAGCTTGCTCTTGAATGTTAACCTGGGCAGGGTCCTCCCCGAAACAGGCGTCGGGTCTGGGAGGACGACTGCGGTCAGATCTGATGGTGTGTTATTCCGCGCCTCCTCATAATGTTCGCGAATCTCCTTCGCGGAGACAGCGAGAACATGGAGTATACGCGCGAGCTGCAGGACGTTCTCCTCGCCGTCGAATCCGAGAAGAAGGCCTAGCGAGACCAACTTGTCAGCATAGATGCCGTCCGTGAAGATCGCAGCGGAGATCTCGAGGCGGTTTGCCATCGTGCCGATGAGAATGATAGGGCAATTGGAACACTGCATGACCGCCCGGTACTAAAAATGACTGCGTCAGCTAAGACCGTATTTATAGAGTAGGAGCTGACAAGCGCACATCAGGTAATGTCAACATCTTCCTATACATAAGGATGCCCTGAAGCGACGCGTCGTCCTGGCCGTTTTCGTTTTTGCCTTCGTATACAACATAAACGGGCGTACCCCAGCGAGTGTCGGGGCGGCTTTCTCGTTTAAAAGCCGATGTTGCCACTGGCCCTCCGCTCCCAAGACGTCGTCGATGATGGTCTTGAGGCTTGTCTCCCGATCCATCTCCCCCTCGTGGAAAGTTGCGAGCACGATATACTCGTGGCTATGCCTAAGGTACCAGGCATTGGGCTCCACACTGTCGAGATGCTGGAGGCGATCACTCAGCCGAGCCAATTGGGGACTAAAAACCGAGGTAGGAGGCCCATAACTCAGCGCGGGTCTGCCGGCATGGACGACATTGTAAGCCGCCTCGATGTCTTCGGGAGTGCTCAAGCTGCGTTTAGCAATCAGTTGTCAAAGGAGCATCTGAAAGTACCTTCTAGCACCGCCTTGCCTTTAACAGCGGAAAGCTCGTGGACCCTATCGCGCTCTTCCAAAACTAGAGGAATATATAGGAATGGAAGCAAGCGTTAAGTTTCATGGTGTAGATCGCCTGTATAATCTCACACCTGCGGCAGTTAGAGCCGCAAGACGGACGGATTCGATATCCGGTTGCTGCTCTCCAAAAATACTCTGAATCGAGTCGATTAGCATATGTGGCTGCAAAGAAGCCAATTTATCCTGAACTTTGAAGTCGTTCGTGCAGGTCTGTGAATGGCCGTATCTTCACATCGAGAGGCTGATTTGTGCATGAGCGAACGGTAGAGACATCGTTACAGAGTGCTGTTCACAGCAAAAATCTTGATATCATCGCGGCCGATGCTCTGACATTCGAGCTCGAATTTGTGTCTTTCGCAGATGAGGTCTTTGACATCAGCGAGCCGCACTGTTGGTGTAACCTTGAGCTTGACGCATTGAATAGAGAAAGGGATGCCCGGGTCAAAAGGACATAGACGAGTTCTAGACGAGTTCGATATCCACGGTAATCGCGATTAATCAGTGACCTTTTTTTTTTTGGCATTTATTTCTATCCCGCGCTATGTGCGGCGTTTAAAGTAGGTGTGGTACAGGAGCTGGCGTACACTACAGCGCGACGCATCTCAGGGGAGGTCAGTGACCTCGAGGTTCATGTTCAAGCTCTGGTATGCAACAGAATCTGCTATATTGCCATAGAATTTTATCAGTATTGAGAATATGTATCCCAGAGCTAGGTAAAATATGCGATAACAATATATGACGTCAACAAATCAAGCCCTAGATTTGTAATCTTCTGCAACACTGGTTGGGACAGGTATAAATCCATTTTACAAAGGCAAAATGGCACCAGTTGACATTTGCCACACATATTACAGCGTGAAAAATTGCACTCCGTCTGCAGTGTCTGCAGGGATCTTCGTGCAAACATGCAGGCAACTAATAGAAGTGCCGTGTGCGGGAAATTTGCACAGGTGGCCGGACAGAGTCCTCGCGGTGCTGATATGTTCATGTGGTCCATAACGGCATGCAAGAGCAAACAAGGATCGATTGTCTAGGGCTGAGCGCTGAGCCGCAGTCATTTCCGGATCGTGTAATAGTAACAAGCCCAGACTGTCGTAGAATCGTAGAACTGGCACTGCCCAAGTATGACGATCTAGCTCACGCACACCTGCGTAAGATTGCAGTGCTCTCCATTCCGGCAGCAGTGACACGCATGTATCAAGGTTCTAAACAGAGCATCGCATTTGGATCCGAGACACTGCCCAGCATCGCCGCATCGATTAACGAAAACGCCAGTGTTGAGCATATAACTCAACGCGGAAAAGGACAGCGATCAAGAGCTTAATACCCACGTACGCAAATAGCCCTGAAGGCATCAGAGAACAATTCACCGACTGTCGCGCGGCGCGTGTCGCGATATAAGCAGCGCACAATGGTCGGGGCCATAGCAACTCATCGATGCACGCGGCGCCCTGCAACGTGCCTCATGTCCGGCGCGTTGCGAATAATTAGGTGTGGCCATTGCAGAGCGGGCCATGAAGCGCAAGCCGGCTAAGCAGGCACTGCAAACACAGCAACAATATGCTATTGTCGTATTCCGCTCATCGTGTCCCTATAATAACGTGCGCGACAGACTGAGCACTACGACCGACTCCATGGAGCGAGAGACGACTCATGAAATGAAGATCCCTACGATTATTATCACGCCCCCTTTACCATCACCGACTGCATTACCGAACTGCATGCTGGCTGCTCTGGAGACGGTGGGTTCTGGGTTCTCATATCCGTGCAGTGCTGGCCGCTGAAGATCGCCGAATAGATCGCATGCCCGAAGGCTACCGAGGCTACCCACCTATCCGAGAGTGCACGGAATGCCATCATCACAGCAAACAAAAACGAGCTGTACAGAAATGAAAGCGAGAGAAATGACAAGGCTCTTCCGATTCCGCGAGCTACAGAAAACGTCACTCGCACACTCAATACCGACAAAGGAATGTATAGGAAGAGCCATCCCGCTGCGGGCTCGACATCCCAAAATTGCGAGGATGACAGCGACTGGGTCATCATACCTTTCGTGCGTGCTCGACCGGGCGCTTGGAGTCTACCAAACGCGAGCTACATGGCGCATGCCGAGGAGAGCACCCACACAGCGCTGAATCGGCGTGACGCCTCGTGCAAGCATGATCAAAAGAGCACGCACCGCACCACAGTCAGTGACGGAACATTAGCTGATTCCGCGACACATCCTCTGCCTCGGAGGATCCCTCGGAACCACCGCAGGCAAGGCAACGCAGAGTGGCGCTACGCCATCTACATCAGCTCTGCGGTCTGGCCGACGGGATCTCGTCCCATTGGCCACAAACATTTCAATGCAGGACGTCTTTTCAAGCTTGGTCCCGGCTGAGCTGAGGCGAACGAAGCACTGACAAATCTTGGAAGGCGCTCGGGGCCTCGTCGTTGACCGCGTCTTTGGGACACGAGAACCCTACGATAGAGTAGCCACGGTTAATCACCGAGACTGCCATGAAACAGGAACGGTAATGAATCGACTACTGTACATCATGAGCTGAGTCAGCCGCTCGTACAGGACATATATTATGCGTAAGGACTATTCAAACATACCGCGCAATGTATGCTAGTGCGTATGTTGTCCTGAGCTAGGGGTAGTTCAGCCCAAATCCTGCCATTGGTCTATTCAAAGTGTACAAAGGCAATGGTCGACTGTGTCGGGCACGAAATTTGAATACACGAGTAATCAGAGAGAGCGGGACGACTATTTCCAACGGGGTAATTGCTGCTTTCATGCTGGCGGACGACGTCGGAACATTTGCACCACTGTCATGCGGGTAGGCTCTACGACTCGACGCGAGAAGGCAGGGGACAGATAGAGCGAGAGTCCGATTCTCACTGGTAGCATCATCTATCGAGGACAGATGTACGATAGTCATTTTAAAAAACCCCTCGCTTGTTGGGAATAAAACGTACCTTGGTGATCCCATACGCAATTACGGCATTGACAAAGTCCCCAGCTGCTCTTTCAGATACCCAAGTTCCCCAGACATCGCGCCCATCTTCTGCATTGACAGCGACGCTCGCCCCATCCGTGTTCTTTGAGCTCTCAAAGCCAAAAATACCGTATCTCCTTCCCACATGCTCTGCCCATCGCATGCCTTCAACTACCGATTCCCTGCCCCTCGCTACCATCCAGCCTACTTCCGCCGATGAGGCTGGATCGGGTGATTCGAGAACGCTTTCCGCCTGTTCGGGAAATGCGGCAAAGAGCCTGTTCCCTACATCGAACGTCCGCGCAAGGAAAAAGAAACCCGTAAACGGAAGAATGGCAGTAAGCTCGTGTAGTACAGCGAACGATACGATCAGTGAAGAAATGGGTGTGCGTGTTCGCTCCGCCAAGGTGTTAAGTGCTTGTCTGTAAGGTGAAAAGCGAGATTGAGGGGTCAATGGAGGTTGAGAGGCAGTGGAAAATCTCCTAGCAGTATGTACAGCGGCAAAAGATGATCGATCGCTTCTTTGCAGGAAAGGGTGCTGAAAAATGTGGGAAATTGTAGAGAATGTACAGGACATCATGACTGTATGCGGGCACCAAAAAGCTTCTCTCAAATTTAAAAGAGCAGGGTGGTACACATATAAGCAAGCTCGGAGGAAAGTGAGTAGATGATGGAAACGGGAGAGAGACAGAGCCTTGCCAGCCAGGCCACTTAGCGCGCAAGGAGCGCGTCTATTCCCAAGGTATTGCACGTGATCGTGAATCGATCAGTTTAACTCTCAGCCACTGACGCGTGGATTCCTGCGCTCTTTCTTCTTGCTGACGGTCTATTAGTTCTGTCCAGCGACCATTTTTCAGTATACCTGGCAAAGTCATGACATTAACATTGGAAACTCCCCTTTCTTTCCCTGCCTTTCCTTTTGTCCCATACGAGATCCAGCTCGAACTGATGCGGCATTTGTACGGCGCAATAGAAGGTAGAAAGGTGGCCATCGTGGAGAGCCCGACGGGAACTGTGCGTCACAAGATCGCTGTTATTTCCTGATTCCGAATTGACAACGTTTCTGGCAGGGAAAGACTCTTAGCCTATTATGTGCATCATTGACTTGGCTAGGTGACGAGAAAGAACGAGCACAGAGAGGTAAACTGGCCGAATATACGACTGGAGATAACGGTTAGTTCATTTTAACTTGCTTGTTTGAACTGAAGCACGAAATACTCCGAGTTCAGGACCTGACTGGGTTTTGGCTCAAACTCTGGAACGTCGCCAACGTGAGCTAGAAGCAGAAGAGCGGGAATCTGCTGAACGACTCGCCAAAGCTCGGAAAAAAGAAGCGAAAATGAGGAAGCTTGCCAATGGCAGAGTGAAAAAGAAGCTTGTAAGAAATACATTCAACCTTCGCATTTGGGATGTAAGTTGATGCACCTCAAGAAAGCGGCAGCCAGAGAAGAGGCAATAGAAGATCGAGAAGATAGTTCATACCTACCAGATTTGGATGATATCACATCTAATGATGAGGACAATGAAATGAGCAACGTATCTCCGGAGGTTCGGCGATTAATGCACATGTAAGTACCGAAGTAGATTCACCGGAGTGCCACTCAATCCCGGCAGTTAGACTACAACGAGGTGCGAACACTCAAGGCATTGATGCAGAAAACGAACCAGTGTGCACCAAGATCTACTATGCGTCCCGAACGCATTCTCAGCTTGCACAAGTTCTGCACGAGTTGCACAAACTACGCATTGCATTGAATGTTTCCATAGCATCCTTGGATACAAATTCTCCGACAGATACTCTGAACAGTTTGAAACGATCTTCATCGCAGCTGGAGGAAAACGACTACGACGCAAAGGAAGGCGCTATCGCGCGTACGGTATCGCTAGGTTCGAGAAAGCAGTTGTGCATCAATGAGGACTTGCGAAAGCGGACAAAGGATCTCGACGAGGCGTGTCGACAATTGCTTACAGGTGCGAATGGTTGGACTCAAGGGTGCATGCAATAACGTTACTGGTTAGAGAAGGGAAATCGTAGGTGCCCATACCTCCCTCCTCCGGAGGAGGATTCCCACATGCTTGATCTACGTGATCAGATTTTAGTATGATTCTCTGCAATTTTGATGTCGGTACACTCATCGCTCCCTGCAGGCCACTCCAAAGGACATCGAGGATCTACTTGTGACAGGACATAATGCCGAGACATGTCCGTACTTCGGCTCGCGACGAGCCATTCCCCAAGCTCAAGTAAGTGAAATTACCATTCCAATTCATGCTCGCGCACGCCACTCACCACGCAAACCTGTTTATGCTATGCCTTGGTGTCATATGTGATTCACAGCTTGTGTTGCTACCGTATAATCTCCTACTCCAGAAGTCTGCCCGAGAAGCACTTGGAATAGATCTCACAGATCAGGTCGTTATCATCGACGAAGCGCACAGTCAGTCGTCTCCATACACCGTCGAGTGTCTTTAGTGATTGTACCGACAGACTTGATATCGACTCTGCTATCGCTCGGTACAACCCGCCTATCCCTGCGCACCCTGTCAACTGCACGCCAGCAGCTCTCCGTCTACGTGTCCAGATTCCGCAACCGCCTTACAACTTCGCACGCCCTGCACCTCATTAGATTGACGGGGCTGCTAGATGCCCTGCAACGGTATGCCGAGGACTGGAGCACAGGACAGGCACATAGCAATGCTCGATCAGATATGCAAAAGCCCGACATGAAACAGCAATCTGGGGTCAAGAAGCAGGACGCTAAGCTGCATGTTCCTGGCGTAGAGGTCTTGACACCAGGGGAGCTACTGCAGAGACTTGGTCGAAAGACAGAGGGTGTGAACCTGCTCGAGGTCGAGACCTATCTGCGCAAAAGCAAGGTGGGATTTGAAGACCGTCATTTGATCGCGAGGCTTAATGTCTTGATGTCCGGCAGATAGCACGCAAGATATCAGGATATTCGGTCAAGGCACTGGAGAGAGCAGCCGGCCAAGGTTTGTAATTTCCGTTGCGATATTCAGTGGCATCACGGTCTGTCGTGCTGTTTCCACAGACCCTGTAAAGTTGGCGAAGATCGCTCGGCTCTCCAACACTACACCCCCTCTGCACTCCGTGGAAAGCTTCATCACAGCGCTCACGGCGCCAAACGATGGTGGGCGTCCCCCCTCCCCCTTAGACCTGTATTCATTCACTCTTCTGGATCGCTCCCAGATGGAAGAGTCACTCTGTCCCTCGTAGATGGTCAAGTGGAGCTGAAGTATCAACATCTGAACCCCGCTACTCACTTCCGTGACGTTGTTGACGTCGCTAGATCTGTAGTATTGGCAGGCGGTACCATGTCGCCCGTGAGCTCCACTGGGATGCCCTCTCGTTTCCTATTCGGCTAACGCCACTTCCGGGCTGCCAGATCTCTGACGTAGTGAACCAATTGTTCTCAACGCTACCGAGTGAACGCTTATCCACATTCTCATGCGGTCATATCATCCCTTCAGCAAACCTACAAACGCTGGTGCTCAAAAAGGGTCCACGGGGTGGCGACCTGCAGTTCAAGTATGAACAGCGTGGCAACCAGGCAATAGTACGCGTGTGCACTTATCTGCGCAATGCTCGCTAAGACGCTTCGGGTTATACAGATTGCCGAACTGGGGCAGGTTTTAGCAAACCTGGTTAACATCGTGCCCGCAGGCATGGTCGTATTTCTCCCGTCATATAGCTTCCTGAATGCTGTCACGATTGCTTGGGAAGGCAGTGGTTTGATGGGAAAGTTCAGAAGCAAGAAGAAGGTGAAGGGGTTCTTGGTAGGATGTGACAGATCCTGAGCTAATAACCACGATGCACAGGTGTTTTCGGAACCTCAGGATAGCGCACAGGTGGAGAGCATCCTGAGGGACTACGCGGCAGCAATCCAGGCCGCAAATGTAAGTTTCTCTTGAGTTCAAGTATCAGAGGATGCAGTGATCAACATACCTCTCAGAATTCATCAGCGACTTCCTCGGGCGACGAGAAGAGGAACGGTGCATTACTGTTCGCAGTCATCGGCGCGAAGTTATCGGAGGGTTTAAACTTCACGGACGATCTTGCACGTGCGGTCGTCATTATTGGACTTCCCTTTGCCAATCTTGCATCCCCTGAACTTCGAGAACGTATGAACTACGTCAACAGAATATCACAGAAGCCAGCCAGTGTGAACATCGCTCCCGGAAAGGATGCAGCGACAGAGTTGTATGAGAACATGTGCATGAACGCAGTCAATCAGAGCATTGGTGAGCCGTGGACACGTTGCCGCAGTTATCGATGGTCGAATTTCATCCTCATGTTCTTTCGTCTGTAGGGCGCGCCATACGTCATAAGAACGATTGGGCATCACTTATTCTTGTCGATGCTCGTTATGCCTCCACTCGCATCAGGAGCAAACTACCCAAGTGGATCGAACAGAACACTGTTGTCACGGAATCCTTTGGAAAAACTATCAAAGAATTGGGCAGATTCTATAGAGATAGGAAGGCGAGATCGTCGTGAGGCATGAAGCTTCGAGACGTTCTTGGTGCTCCATATCGCGTTGATGGAGGGGATTACAGAGGTGAAACGAAGAGGATCTTACTGCAATTGTGGACGGAAGATTCAGTCAATGCTGACATCATAGACGAGGTACCAATATAATTGAGCCTGTAAATGGCGATTGTACTATGAATGACTGGGCCCACGACTCTCCAAAGCTTTCGAGTCATTCGGAACGAACCGTGAGCTACAGCGCCATGGGTTCAATAGATGCGCCCAGAGTCGCGCTCAATTGCACCCCACCCTTGTCGCTGACAATCGTCGCAGTAGTACCGTATGAGATTCTGGATGCGTTGCACTTCCTCATATACCTAGACAAAAACGATTGAGAATGTGAGTGAACAATTATGGTCAAATACATACCCTCGGGCAACCACAGTTCTCCGAGGAATGCATATGAGCCTTGCTCAGACCGCAGGTCGGTGACCCGCAATCCACCGTGTTGCCACTTTCGAAGAGTTTCACGTAATGCTGACGAGGAAAGTCAGCCACGGCACCATCCAGGTACATAGGCGGGTTGCTCACGTTGCATGGCCCGTAACGGTGCTGATTGCCCCAGCTATGAAAGACGCATCAGATGTTATCGCGTCCTCAGTTGAGAACGGTCAGTGCGACCAAGGCTCACCATTCCGCTTTGCACATGGTAGAATGTAGGCGTAGGTTCGAAAAAAAAGTGTAAAAGTCGATGTCGAAGCAAGTAGCAGATTGCACAGAACGTCGGTCTGGGGGCTTACCATCGCTCGCCATGGTACTTATACATCCTTGAAATGAAAGGCGGCAGACTGAATACACTGACTGCAATACTTAATCAACCGAAGCAACTCCTCAAGGCCTGCCGATCCTAGCATGGGCGGCAAATCCGAGCACTGCATGAGCCAAGGAACCGGATCTCGTGTGATATCTGCGAAGCCAACGGATCGGAGGGCGGAGCAGATTGAGCGGACAAATGCCCGAAGAGGGCACGATCAAGGCACGTTTTGGAGGCCGATGGAGTTCGCGGACGTACGCGAGGTGGCCAGCTAGCATCTCGAACCAGTTCACCCAGCGTAGCGCACGTGCAATGCGGCATTCATCAAACCATGCACAACCGCCTAGCGACTACCTGGCCTCCGAAGTCCTGCCCGAGCTGTTCTGTAAGGTGGGCGGTCTGCGCAGTATATGCTCGTGTCAGCATGGATGATTGTTACGAGGGTAGATTGAATGGTTTCAGCGTAGCCCGCTTGTCGCCGTGCTAGCCATCTAGATGAATTGTAGACGTCATCGTCCAGACATCAAGTGGGAACAGGGGAGATGGTGATCAAGCCATATTGAGCAATGCGAGCCGGCTCTGTGATTCTTGTACATGTCCTATACGTCCGCTTTTGCGCAATTGTTCAGCATCGACCGGCTGACGTCTTCTCACCCGAAGATGAAGCAGCGCGCTTTGACTGAGGATAGGGTTCGCAACTCAAGCACTCAAACGGCACGGAGCCCATGGCCAAAGCTCTGGAAGGCCCGCCGCCGAAGCCAGCACAGCTTTATGTCTTCTCGGCGGGTCAAGAATCGGCCAGACGGTGGTGCGGCCCTCAGTCCGAACAGCGCAGCACAGAAGCAAGGCATCCAAATGCGAGCTGCAACATCAGCTGCATCGATAATATTGCAAACAACACGTACTGATACACAGGCGAGACACCGCTCGAACGCTCAAAAGAGCATGCAAGTCGCCTTCCAACACCGTTAGACCTAAACATGCGCATTCCTCACGCCCCGCTGCCACCGGCCGCATCACACGTGGATAACGTACGCGTGGTCAAACGACCTGCCTGCACTGAAGCGGTTCAAGTCAGAACCAGTGCCACGCAGCGAGCGACACGGACATCACTTACATTACTCGCTTTCTTCACTGTGGATACTCGTAGAAGCCCTTGCCACTCTTCTTGCCATACCAACCTGCATCCACCATGCGTTCGAGGAGAACGCTCGGGCGATACTTTGAGTCACCGGTCCCCACGTATAACGTCTTCTGAATTGCAAGGCATGTGTCCAAGCCGATGCTATTGTGTATAACCAACGTTGTGAGGAGTCGGGGAAAATATAAAACAATTGAATTGAATCCGCGGCGAGCCGTAAGCGACGAGTTTCAAGGAGGAAGAACATATGGGCGCCACAAGGATGCGTTGATGCGGGTAAAGTTTCCGTAAATAGGCCGCAGAAGTGCAGCGATCGATATCAACGGCGACAACGGTGCGTAGCAGGTGCAGAGGGAGATTAGCGATAGGGGTGAAAGAAAAATAGGGTCAGAACTGTCGCAATCGAAATGCGAGTCGCACACCCACAAGTCAGCTGTTAGCGTGTGAGCACTCAGTAATTCAAACGTCATGGCAAGGCAATGCTCACCTAGCTGAAGCGGACCCATCGGATGGTTCATGCCGAGCTTTAACGTCTTGTCAATATCCTCGCGCGTTGCGACACCCTGCCAGAACAAACCGCACACGTAACGTCATGGAGATATGGAAGAGTGATAGTATAAAAAGCGTACCTTCTCGAGACACATGATCGCCTACAGTCGCAGTAAGTAGGAACGCAATCAGCGGAGTTCGGAACCGAAATCATGATACACAGAGGCCCAAGGGCAGGAGGTTCGCGATCGGGATCAGGTGGCATGAAGTCCGTGATATTTCGCACGTACCTCGTTAATGAAAGGCATGAGGAGAGCATTCCCCACAAATCCTGGTACGTCCTTCGACGTTGTCACCTCTGGAAGTGTTTCATGAACATCTGAGACAGTTGTGAAATGCCATGAAGAAGTACCCTTGCCACATGCGACCGCAAATGCTTTCGCGCGATCGACCGTTTCTTGGGACGTTTGAATAGCGGCAATTAGTTCAACGAGTTTCTGATCGTTATCAATTATGCATGGTGACCCGTGCACACGGAACGTTAGGGATGCACATCAATGCGAACTGTATACCGGAAATGAAGAACACGAACCATCACTGGGACCGGGTTAAAGAAATGCAACCCTGGGCATCCGTTGACATCGTTGACATTATCAAAGAATGAACAAGGAATCGGCTTACCGACGACACGACCGGCACTCCGTTTTGCGTCCTCATCTGCGGCATTCTTCCCTTCAGGGACTGTTGCTGCAGCAATCTTCGTAATGCTAATAGAAGACGTGTTGGAAGCAAGGATAGCGGTCGGTGGGAGCTCTGCAGCCAGATTGCGGAACAATGTCTGCTTCACTTGCAAGTTCTCCGATACTGCCTGACATGGCAGATGAGAATAGATTGAAAGGCGGACAAGGCACATTCCGCACCTCAATGACCATGTCAACGTCCCGCATGCCCGACACGCCCTTATCCACATCGATTGTCGACACGCGTTCTCGCGCCGCTGTTGCCTGCTCCTGGGTGATCTTCCCTTTGGACACGTCCTTCGCCAGGAGTTTGTCCATGAATTTGAGACCATTCTGCACCTGACTAGCTGAGCGATCGTACAGCATCACAGGTACACGAGCGTGCAGAGCTGATACATAGGCGATTCCGAGACCTTGAGATTAATGCAATTGATCAGACAGGCGTAGACACAGGATGCACGAGTACCTACCCATCTGGCCCGCGCCGAGGACACCAAGAGTGCGAATGCCATGAGCAATAGACATACCTGCTCGTCGTCGTTTTCGTTCGCAATGAAGCTCTCCAGCTCAGAGAATAGGCGGAATATATTATAGTCGTTCCCCGCGAAGGCGAGGTCGGGTGCAGGGCGCATCACGAGGACCCCGTGGTCAATGAAAATGGCATGATCTCCAACTTTCAGAAAAATAGTCGAAATCTTGGGAGAATTCTAGCCAAATGCAGTAGTATTGTGTTCCAAAGAAAAGGAAAAACAGTCCACAAAATGGTTTTCTCACGATCAGGTTCTCTGTTGCATGCGGGGTCTTCCGGCGGTGTAAGTAGCCGCGTACCTTATGATTGCCTTCTTGGGGCCCCGCGGGGAATCCCCGCATAATGAGGCAGTCAGGGCGGGTCCCGGAGCACCCGCTACGAGGCATTGAAGGTAAGCAAGTGCTGTTCGCATTGCATGAAAAGTCGTTGTCACAAAACAAGCAGGCCTATCTGTAGGTTAACCATATACATTATGAGAGCCTAAGGTGCCACGGTGAGATTCTGGCACCTCGTATCAGACCCTGCTGAACGGTTGAGGACAGCACTGCTCAAACCGTAAACGATGTGACTCGATCTAGGATTTCTTGTCGTGTTCAGGGAAGCACAGCTACGACGGAAGAACATCGTGACTGAAAAGGAGTATTGTCATTCACACATAATCCATGCGCACACTGAGTCAGCCGTTGATGCAGCCATGGCGGCCTCTACGATGGTCTTCATAGCCTTTCAATATTTTCTCTTTGCCAACTTAAGCTGTTCAATGACCCAGCACGGATGCGGCAGCCACAACGAATCGCAGAGATCATATGGTGTTGACCGACCAGATAAAGGCTGGTGATAACGCGAGATTGGCGCTGCTATAGAACTCGTTTGAAATACTTCATTAATTTCAACCGAGAAGAGACAAGCTTCAAGGCTTCACGGCGATAAGAACCCGCTATCATCGCATTGGGCATCGAAGAGGAGGAGTCAACCGTGGAACTCGTATATTTCTAGGATGGGTTGTATTGCGTAGGAACATCCCCGGAGTCCAACATAACATCATGAACAACGGCCATCAAAAGTACCCCAATTTCATCTCATGAAGGTATATACTGTGGATTATACCGCATTCTATTCCTTGATGAACTAGGTTGCTCGCAGTACAGATAGAACATGAATACTCAGCGATCAGCGCCGCACATGGAGACATACCTTGCTCGGCCGTTGCATAGACCTTCACAGGCTTCACTGCAGTAAAATAGCACTGAGTTCGGTGACAGAGAAATTCAATGCATGCACCTTGCGAATGAGCAGCCATGGAAAAACATTTGAACGCTCAGCTCGACAATGCGAATATTCTTCGCTCCGTGCACTAGTAAGGAAGCATGCTGAGTGGCGTGGTGTGGCAGAACAGAGCTTCAGGACGATCTCGATTACAGCATCTATGGTCCGCAAGGTCAATGCTATCGGCGCGAGAAGGCATAGAGAGACCTTACAAGCAGTGTATGACAGCTGTTCTTTAATATGGTCTTAACATTGACGGGTAATGGGTACTAGGCTCCATCCTCACGATAAGGCATACAAATTGTATCATCTCGTGGTTCCTCATCTTCATAACATGAGGTCCAATGAGACAGGGCCACTGTACTTGAAGGTCTTTGAATGGCCCCATGTTGGCTACCTTCCTCGAAAACTTTACTTTAATAACCAGGATGCCTGATCGACGTCCTGGTGTACTATTAGATATCGCGGTTCGACGAGATGAGCTTCCTTCGGATCAACAAATTGAATATGCTGCAGTTTGACACTGACCAAGCCAACCAGCTCACCGGACAGTGAAGGGAATGTATGGTTCCTCGAGATTCCGAATTACGAAGAGCTTCCAGGCATAGGATGATTTGCGAGCGAAGCACCGGTCAGCAAACTCAAATTTCAACAAGCTTCCAAACGCGCTGTTGAGCGCTGAGCGCTGAGCGCCAGAGGCGGGGTGAGCACTGATAGACGCCGGTCCGGTGTGATGACTGCCACGGCGCAGTCAAAATCGAGCACTGATTAATCCAGGACCACACATCATTGTAGAATCTATCTACAGTCACTAGCAATGAACCATCTGGACATGAAGAATGAGTAAATGAGTCGAACAATCGGCGTTCTTTAGTCATGAGTCCATGACCCTCTCAATTTGCACTCAATCGATCGGATCGCCCAATTGACGATATTGAGCCTCCAGGTACTGAACGTCCCTGGGAAGATACTTGACCACCCGTCCTTCCGCGGAGCGGATGTACGCGCGACATTCCGATAGGACTACCACCTCATCTACCCCCAACATCCTGCCTTCTTCGACCGTAATCGCCTGCTGACGCTGACACATCTCGATGCGCGCCTTCAAAAGCAGATCCGGCAAGTGATAGAGGCGTGCCATGTAGATCCGTTGTGCGAGAGATCCAGCCCGAGTGGCGTGCTGGATAGCAACTTCACGCATGTCATCGACAGCGTATTTCGTCGCGAGCTCAAGAACTGACAGCCATTCATCGAAGCTGTTCAGGTCAGATCGGCGCAGGTCACTGTTGGATCGCGTCAGCGATCACCGGTGCAGCATGAGGAGCACGAAGCGCACCGGGGATAGAGGACTGTGAGGAACCTCTCAAAGTCGACGACGGTAGTGCCCTGCAGATGGATCGGGTTGTACTTGGAGTCTCCCTCCACAGACTGATCTTTGGGTGGTTTCAAGGAGAACATAGTCTCGAACACGCCCGACTTGGTCTCGAGCGAGTAGCGATGCACTTTAAACAACGTGGTCTCCACCTGTTACGTTCAGAGAATGATTTGACATATCAGATTTCGACAGCTGGACGTGAACTCATCCAGCACAGGGCTTGGAACGCACCAAGAAAACAACATTTCCATCTTCGAAGTAGAACCTCTCGTGTTTCCTGTAGGCAGTGAGAACTCGGATCTCCTCAGATGCCGCCTTGTAGATGGAAAGCCATGGGTAACTTGAACTCAAAATGCGAGGTAGCAGCAGGATATATGCGCGAAGCTTTTTGCCAACTTGGGGGGTCATCGTGGAGAGAGGACATGAAGGATGTGAGGCAACAGGCAAGACACTGCGGACCAGCCCAGCGCTCAGGAGGCTTCTATTCCCACCACGAGGCAAATACCCATAAACGCCTCCCTAGTAGGAAACATAGGATTGGCCGCGAATGCGCTTTGTCCGAAGCTATCTGGTGGCAGTAGTGGGACACTGTTCGACTTCTGCATCATCCATAGTTCTTTGAAAGAATACAGGCCCAGTGCCTATTGCCACTGCACATATCAATCCGAAAGTAGTACGATTGACATGCTCAGAGGCGACCGACTCTGGCTAAAACTTAGGAAGAGACTCACACTGGACCGTACGCAGAGACGATGGATATAAATCGCACAAACGTCCGCCCATGTGCATGAGCCATTAGCGTGATGGAGGTGACGACACGGTATACAAGCGTGGGATGTAGTGGGGGTCAGAAAGGAACTCATCACCTCTTCGCGGAAATTCAACCGAGCGTATGAGCAGCTGGCGGGATGAGCAAAACGAGGGGAAAACCTCGTGCGAAGTGGAATAGGAAGATGGACAAGCACATCACCGAGGATGAGAGAAAGGAGTAGTGTGTGAGATGAAGCAGGAGGGTGGACGGTTATGCGGCCGTGATCTTACCCCACCTCCTTCACCACCTCTCCAGACGTGCGAAGTCAGCTTGCAGAAGTTGTAGATCATGCTGTGTGAACGAGACTGCACGGTCTATGTCGCATGCGAACTCGCGATATTTGCAGATAATGACGACCGCATGAGCAGATCGGGCGATTCGTGTCGGTGCACCTTGACGGCGACTTCACGCAATGTCGTCTTTTGTTGCGAGTTCAACAACAGATGATCGCTGTTCAAATGTGTACAAGTTATGAGAGCACAGAGCACTGTCGATCGTCGTGAGCTATCGATCACCTACGTGCAAGTGACGAGCGAGAAACAAACGGGATAAATCAATGCAAAGAATCCCTCAATGAAGGACCCCGGTGCCTGCCAGATAGTTCGAATCGTTGTCGGACTTCCCTTCCAGCGATTGGTATTACGGTGACTTCAGGGAGAATATTGCCTCGAATACGCCCAGTCTGCTCTCAAGGGAGTAACGGCGCACTTTGGACAGCATAGTTTCTATCTGATAGTATTGTCTACATCAATCAGCTCGTTGTCTTTGATTATGATACGACGAGCATACCAGGAAGATCGCATTACCATATTTGAAATAGTGTCTCTCGTACTTCTGGGATCAACGAAGTTCCGCGCGTTCGCTAATGCAGTCGCGTAGACCAAAAGCCATCCATATGGTTTAAAAAAAGGGCGTAGTAGAGCATACGTACAGAACTTTCCACCTTGGAGCAAAAAAGCAGCCACAGATGAAGGAGCATCTCACATCTTGATATGTATTGCAGTAGATGGAGCATGAGGGACATTCCACTGAGCAATAGTGCAGCGAAGACTTCGACGATGAAGATCAGTTCTGTTCATTTGCATCGGTACTCTCGACCGACTTCCTTGCTCTTCATATCGCAATTTGAAGTATTGTTTGCAATGCGATCGACTGACACATGTGGCCACCGAGCCCTGAGTCAGATGTTCATGAGCCCGATGAGAGTTAAACGGGACAGAGAGGTGATGGTGAGACCTGCGTTTAATTCCCTGATCTACGAGTCGAACCGAAGTCGAACCAATCACCCCAGATCGAGTGTCACCGAGTGTCGCCACGCGTTCTGGCAGGAACCTCGGACTACCCGCAACGCGTAACCCTACTCATTGGCACTCATTAGCACAGCCACATTGAACGCGGTACGATAGTGTTTGCTAAATGGTCTATGACTCTCGCGCGACGACCGTTACAACTGCATGACCCCATGGTCCCGCCAATATACTTCCGAAAGAATGCGGCCAATAATATCAAATTACACCGGGGCACCAACAACCGACCTCCTTCCGCGACATGGGGTGCAGAAGAATGTGCTTCTGCCCTACTGATAATATTTAGTCTAAGCCTTTCGGTCTAAGCCCGAAACACATTTCAACGTCCTGGTCATTTGATTCTTGTCAAGACATAACCAACATCAACATCGAGCAACGAGATTGGCTTGCTCAAAGAACCATGACCTCCTAACAACGTGTTGAGTGAGCGCACCACATTGCAAACTTCGTAGCAAAGACACCTACGTAAAAGCGATGTTCCATAGCAGGATACCAGCAAGATAGTAACAACACCGTATGAAGGTGTCATCAACGATACGCAAAATCATTGAGATAGAGGGAATGATAAGAAAACGACATCATGCCGAACGAAGGAAGATGGTCGACCGCCAACAAGCCACAGTGCTTATCCCACAACCTTTTTTTTTTTACCAAGTCCCCAAACACCGAAGGTCGGACTCTAGAGCCCGAACATTTTGCAGCGTATAGCAAGCCGAGCGTCTCCCGCGCGCATCCTCACGCGACTTGCAGAGAATCGCCAACTCGTCCACTCCCAGCAGCCGCGCGTCCCTCAGAGAGATGGGGCCCCGTCTCTCACAGATGTCCAAGCGTGCCTTTTCGAGCAAGTCTGGCAAATCATATTGGCGGGCCATCACGATGCGCTGAGCAAGTGACCCTGACCGAGTAGCTTTCTCAACGGCGAATTCGCGCACGTCGTCCATCTGATACTTCGTGGCCAGCTCTATGACCGACATCCACTCGTCGAAGGTGTGCAGGTCCATGCAGCGGAAATCACTAGAAAAACATGGTTAGATACAAAGGCTGAACAGAACTCGGAGAATACCTAGGATAGAGCACTGCCAAGAGCCTCTCGAAGTCGATGGCCGATGTTCCCTCAAGGCGGATGGGATTGCCATCAGAATTGCCCACCTTAGATACGTTATCCGGAGGAATCAGGGAGAACATCGTTTCGAAGACCACTGATCTGCTTTGCAGAACAGAGCGATGTATCTTGAATAACGTGAATTCGATCTGATATAGAACATTGCGACAATGAGCTCGAAACATTCTTCGTCTTCAAATGCCGGACCAACTAACCAAGAAAATCTCGTTGCCATCTTCAATGTAAAATCTGTTATGCTTCTCACAGAAATCGCTGATCGCAGTCCTGTTCCATGGCACCTTGCAAGTAAAAAGCCACGAGCATCGCAATCTCAAACGACGACACCGGGTGAGGACCTGAGCACGGATTACCGGACTGATCTCGAAAGCGATCATCCACAAGAGGAGGAGGAGTAGGAAAACCCTGAGCGAGGATCGGAGGTACGTTTCAGTCGTGGAGCACCGTTGCCTTTTGCCCAACCGATTGGGCTCTCCACAGTAAAGAGCGATGACCCGCTCATGAACTACAAATCGTCCAGTCTGTATCTACCAAAGCGGGAAACCGGCCGCGACGCACCTTTCCACAACAGTCCCGTCCGCTGCCTGGGAATCGACAAGAGAGGTGCGCGCAGCATTACTGTCGAGAGAGGTGGTGGCCTATCTGATTGCCTGGTTCGACTGGGCACGTTGAGGGCACGTTGTGATATGCATGGTCGCGTGACCGCGTCTTCGCGACGTGTCAGTTCCCGCGCGAAGTCCGTCGACGTCATAAGTAATACCCTCCGCGCGCTCAGGCTGTCAAGTTAGTGTGAGCGGCTATCCAAATGCGACGTTGACCTCGTATATTCACCTGCACTCATCGGCCTCGCATGACCTCCTCCCTCCCGCCGCTCATCCAGGCCTGTTCGGGCGCGCTCGCCAGTGCGTCCGCCAATGCTATCTCCTATCCGCTAGACCTGGTGGCGACGAGGGTACAGACAACGAGGAATCCTCATTTGCACGGTGAGCGCAAAGGTCTAGTCTCGGAATTCAGAGATTGATGGCCCGTATATCTTCGAGGCGCAATGCGCATCCTTCGGCATATCCTGCGCACGCAGGGGCTGTCTGGACTCTACGAAGGTCTCGGAGCAGATACTGCATCTACTGTTGTGTCAAAGTAAGGTCCGGAATAATGCTCTGTACTGCATGGCACTCACGTGTGACGTTGACGTCCGCATCCAGCTTCCTATACTTCTACTTCTACACCCTCCTCCATGCCATCGTCGCCAGGCGGCGCGCCCATTCATCCGCGCCACTTTTGACTGCACTCAAGCGCGCTCTGACAGCCCCCACTCCACCAGTCCCACTGGGAATATCCGCAGAGCTTGCAGTTGGGTTTGTCGCGGGGGTGGCAAGTCGTGCCGTGTCCACACCTCTGAGCGTCATCACCATTCGCCTACAAAGCGGCGACGAAGACGACGACGAAGATAGCACAGCAGCCGCGACGGAGCACAATGAGAGTGGAAAGCGGGAGGCAGGAGTACCGAGTCCGGTCAAGACGCGCGAGAGCTTGATGGACGTCGTGAGGAGCGTATATGCGGAACAGGGCTTCCGCGGCTTCTGGGCAGGTGAGCGTTGTCGAATCTCCTCCTCTTGCATGGCCATCGACCTGCTGCCTACAGGTTTCGCCCCAACCCTTCCTCTCGCACTCACTCCCGCTCTAACGCTGCTCCTCTACCAACTCCTTCGGCAGCTCCGCCTCCCGTCCGTCTCCTCGGTTCGTAGGCCGGCCTACGCCGCAGTTAGAACCTTCATAGATGGCGCATGTGCGAACGCGCTGGCGCTGGCTCTGCTGTACCCGTTGATTCTGGCGAAGGTGCGCGTGCAAGCATGGCATTCGGATCCTGTTCCTGCCGCAAAGACCGAACCACCTGCGGCGTTGGGAAATGGACAAGCGTCAGAAGCGCGGAGGAGGGAGGATGCCCCTACAATGCTGGATATATGGCGTGTCGCGCATGCAACGCGCGGATGGGCAGGCCTGTACGATGGGCTGGGAACGCAGCTCGTGAAGGGATTTGTGAGCCAAGGAGTAACAATGATGGTGAAACAGCGGCAAGTTCTTCTGTAAACTTTGCGCATTTTTTAATCTGATGGCTGATTTGCTATTCATGCGCGTTCAGGATCGAGCATGCAGTTGTGAAGATCTACCTCCGAGGCCACTGACTTGACTCCGCGTAAGCTTTCGCTTAGTCTTGCTAGAGAGAACACGAATGCGTGAACACACCGGGGACAAATGGATTAGATACCACTGCCATTGCTGGATTCTGCAGCAATGTTAGGGCTTGAGCGCTTACTGCGAAGCGTGACGCGCGTCGCATATTGCACGTGATGTATGTAGTCACATCACCAAGCGCGATCGATCGGGCCGGCTTAGTTCAATCTCGGCCTTTCACTCCGGTGTTTCTAATTCACAAACGCTCTAAGTACTCCTTGTTTTGAAAGCTTCAATGAATCTTCACGACATCTGAGCGAGAATAGTAACCTGAATCACGATTCGGTTTATCTGGGTAATTCTGGCCCTCGTGGTCGCGGGGTCGGAGAACCTGCGATCATTCTTCAATGGGACAGCTCCTGCATGGACGCTGAAGCGAGTCACTCGTTGCTTTAGATAGGCTTCGAAGGTATAAGGTTCTTGCATCAGACAAGGCCTTCTCTCAAGCTCTCGACCCGTCCTGCATGGTCGAAAGTCTAGTGGAAGCACAGAGCAACGCGTTTTGGGACAAAAGACAAAGCGCTACGTACATTATTTTTAATCAGCAGTTCTCTCACCGCCTCGCTGACAATCTGTCGCGATAGGGAAAATCGGTCGGAGTTGCAGGAATTGCTGTGCGAGATGTTCTTTGCCTTTGGACGAATGGTACTCTGTACCGGAACTTGCTTCTTAGGAATCCCACGAAAAGTATGTTTCCCCGAAGAGACCGCCTCATCCTGTCAGAAAACGAAGTTTCAAGTACGTCGTGTCCTTGGATGCGACACCAATACGGTGTTCTGCTACAGACCATCGATAGATATGACTACACTAAGCACAGGAACTCGCTACCCGGCCCCGACGGTCCTTTCCTTTCCCTTAGACGTTGCTCAATGTCGGTGTGGACTCTCGCCCAATATTCATCTTTTCGAGGGATCCCGCTCATATGGGTACTCATCGTTGCTGCAATGTGGCGTTACCGAAATGTGGCGCTGCAATCGTCTTGGCATATCTTGCGATTGCGGTTCCAGCTTCGGGACGGTTGTCGTGTGCTCTGATGGCGACTGAAATATCGATGCTGAACGAAAATAAATTTGGAGTGAATGCGCGGATCGGTGTCATTCCAACATAATGGAGCCTCCGTCAGTAGCCTTCTGTACTAGTGCATTTCGTCCTTCAAGCTAAACCTTACGGCTGTTCTGGGTGAGTATCGATTGGTTCTCTTATTCCTCGTGCCGCGGATACTCGTTTTTGATGCGCTTACAGGGGGGCATGACTCGTGAGTTCTGTCAACAAAGTAACAGTCTAGTGCAAGAGGTATCATGCTTTGATACGGGTCGTTGCAGTACGGTGCTTCGGATCGAGAATTCACGTTGTGCGGTCTGATGAATTGTGCGGTTTGATGCTGTCTGTAACGGAACCGCGCGCTACAAGTACTATCACTGCTGGAGTGAGCCCTTGGCCCAACGTCTCGCATCGGTTAGCCCGGTCAGAGTATGCGGACCCCTTAAGAGAGTCAGCTGAAGGGACCCTTCGATCAGTGGGTACCTCCTCAGCAATCGCTCTGTTATTTTTTGACTCATTAATCCTCGACATGGGACAACTGAAAGCGTTCGCCAAATCAAAACAGACGGATCATGAGAACGCACATCCGCACCGCCACGTACCGTAAGCAGAACAAGTTCTACGTTCTTCCAATTTCATTGGCTCAGATGCACCCTCTCTCAGAAATCGCGCCGATATCCTGCATTCCACGAAGTGCCGTAAACACGGGCCGCGTATCTACTCGGTCGTCGGTGGTCACGCTAAAGAAGATGCCGATAAACATAAGGAGTGCATTCATCGCAAGCTTCATGATGATGTGATTAAATGCAAAAGTGGGGATCTCGCATGGTATGTCTTGGGCGTATGTCACAACCGGCCTCGATTGATCTGAATACGTATATAGTCCTGCACATGCATGGCGGGGAGCACACATGGTTCCTACGGATGGTACAAGCGGGTCATCTCATGCCTCTGGCAAACAGATTCTGTCCGGTAAGTCCTAGATGTGCTCTTTAATTATTTCAGGTTAAGCTTTCGCGAAATAGATGACGAGCAATCGCCGCTAACCGCGGAACAGGATTGCGGAGGGGATGCATGCGCTGAATCATCTGAACCAATCAATAAGAAAGCAGTCATCGTCAGTATCCCGACTATTTACATATCATCTGTTATTGGACTGACGTTGCTCGCAACGTTTGACAGATTGGAATCAACTATGCAGGGAATATGAGCCTTCCACAGTTGAACGGCTGCCATAACGATGCATTCAATATGAAGCAATGTCTCGTTAGTCAGTTCTCAATCATTTGTGTGGCCGGTACCGTCGCTGACTACGGTTGCATGAGATAAGAATGCCGCGGCTTTCTTGAGGAACACATTACGTTGTTGATTGATGACGGCAACAACGCCACACCCCAACCCAACCGCCAGACCATCATCCAGGAACTGAGGAATCTTGTACAAGACGCGCAGTCTGATGACTGGCTGTTCCTTCACTGTAAGTCTGCACGTCGGATGCTCCCGGTTAACTGTCCTTTTGTTCATTGTGCTTCAGTCTCAGGGCACGGAGCCCAACTGCCGGCTATCGAGCAGGATGAAGTAGACGGGAAGGACGAAGGTCGCAATCATCTAAAAGTTCGGACCTTGCGATTGTGTTATGTTGATATGGCGCTTCAGATATTCTTCCAAGCGACTATGATGCGGTTGAGCCTATACGCGATAACGTGCGTCTCAAGCTCCCTCACCGACACTCACAAACGCTCATCTTGATCATATAGGAATTAAATGATATTCTGGTGATATCTTTCGAGGCATTGCCGAGAGATGTTTTGCTGATACGGTGTCACATTGAGGTCAAACGTCTCCCGAGGAGATGTTTATTGACAGTACGTCTTCGCTCTCAACCACGTTGTAAATAATTATCCTGAGGACTCCGCGTAGTGTGTTTTCGATGTAAGTCTATGGCGACCATCCTCCTACGGATCGAGGCAGTTGACAATATTTTTCTTAAGTCTTGTCACTCCGAGTCAATAATGGGTAGGACAATGATCTTTGTGGTTCTAATCATGGGCTGATAGTGTGCCAGATCTCCCGCTTGTCGTAAGCGTCCCATGGTGGCAACATTGGCGTCTACTGAACGCTCGCTTCTTCAAAAGTACAACGGTGATAATTACTTACATAGTGAAGTAACGGAAGCGTTCAGAGAGGCAAAAGGCTCTTTGGGTCATGTCGTACGCCAGCACTATCAGTTTTGATTTTTCATCAGGCGAGCTGACACAGATGCCAACTCGCCCATCAAGGCGTGCTTCAGCGCTTGCGTGGACGAGGGGACCGCCCAAGAGATACGCAAGGGGGGAATGGATGTTGGCGCGTACACCAACGTTTGTGGTGATTCTAGTTTCCGCACGCTGCAATTTTTTGACCATCTTTTGTGAAGGCATTGATTCAGGTCATGGGTTTGTCGTCATTTCAATGAGCTTGCGAAATTGATCTCATATGATTACACTAGAAATGCATCCGCATTGTACATGTGTACAATGCGTGCAGGAGGTGAAGTACGTAGGGCATGATTGCATCCCCCGCATGTCTTTGACTGGGGGATGCATCGCAGCAAAATCTTGAAGGAAGAGGAACTGACGCAGACGGCGCACGTGTCTGTCGTAGATAAACGAGTGAGTGAATGATCTGCTAGGCTTATTACAGCCTCTGACGTCACTTTTCTAGGACATCAGACAGGACATATTCTTCGGAAGAGCTTGCCCGGTGGTATCATCGACTCATACCATGTAGGTTTCTGGACTATCACTACGAGAGATTCTTTCTATGATAATCAGCAATCCTGACCTGATCATTGTCACTCGCTTTGTCTAAATTAATTGTCGTCTCTTTCGCTTCTCCTGAGAGACTCGTTTCAACCGCTAGCCAACAAGAACAAAAAAGCATGAGGTTGCTCAACACTACCAGTCTGCCGCTTGGAGCATTCGTTACGTGCTGTGATGTTGCAGCCTTGTGATTCTTGAACAGGTTGGCGACCGTCCAAAGAGAATTACTACGCGAAGGGTGAATGTAACGATATTGGTGTTGACTATCGGGCTTGAGACAATAGCACTTATAAAGCCTCCTATAACTTATCCCCATTTTCTGTCTGCACTTCAGAAAGAGCATAGGCTCCAAGGACTCCTCGGCCCGGAGACACCCCAGGGCGCTATGTGTTGCAAGCGCTGGGTCACACTTGAATTTGCTACCTGCATACTCACTCGCGCAACATCTGAGGCGCATGGCAGTTCTTCGTCTTGGTAACAACACAGTATCTGTGACCTTCCCTGAATGTCTTCGTTAAGTGACATACATTTCATATCGACCTGTCAGTCTTGGCCTCACTGCCCAGTGTGGCTCATCACAGGCGAGTGGTGCCCGGCAGGGGTTATTGCATAAATGAAGTCCTAGGCCCTCCGACTGGCCTGCACCCTCATGCGACTTGGCGAGTTTGCTGCCTCGCGGGTTCGACGCTTCTGTCAACCCTACCGACCTCGATCGCGCAAATTCGAACCGCACACGCACATGAGGATGTTGCCTCACCGGTGAACACGAGGAAAGCTAACCCACTGTCCATTGACTGAGTGAATGGGAGTGCCTCACAGTAGCTGATCGTCTCCACGTCAACCTGCAAGTCTGGGACCTCGCTTTTGCGGCTCTATTCTTGTCTTCGGACGTCGGGCCCAGCTTCTGGCACTGGAAAAGCTGAAGGCCTCATTTCAGGTAAATGTACTCTCTTTTGTACGCCCCTGTGGTACATCACGGACACTGGCTGCCGCATGATGCGACGTCAAAGTTCACAACTGACGCCGGTGACCTGCGAAATGCCGGTTTTGGAATAACGTACGTACAAGCGAAAGTAATGCATTGTGCATATTGTATACAGCGGCTGATGACTGTGGTCTCATATCAGCCATCTTCCTTCGCACTCCTAGCTCCTCGCCTCGTGCTTAATGCATGCGGTCTGCCTCTTCAAAAACGTAGATAGCGATGCTGCAACTCAATTCATAAATCTGCGTCTCATCTGAGATAAACTGGATATGAATCCGGCGAGATATACTCCGGAATGTCATCGCCGATTCATCAAGGAAAATGAAGTCGATCCATTTCATGCCCGACAAAGTGAGAAGTACCTCGATAAGACGGTCATGCTGCGGAAGTATCCAATGGGCTTCTTTGAACGATATAATTGTGCAGGCACATCGGGTCGTTACTTAGAAATTTCATCATTCCTGGCTCGTATACTGATAGGCTGAGGCTCCTTTTCACTCGCAGATAAACAATCAGTAGCGAATTTCAAAACGTTATGACGAAGATATGGGCATTGCAGCCGTGCGTACGGTCAAAGCTTACATCGCCCCGCCGATTCGCTGGCGCCACGAGTGGTTTGATCCCTTGCTCCTTTGAACCGCATGGGTGAAAACCTCCTTGTATACACTGTGTCTAACAGCGACCGGTTCGTGCACTATCCTGCAGTACATATAACCAGCGGTACGCTTCCTCTCAGTAAGCTGTCACAACCTGGTCATTGAAGCCATGGAGTCTAGTGCGTCTCCGCTACCCACGACGTCTATCGAGTCGAGCAACAATCATACCGAGCAATCATCGTGAGCAGAGTGTCTCCAATCTATCGTAGCTCTGCCACTGATCTCTAGTTCAGTCATTCTGCGAAACGTTTGGGTCGAAGGAACCGTCGTGATTATGCTCGCGTTCACACGTTTACCGGAAACGGCTCTGGAGAAATCCCCCAGAAACAAACGGCATACGTCACTCGTAGACTGCCGTATGACTGTTGTCACCACGTGGGTAGTCGCGCGCGGTGCGTTCAAGTTTCGACACATGCCACCCATTCAATTTGACGAGTGCATAATCACAGTCAAGAATCTTTGTGCAGACACGCAAAGATTGTATCGACAACTGGAACCTCTAGGTCAAGTCATGATTTAAGAAGAGAGGTCTTGCCAAGTACGTCACTTCCTCTCCGTGAGGATAACTGCAATGCTAATTGACATTGTAGCCATAGACTCCGTTCATGAAGACACCAATGCAGCACCACATGGTACTGATCTCCCTCAAGACATCAAGAAAAGAGCAGTCATAGTCTGTATCAACAAACTTTCCCACAAGGCATTGAAAGCTAATGGAGACTGCAATGAACATGTCATTTGCACTGATTAGATCGGCATCAACTATACTGCAAACGTTCTGATGAATCAATTCGGTATAACTTCTTTGCGAGGCTGTCACAACGACGCTCGCGATATGAAGCAGTGTCTCATAGGTATAATTCCTTCCGATGCGCGGAATGACTCTTACAGAAGCGATGTTTTCCTAGACTGTTTAGGATATGCCGCGGAGCACATCACGATGATGATCGACGAGGACGACGTTGACGCAGCCGTTGTACCTACACGTGGTAACATCATGTCGGCGCTCGACAATTTGGTCCAGAATGCGCAACCATTCGACCATCTGTTTCTTCACTGTATGCCCTACAATTACTTGAAACGTTTCAAGAACCCATAGTGTACCCCGCATGTTAGATTCAGGTCATGGAGGCCAGGTTTCGGCCACTGATGGCGATGAGGTAGACGGCATGGACGAAGGTCGGGAGTTTTCCAGATGGCCATTCGGGCAGTACTGATACGTCATCGTCGAAAGACATCTACCCCTCTGACTTCAACATCTCCGGCTGTATCATTGATAATGTAAGAGGCACATTATGATATGCTTCCAACTGCTCATGACCTTTCCATCACAGGATATACACGATATTCTAGTAGCTGTTATATTCGTCTATCATTGATTTCAACATACTCACTGGCAGAAATCAGACCAGACGGCTCCCGAAAGAGTGCCGATTGACAGTATGTCGTCCCCCAACCTCGGATGGTCTATCCCGCTGACTACGCTTACAGTGCGTATTCGACGTTGGTGACGAATCACACGTTTCACGTCTGGTGGTCACTTGATAGTATTTCTTTCGCAGTCCTGCCATTCTGAATCTGTGCTTGGTGAGCATATAGATTCTACAGAGGGAAGGTTGCTCAGACTCCATCAGATCTTCCCTATACCCTAACAGTGAGTACGCCATCACACCATGCTATGCTACCTTTACTCATATGGCTGTTTATACAAGTGCTCGCGGTCGCGCCCTGGTCACCCTATGTTCCATAGCGAAGTATCTAAGGAAGCTTGGCCAGCGAAAGCAGTGGAAGGAGACGTCGTAGGCAATGTCACCAGCTCATTTTAAGCAGGAACTCACGCAGGCTCTTTGCTTTCCAGATATGCTGCAGTGCGTGCACAGACGAAGGTATAAGCAGGGAAACGTACGGAGCAGCTGGCGCGAGCGGCCTATTTACCTCCGTCAGTGACCACGAAAGCATCATCCTGATCTTGTCTGATATTTGACATCGTTAGGCGTTAATAAAGCTGATCCGTTCGTCCTTCGTTCGGACGCTGAGGGTATTGTGCTCACCCGATAATTCAGGGTCACACCCAAACTATAGTTGGATGGATCTCATATGCTCGGCAAGGTGCGTCGCGTAACACAGTGTCTCAATGAATGCGCTGAGTGCGTGGATGGCACAGAAAGGAATTGGAAAGCAGTGGCCAAGAACCTCAGCTGTCCGTCTCGCACGAATGCGTACGTTGGCGTTGCGATGCAGATGTACCACAGGCTCATGTACCTTCTCGCAGGACATCAACTGCACCATTGCTTGACCGACCAACCAGATGCCGCAGCGAAATGCCAACGTCTATATAATCGTATATAAATGATATGATATCCACGATACTGCCTAGAGATAATATTTAGAGCTTGGCCTTGACGGTCACCTCGCCCTTTGCCCTCATCTCCCTCGCCTTCTCCCGCAGGACACGTCGCAATAGCTTGCCACTCGGGTTGCGCGGGACAGCATCGATGAACTCCACACCGCCGGTCAGCCGTTTGAAGTGCACCTTATTGTCCGCAACGTGCTGTAGTGAAACCATCAGCTCCCAGCCCCGAGCGACACCGCAACGATACACCGACCTTGATGATGGCAGCCTTGATCTTCGCCGCCTCTGCCGGGTCCTTCTTCATGCGCTCTGCGGCTTGCGCGCTAGGCACGACGAATGCGAGCGGGACCTCGCCGCTGTAGTCGTCCGGCAGGCCCACGATGCAGACGTCGGACACGTCGGACAGCTCGAGCAGGTGGCCCTCGAGCTCCGGCGGTGCCACTGAACGGTGGATCAGAAATGTCGTCTTTTAGATGATGAGGATGGTATACGAACCTTGAAAGCCCTTGACCTTGATGAGGTCCTGGAGCAGCGACTTCAGGATGGATTGTGTCAGAGAAGGCGAATGAGGTTACCTTGATTCGGTCGACGACAAACAGCTCGCTTTTCTTGTTGACATAGACCTCATCACCAGTATGGACCCAGCTGTTCGACAGCCCACTCAGCACAAACTCGGAGCTTGCGCACGCATTCGACGTACCCGTCCCTGAAGGTATCCTTCGTCCTATAACACGCTCTCGTCAGCAAGACGCAATAATCAGAGCAGCGTTGCAAGAGACAAAACTCACGCTGCCTCATTGTTAAGATAACCCAACGCGTTTGACGGGCTCTTCACGACCAGCTCGCCCGTCTGGCCGATCGGCGCGAGCGAGCCATCCTCGCGCACCACCCGCACCACGACGCCAGGGAGAAGCCTCCCGGCGCTTCCGGGGGTGCCGACCTGCTGCTCGAGCTGGGGAAACGAGATCGCCGTGCTCGTCTCCGTCATGCCTATATATTGTTATAATGGAACATGACAACGTGATAGCGTGAATGGTTGTAGGAAGCGGTGGAAGCACGAGTTAGATACTGACCGTATCCCTGGCCGATCATGACTTGCGGATAGAGCTTGCTCACTTGCAGCATGAGCTCACCGGACAGAGGGGCCGCGCCGCTCGCGATCATGCGTATGCTGCTCAGATCGTACTTCTTCGTTGCCGGGTGCTACGCGAAGAGTCGCCAACAGTGTCTTCAGTTAACACGGCAGCCCAAGCTGATGAGAGGACAATAGACCTGCCTTGCAGAGTGCGACAATCATCGGCGGGACGAAGCTGTTGTGCCGAAATCAGGATACCATGCCAAAGTAAGTGGGCAGGGACGCACGCAAGGAAGTTGATGCGATGCCGCTGGATGCTGTCGAGCATCTTGAGGAAGTCGAACTTTGTAACGACAACGACAGAGATCTGCAAACCGTGCGCGTGATCAGTTGGCAGCCCGGCAGCCAGCCAGAATACACTCACTCCGTAGAAGACCTGGAAGTGCATGATGATGACTTGGCCGTAGATGTCTTCAAACGGTATCTATGAGCTACATCCTTGTATGCCGAGACCGAGCTTACGGTAGAACGGAAGTACTGAAGGACGACAAGAATCAATAAACATCGCGAGACTCGTAAGATTCATCTCCACTGACCAGCAATCCCGACATCTCCTTTCCGGAACTTCTTCTTTTCCCATGGCGCTGTGTCCGCATTGTTGTAAGACGATATCTGAATGACGTTCGCGATGAGACTATAGTGCGGGATCTTCACAGCCTGTCATAATAATCAAACTCTTCAGCCACTCAACGCCTTTTCCGGGGCAGGCCGAAATCAGTCACCTTAGGCAAACCGGTCGTCCCACTGGAGAAGCTCAAGAATGCCAACTTGGTCTTTCCCTCTCCTGGTCTAAGCTTCCTCTCCACAAAGTTCTTCGGCAGCCTCGCGCCCTCCTGCACCAGCTGCGGTATCGTCACGTGACCCTTTGCCTCAAGGAGCCCAGCCGGGGCAGGCTCGAGCAGAATGATGTGGTCGTCAGGCAGGCCGACGGATTTGGCTGCGGAAAGCGCGATAGGGAGATTGGCGGGATGCACAATGAGTAGCTTGGCCTGGGTCATGCGGAGCTGGTAGACGAGTTCCTCGACGGTGTAGGCGGGGTTGGCGGCACTGTTGTTTTGGGATAGAAAGGTTAGGTGGGAATAGGCGTTGATGATCACAGAGTACTCACGTAATGATTGCTCCTAGGCGGAAGGAGGCCCTATGCAGAGTAAGGGGATGGATGAGCCATAGCAGCCTTTTGGTTGCTTACCACATCACGATGGGGTAGTCTGATGGTATCGGTGGTCAGCAGGCTGCAGCGCGCTGACATCTGTGCAACGCACCAACATGATTGGGGCTGCATATGCAGACTGAAGAGGAGTCAATCTAAGGTTGCGTTTGCGTAACACACGCGAAGGACATACCGACTTCGTCTTCGCCTTTCGAGAGGCTCAGCGCATGCACACGTCATGTCAGACGACACATCACTCACCTAGCTTCCACTTTTCGTGCAACGAGTTCGCAAGCGCGTCCGTGTGCGGCTTGATCTGCAGAACAGGGATCAGCTTCGATTTTTACCTTCTCACGAGCGGCTATCCCTCAACGCACCTCCTCGAACCCAACCTTCCTTCCCGTGTCGTCCTCAATGAACCACGTCGTCTCATTCCTCTTGACCGGCCTATTGGGATGCTCATAGTCTTGCATGAACTGCACGATCGTCAAGTCGTCCGGAATCTGCGCAAGCTCTCCAGGTCCATAGATCTCGCTCATTTTGCAGGGTTCTGACAGGCACAGAGGTTTATAGGGTATCGCGCGAGTATCCGGAGAGGAGCTGAGAGCAAAGGAGAGAATGGTCGACTGGTCAGCAGGAGACGAACGAGCGCCAGCACATTATATACGACAGCCATCGCCTTGGAAATCTCGGACTCGGCATTTGGGACCCGTTGGCAGGTTCTGCGGGTCAAAATCAGATGACCATGCTCGCCGCGGCACCTTTTTGCTCAAGCGAATGTACGAAGACAGCTGCGTAGAAAATTGCAGGAAATCAGATGAAGTAAATTTTGTAAACCGCAACTGAAGTTGGACAGTTCAATGTGGTTTGCGCTGTGAGTTTCGTCAAGTTTTTGAGCGGAATTGCACGACATCGCAGATCGTGATCGAAGGTGCCTGCTTCTTTTGGTGACCGATGACAAGAGAGACACGTGGTTGTCCGGAGAACGACTTTGCTCTCGGGCGAATCACAGGTCGCCAGCGTTCGGATACAGCGACTTTGCAAGGAAATATATTCGCGGAAGAGTCTGTTAAAACAACGTGTACGAGCGGGAGCGCATTGCGCTTATCACGGTTCTGTCTTTGACGGCAATATCTTGAAAGACCATCTGCATATCGTTCTGCAATTGCAAGATTCAAGAAGAGCGGCTCCGAATCTTTGTAGCCATGTACGTTTCTGATGCTTCCAATCTCGGTCATTCACGAGTACAGATGATGTGTTCGGTCATTTTCTTCCTCAACATATTCAACGTCCACAGATCGAGTTGTGATGCGCAATCTCCATCAACTGCAGGAAATTGTTGACGAATATCTTCCTCGTATCACCAGCTTAACCAGTACTGATATGGACTATATAGTCGCCTTCTACCCATTATCAACGATTTATTCCAGCAGTATGTTCGCTTTTTCTCTTGGATTGGACCACGCAGTCGGCGGCTCTGTGCTGTATACGTTTACATGCCTATCACGAATCTGATTGTTCACTACCATTATCACAGCATTGAATGGAGCTGTGTCCGCGCCTACCATCTACATCTCTTCAATTTTGGGCCGCGCTCTTGGAGCCTATTCATCGTGCCCCTGACCACCTTCAATAGATTGTCGTGGAGTTCTTTTTGTCTAACATTGCACCTTCCAGGGCCTGAACGTTGGCGAAATGCCCGTTGCCTCTGAACATGTGCCGTCTCTGGACTACACGTCGTCTTTTCCTGTCGTTCTTTATAGGACCACAAACGCGGATACATGTGCGCCCCTCGAATATCTATACGGGTTGCAACGTGTCGTCGTAAGGAGCTAACGATTGCGAAGAAACCATCCGACCGAACCGAATGAGGCCTCAAGCGACGTACAACTGCAGGTTGGGTTGACCGTCTCCGCGTGGCTAGAAACAGAAATTGAGCGTCATCATCACTGCGAGGGTCCGCTTTCGAGGCTGTACACCGAAGTTGCCTCATACCATGCGGCCCAGAAGGCTCATGGAAAACGGCCAGCTGATCGCATTGACTTCGCCCGATCGATCGTGGCACTGCTCGCTAACGGAAATGGCTCCATTCACTGCCGCTATCGCTAACGAATTCACGCGCACACAGAATTGATTGCCTGGAGATCACATCGTAGCCCCCACCGCAATTTGCGAATGCGAACATAACAACAGCTAACTAGCCGGAGGATTCACGCGCAACTCAGCACCCGATCGGTCGTGGCGATGCTTGGGAAGGCGGTACACAGAATACATTCATCAATACATCAACAATGCGGCTGACATATACACTGTCTAGTGTGCCTGCCGTCCGTCAGCAATGCCATGTCGGGGCCCGTGATCACTTCCCTTCACAACAGTGCATTCTAGCTAGTGGTGAATAGGCGCCTCGCTAGGAAACGAGCCCGCGCTATCCGAAACAGTACTTGGTGCCCCCGAGATGCCCTGCATTGCATTAGCGGTGCCGGTGAGACACCGTCTGGAATGATGCGCGCGATGCGCGAAATACTAGCCTGTTGCATGTCTTCGCTGCGCGAAAGCTGCGGATCCCACCTGCCAGCTCTTAGTGCTGTATGCACGGCCTTGTAACCCGCTGCGTGTGTATGTCCCTCTTCGGATTACATCCGACCAATCGGAGCTCGACCGCTGGGAGCTCCAGATTGCGGCTAAGACCAGCGGGCCGGTCGGCAAGAATGCGTTCAACCAGCAGAGGAACAGCCTTTACACTGCTGCTCGTGCCTCAACGAAAAGATAAATGGGCGTCGCTTCTTCTGGTATGTTCTTTACCATCCCTCCTGTCCTTTGCCTCCTGCAAGAGCTCATTTGACGTAAATTAGTATCATGTCATCCGATATCAACTATGCACACGCAGAGGGCATATACTCTGTCGCCGGCGCGGTGATATTAACCGTCGTCTACGCTCCTCTTCTCGCATTCTACTTGTTCAGGAGCGTCACACGGCCGACCTATGTGCATTTTGTGCTGGCGCTCTTCTGTCTCGGTACGCCATAGTACTTCAATTTTAAATATTGCGCCCCCAACTGACATACCATCATTATAGTCAGGGTCGTCGCGTTCGCTCTCCGAGCTGCGCTCGCAGGCAACAGCGCAGCCGCTCACAATGAGAACGTTCTCATCGCCGAAGAGATCATATACCAAGTCTCGTTCTTTGGTGTTCTCTACTCGGCATACACCCTGGTCCTCGACCGGTACGCATCATCGTTCCGACCTTACTGCCATGCTAAGCCGTAAACCTTCCAGAGAAGCCCTCGTGGACATCGCCGCCGTCCTGCGCTACTTCCCTTCTCCCTTGATGGTGGTTTACAGAATCATGCGCATGAGGCACTTGATTCGCATCGCGCTCATCGCAGCCATCGCTCTCGGCATCGCTGGCACCGTCAGTATGCGGTGATCATCTGCCTAATACAAGCTTCAAACTGACATGCATTTTTTTGCGTGCGTTAGAACGACATGATCAGCGCAAAGACACAGTCCGCGTACAACACCGCTATTTCGCTGCGCAGCGCTAGCGTGTACATCTTCCTCGCCGTCACCTGCCTTCTCGTCCTCAACTCTATGCTCCTGGCGGCCGTCACTATCAAAACATACGGTGCGTCATGCGAAATATACCTTATCGCAGTAAACTCACTGATGGCGCTCCGCCTATGATAGCGAAGCAGCCGCCCACCCAGGAACAACGCGGGCTCAGCAAGCTCGGGGCGACATATGGCATTTTCTTCCTGCTCGCTATCGCCGCCATGCTGTTCACGCGCGAAGCGTTCTACGCGGCAACCGAGCACCACACGTCAGAGGTACGCTTTCAATTCATCTGCCCACCGACTTGCATTCATTGACTTTGTGAATGGTCCATCAGCAAATTAACGAAAAACTCTGGTACCCGCTCTCTGCACTCACCGAGCTCATCGCGGTGATGCTCTTTGCTGTCCCGGGCCTTGTCCCTTCGCGCAAAGAACTGCCGAAGGAGGAGACGTCGGAGTTGAACCTCCTTCGAGGTGCGGTATAGGCGATGCGCACCCGGATGGGACTCTTCGATTCGTTGTCTTATGCTCCTTCTGTGATAGTCCATGAGTAGAATACGATACCCGCCTGAGTCTGTGTGGTTCGGAACTTGATAATTGCCCAGCTTCGTTTGGTGCCGCTGGCGCCCGGTACGGATAACTCATGTTCATCATGGAAGCCCGAACGGTTGTGCTGAATTTACATCCATGAATTCAAGTGCTCCTATGCATCGTATCCTTTCAACTTACTCCGAATGCGTTATTGAAGCTTCGGGCTGGATGAAACTTCCTTTTTTTTCCCTGCGTCTGCGCACAGACGCGTCTCACAGGCCTAACACAGGTCCAGAGTTCTCCTTGGCACATCACCATCATGCTCACTCCAGTGTTTCTTCATACACATCACGACGACCAAGCCACGTATCTCAAGAACACTTGGGGTAATTGATTTGCAAACTATACAGGTAGGTCCCTACTAGAACGCTAACCTGGATCTTTGACACGAGGTCAACCTGAAGGGAGGCGACGTTTCGTCGCTCAGCGCAGCGAGACTACACCTCCGAATCCCACAACGTCAAACTAACCAATCAGGGTCAAGTAGACGTGAATACGTAGGGAAGTAGGAGAATCGAGCGAGGAGCTGTAGACGACCTGAGACGGCCTCGTACAGCCTTCAATCGGGTGTTGTGGAAGTTGTTGACAACCATATGATCCCGACAGTATATTGCATTCGTGCACTACTCACACGACCGATAGGCGATGCGTGCGCAAGGCGTGCGCATGACATATGTCATTGATTATCTTGATAGCCTCGGTTCAACCTCGGCCTTGAAGTGTCGCCGGCGATAATCACCATCCTGACGGTCACAAGAATTAACAACACATTCACAATGAATGTGGCAGAACTCAAAGCTCATTGACTTACCATCAAATGCCTCTACTGCGAGATAGCAGCGAGGAAGGTGGTGTCCGCTTGAGATGCGATTGTACATCCGAGGAGCAGCATCAAGGGCATAATCCCGTAGGAGGCAGCCTCCGTTGATGGCCCGATGGCTCACTGGCCATTCTTGGGGGATTAAGCTGCAGCGTGGCATGCGCAGTCACCGAATGAACTAAATTCACTCGGGAACCACACAGTCCCTGGGAGATACATGGCCATCTCAATGAGCCCCGCCAACTAAGTCGAATTGAGACTGTACACAACTAACCATATCGTAGAAGCGGTCTCCGGTGTGGCCCCTGCTTAGCCATCCAGATTCCGCGGCAGGTTTGAGAGAGCGAGGGGGGTGCTCTGACTCCGAGTCACACAGACAGGGAGGAGCGACCGTCCTCGTCCCGTGGCTGTCATGGAGGGCTAAGTTCCTAAAAACACATAGAGACTGTGCAAAGGCAACTTACGTGGGTTAGCTCTGCCCGCAGTACGCGTCCGTACAAGGTAGGAAAGAGACCAGAGAACGTCAGCCGGCGCTCGTGGGTAGATATATATGCACCAGCGCGACCTGAGGGCAGGCAGAATCCCACGCTGCACGTGCAGCACTTTTTAGGGTTAGGGCAACGAGCCACCGCGGCCGCTGTCTGAGACAACTATTGGCATAAGCGGGGCATCGAGTCTCCTTTCCATGCAATGCTACCGCGACAATTCAATGTTCTCCGGATGCCACACGGAGAGATCTCAGCCCACGAATCGACTTTCGTCTGAGTACACACGCTCAGTCGAGGATCGACTCAACATCTGAGCAGCAAACGCTTGAAGTCAGCTCGCCACCAATCAAACCTCATTTTCATATGACCTCACATTGAGAGGGCCTTTTTCTAACGGGCTTACTGTCGGACTCAGCTTTGCGCCGAAAGCCTCGATAGTACCGGCTGCATGAGCATACTCATTTGCACGCACATCATTGAGCCCTCTCCATTCTTATTCTTGCGCAGGCGCCGTGTTTCCTATGGGACATTCAAATATAGCCAATCTCCAAGACGTACACCGGTGGATGTGACGAGAAATCTGTAGCAAGAAGGCAGAGCTGACTCGGGTATGACCTGCTTAATTATTCTCTAAGACCTACATTGAACGCCGCGCTTCCTACCAGGCAGAGCTCCCGGCAACCCAACGGCTCGGGATGAATTGGGTTAGTCCATGGGTTGTCTCGAACGGGATAGCTAATGGACTGCTCGATGGCCGTCACTGATCTAGCAAGCACGAGCGTCAACGACGCACGTCCCGAAGAGACAATACCTATACAACCTACAAGTGCGTGTTCGACTGGCCCCATGCATGGAAATCTCCATAACAAATTTCTCAGAAGGCAAATTACTATGCGAAAGAAAATCTCGCAACATGCGGCAGCCGCCGCTGCAAATCAGGCTTAGACCTCGGCGGATAGATTGTCAAGAATAACGCAAGAGGAAGCAGAGACGACTCCGCCGCCATGCTGCTCACGCGCGAAGCGTTCTCGCGGCGACCGAGCACCACGCATCAGAGGTACGCTTTTGGCTCATCTTCCCCACCGACTTGCATTCATTGACTTCGAACGGTCCCAACAGCAAATCAACGGAAAACTTCGGTACCCGCTCTCTGCGCTCACCGAACTCGTCGCGGTGATGCTCTTCGCTACCCCGGGCCTTGCGCCCTCGCGTCGAGAGCTGCCGAAGCAGGAGACGTCGCAGCTGAATCTCCTTCGAGGCACGGTATGGGCGATGCGCGCCCGGATGGGACTCTTCGATTTGATTATTAGTCGTCTTGAACCACTCGTCGTTTTATGCTCCTTCTGTTGTCGCCCATGAGTAGAATAAGATACCCGCCTGAGTCTATGTGTTTCGGAACTTGATAATTGCCCAGCTTCGTTCGGTGCCGCTGGCGCCCCATACTACGGATAACTCATGTTCATGCAGTCCGAACGATTGTGCAACCATGTATTCAAATGCTCCTATGCATCGTATCCTTTTGACTTGCTCCGAATGCGTTACTAGAGCTTCGGGCTGGATGAAACGTCTTTTTCTCTCTTTCAACCCGGTGTCTGTGCACAGACCGGGTTCTCTTTGGCGCATCACCAGCATTCTCACTCCTGTTTCTTCATACACATCACGACGACCAAGCCATGTATCTCAAGGAAACTTGGGGTAATTGATTTGCAAACTATACAGGTAGGTCCCTACAAGAACGCTAACCTGGATCTTTGACCCGAGGGTCAACCTGAAGGGGGGGGGCGGCGTTTCAGCGCTCAGCGCTGCGAGACTACACCTCTGAATCCCACTATGTCAAACTAACCAATCAGGACGAAGTAGACGTGAGTAGGTAGGTAAGTAGGTAAGTTGAGCGAGCTGTCGACGATCCGAGACGACCTCGTACAGCCTTCAATTGGGTGTTCTGGAAGTTGTTGACAACCATATGACCCCTGAGGATATGCATTCGCGACTACTTATACGACCGATAGGCGATGAGTGCGCAAAGCGTGCGCATGACAGATTGGGTTGCGGAGGGTAGCGGGGAAAGCGGTTGAGGAGGAAGGCGGTTGGTGGAAGGGGTTGGCGGATGTTTGGGGGGGTTTGCCACAAATGAACTTAATCATTGGGGAACCACGCAGCCCTGGGAGATACATGGTCATCTCAATGAGCCCCACCAACTAAGCAGAATTGATATTGTACACGACTTACCATGTTGTAGAAGCGGTCTCCGGTGCGACTCCAGATTCCGTGGCAGTTGAAGGAGGGGGGAGGATGGGGGGTTGGAGGCAGAGGGAGCTCTGGTTCCGAGTCGCGCAGACGCGCAGAGGGAGGAGGGACTGTCCTCGTCCCGTGGCTGTCGTGAAGTGCTAAGTTCCTAAAAACACATAGAGACTGCAATAAGGTAACTTACGTGGGTTAGCTCTGCCGGCAGGACGCATCCGTCCTGGGGGGAGGGGAGAGACCAAAGAACCTCAGCCGGCGCTCGTGGGTAGGTATGTATGCACCAGCGCGACTTGAGGGCAGGCGCAATCCCACGCTGCACGTGCGGATGTGCCACCGCGGTCCGCTAGTACCGGCTGGGTGGACAACTATCATGAATGTGGCATCGAGTCTCCTTTTCATGCAAGAACTCTGGATGCCAGATGGAGAGCCCTCAGTGCCGCAGCTCGCCGCCAAAATAACACCATTTTCGTGTGAGCTTGAATTTGGAGGGGTTATTTTTGATTTAACAGCTTACTGTCACACTCAGCTTTCCGCCGCGACTCGCGAGTCATGAACACATTGATTCATACCCACGCCGTTAAGCCCTCTCCGTCTGATTCTCGCGCAGGCACCGTGTCCTCTCTGTGATATTCGAACAAAGCCAATCTGCAAGATGTACATCGGTAGATGTGACGAGCATTCTGTAGCAAGAAGGCAGAGCTGACTCGGGTATAATTTGGTTAATTATTCCTAAGACCTACACTGAACGCCGCGCTGCCTAGCAGGCAGAGCTCCCGGCAACCCAACGGGTCAGGATGAACTGGACTAGTTCATGGGTTGTCGAACGGAATAGCTGATGGACTGGCTGCTCGATGGCCGTCACTGATCTAGCAAGCACGAGCGTCAACGACGCACGTCCCGAAGAGACAATACCTATACAATCTAGAAGTGCCTGCCCGACTGGCTTCATGCATGGAACAATCCATAAAACATTCCTCAGAAAAGCAATTTACTATGCGAAAGAAATTGTCGCGACAGGCGGCATCCGCCGCTGCAAATCAGGCTTAGAACCGGGCGGATAGACTGGCAAGAGTGACACAAAAGGCACCAGAGACAACTCACGGGGTATACTTCGTATATCTAGCATGCACCCGAATCTTACTGGTCGTCCTGGTGGCAGGACAGACCACTCCTCCGCGGGTATGATTAAAATGATGGACCTCCACATGCACAGAAGAAGACATAAGGTTCATACCCATCGATGCAATTCGCGACGGTTCTTCCAGTGGTATTGGTTGTGAGAGGCCATGCCCGAGCAGACTGTTCATCCGGTGCAACAGAAGGCCAGCAACCTCATCGAGCTTCGCTCCCCTGCTTTGGTAGCCGGATATCGACACTGTCTCAGAAGTTGTCGTCGGTCGGTATATTTGGATCGTGGCACAAACGTGCATGGGGGAGCACGGACCTCATAAGTCAAAGAAGTCTCCTGCAAGAATCGAATGAAGTTTCGCAGACCACAGTTGCAAACCCACACCTTTCCAAAAGGGGATCTTCCTTGCCTTCTGCGCTTCTGAGCCTTCTACGGCTGTAATCGATAGCATACCTTGCAGCCTGCTGACGAGCAGTCATGTCTGCAATTGGTTCATTTCTCAGCGAAATTTAACACCCCGTCGCCTATCTGTACCTCTCACGAGCGCCATCATTCCTGTCATCGGAGCGACCAAGGCCCAGCGGACATTCAAGACAACCGACATCTCAAAAGCTCATTCTTCTTGCGTCTGCGCCACAAACAAAGTGCTTGCATCCAGAGGTTGAAGAAGAAGAGTCGCTACTTGGAGATGAGACGGATAGAGGAGGGCGCGAGGAGAAGAGTGTGGGAGAGCGGATGAGCGGAGAAGGCGGGCTTCTCGCGTCTCACTGCCTATTGCGTGGCGGACGCTTTCAAGATGAAACCGCTCGCAAGCTTTCTAAGCCGGAGCCCAATGTTCGACTTCGCGTGTCTGACGAGGCAATCTATGTGGTGAGTGACTTGTCCCGTGGCACGTATTGTACATCTTCCAATTCTTCGTAACTGTTCCGTCTCCCGCTACTACCAGGCTACGGTTCGCAAGCAGAAATTCGTTCCTCTGCTCCTCCCTCTTCAGAAGCAGAGGACCCGTCCTCTGGATTCTGCGAAGCAGAAGAAGACCCATATCAGGGCACGTACTTCAACAATCCGGAGTCGAGCACGGCGCCTTCATCAGCCGGCTACATCATCTTCTCATCATCCATTCTCACCAGTGCAGACATATCAATGCCGGATGAAACCCTCGCAAGTCCATCCGTGCAGCTGGAAATGCACTTTCCAGAAGAAGACCGGACTGATCGCAAGAACAAGAAGAAGCGCTCAAAGGACATCGCGAACGATGTGAACGCACGTGAAGGGGAATATGCTGAGACGGTCTTCTTATACGGCGTTGCGGTGTTTTACGGTCTCTCGGAAGAGCAAGAGCGCGGCATCCTGGAGGACGTGGAGCATGCAGGTCTAATGAGACGAAAGTTCGTCAAGGATGACTGGGAGATCGAGGAATGCCATTATATCGTCCGTCGTTCCTCTTTGACTCGGGTATTCCGTACGAACCGACTCTCTTATTCTGCACAGCACGGTCCAAATATCGCGCATCCTCGGATCTTCGACGACTTTTTCAGCGTGCCTTACGCTCTCTTTTTTGCATCACTGATTAGCGATTCGGCGACAGCATTCAAGACTCGCCGTCACCTCCTCAAGCTGTCCGTCGCACATGCCCTCGCTCAATCAACGCTCCTCGCATACTATGAAACGCATGCAGAGCGATGAGAATTACTCCTTGTGTATTACAGATCGTTCTGGACAGAACAGTGTATTGTACGTATGGTGAGTTGTTCTCTGACCCCAGCAGCCTCAGCGATGCTGAAAGAAGATGTTCAGCGCTGCAAGAGCTCCCTGTAGATGAACTACTCTATGAATGCATTATCTCGACACCTTTCCGTGGCAAGTCTGGCCTGTGCATCGCACAGATTTTCTTCTGTCTTCCGGTGCATGGATTTGAAGTGATGAACGGCTATTCGCGCCAGGTCTTTTCGCACCCCTTGTTGAGATATCCATCGGACGGCAGCATGCGCCCTCGTGCACGCAAGTTGTACCGCAGCATGAATCTTTTGCCCTCGGAGGAGAAGCATTCTTTGCCTGTCATTCTAAAGCCTCGCTTCGACCACGAGGAAAGTCAAGACTGGTACCACGACGCACGCTGAAGGTGCAATCATCTCGCGTTGAGAGTCAGGCTCTGTCCAGATTACAATAGGGTAACAAGATGGGCCCGGTGACAATAACCCCAAGACGGCAGGCTGCGGCTGTCGGAGCGGGTCTAGATGGTTCCACAAATCGATTGGACGGACATAGTGCAGTGGCACTGGCCGCTCAAGTTGGGCACGCCAAAGGCAGACACGTGACCGCGTTTGTGCCACTGACCGCGTTTGTGCCACTGAGCGGACGCGATCGTGTGGCATTGCCGTCACGGTCTTTCATTTAAATGTCACTCCGCGAGCCCCGGTGCGTGCCCACAAACGTAAATCCTTCCGTTCCCCTCCCGCTTCCTGTTCTTTCTGCTGTAGCAGCGTGCCACTGGTTGCTGATTGCTATCCAATACATTAAGATTGGAAGTAAGCGTCCGAGTCGGAATCTGTCGGAGACACGTCGTGGCTGTTGTCTCTCGTTCAAACCTCCAGCCGACGTTCCAAGACGGGCCGACTGCGTCGAGGTAAGCAGCGCTGTTTGTTTCCCTTCTTTTTGCGTCTGCCATCGTGAGCCTCGTCTCATCCACCACACCGATAGCCAAAACGGTCAGTGGAGCTATCATTCGCAGTGAACATGCAACAGGCTATCCAGAAGATACGATTGGACCACAGGATGGACGGTGAGGGCAAGCTCTGTTTCAAGGATGCGGAGGAGTTTCGCGAAATCCTCAACATAACTTCGAGCTCGAAGAAGCCGCCAAAGGGCTCTTCCGGAAAGCCAGTCCGCCGCGACATGTTCAAGAAGGTATATCCCATTAGAGTACGTCACATCATACATTCATTCGTTGCTGTGTCTAAAACGCCCTTTTTCCCAGAGGGCTGGTGCCACAACAGTCAAACGGAGTTGGCGAGAGAGGCAGATGTATCAAGCATTCGTCAGTCGCTCGTTCATCCGTTTTTGATGACCGTTGACTCCTTTGTGCAGATTAACGTGGTGAAAGACAACGAGCTCTGTCCGGGATACAAGTTCACATCGCTCGCGGACAAGGGCGACAAGGATGATCCGACGAAGCAAAGAGTTGACGTGGTGATGTTCAAGGAGGTGGCCCCGACAAATAGCGCAACACACTGGGGCGATCAAGCGCTGTGGATCGAATTCAAGAGAGATGGCGCCGCAGATCCATTCAAAGGCGACAGGCTGGCGGCCAAGAAGTTGAGACGTGCGGATACATGGGCACAGCTCATCACGTTCGCGGCTAGAGTCTTCGAGACCCAACACCGGACCCATCTCTATTCCATCCTCGTTTGCGGTCGCACCGCCTACATCATGCGCTGGGACCGATCGGGTGTGCTGGTGACGAAGGGCTTCGACTACATCGCGAATGATGAGCTGCTGGCCGATTTCCTCCGCTCATTCGCGCGCATGACTCCTACACAACAAGGCTACGACACCACCGCTGAGCCAGTCGAGCTTGGCTCCGAGGACTACGTACGGATGGATAATGCGGTGAACGAATGCAAGAACACGTTCGACTGTGCGAAGGACTACTTCAGGGCGTCGTTGGCTGACGGTGCTCCGCGGTGGCGGGTGAGGGTTGAAGGATATGCGGAGCCTTTCCTGATTGGCAACCCTCATTTCAGATCATGGGGAGTGTTTGGCCGTGGCACGAAGGTATTCGTCGCCTACGAGGCTATGAAGGACAAGTTCTTCTGGCTTAAGGATGTGTGGCGCATCGACCTGGACAGCATGGAGAAGGAAGGGAAGATCATCACAGAGCTGCACGAGGTGGGTGAGGAGGATATCATCCCGACGGTGATCTGCCAGGGGGATGTCTCGCATGAGATCAACGACGAGCGTGTTGCACAGTCGACGCTCGCACAAAAGTACTTCAAGAAAGCCCACGAGGAGGCACGCAAGGAGCGGAAGGCAAAGACAGTTGAAACGAAGAGACGGCAAGGGCGGGCAGCCGCAGGAAACAAGCTTTCTAATCGCAGCTCGAAGCGGGCCCACAGTGTCGCGAAACAGAGCAAGGGGCGGAACCAGGCAAACGAAGCAAGCTCGACGGATGGAGTAACGGTACGTCTGCCAGCGTGGTGGCTTTGCATTCTCTGATGCGCTCCGTTTTCAGAATACCATCGATGGGCCCGCGCGAAGCGACGAGCAAGAACACGTTGTTGGACAGCCCAGCATCAATGATGGTGAGGAGAACAGAGCGGGCACGTCACGCTTTGCTCGCACCTCGCTGGAACAGGTGCGTAGTTTCCACTATTGTAATATACTGATAGTGACATGCTGGTTGCAGCAACACACGCGCTCGAGTTCGCCGCATGCAGACGAAGCCATAAATGACGAGAATTCGACAGTGAAGGAAGCGGCTCAGTCGCCGACGACAGAACAGGAGACAGCTCAGCCTTTCATGTCCAAAGGTGGCGTCGTCCAGCGTTCGAGCCCTGCAAAGGGATTGATTCAGCCTTCCGCGACAGAGCAGTACGTTATTCTAATCAACGGAGTGGTTATAACCGATTTATGTCATAGCAACAAGCACAGTCTAGCTCATCGGCGCTTGAGGGCGGAGGCGTCGCTAGCCAGAACCTTAGCAACGTCGCAAGTTCCTCATGTCAAGAGCAAGCATCCGCTGAAGACGAGGATACCGATGCCACTCCGCTTGGCTCTAAGCCATCAATAATGAAGTATACACACTACCGGCTTGTCGAAAAAGAAGTCGGCAAGCATCTCGAAGAGTTTCGCGACGGTCTTCACCTACTCTCCGCTGTAGGTGATGCCCTCATAGGTAGTGAAGGTGTATTATCGGTTCGAAAGTAAACTAAACGACTTGTGTTAGCATATTCGCAGGCGGTGACGAAAGCGAGGCGTGTTCCTCTGGATGTCAGCCCCAACAATATTGTCGCCGTATTCCTCAAGACAACCCGTGGTGGTAAGATCCATGTCGTTGTGCGTGGTCTTCTCTTCGATTGGGAGTTCTCAAAACTGTTGGAGGATGACCCAGCATTAAAAAAGCGACGACAGATCGATCGTACCGTGAGTCGTTGATCCACTGCTACTGAGCATGAGAACAACTCAATCTCCCATGTCTAGGGTACATGGCAGTTCCAATCCGCCATGGTTCTCCTGCCGCCAGCCAAGTCCGTCGAGATTGCAGACGAGCTGGAGTCCTTCTTCTACGTTCTCCTATATTGCTCATTGCGATATATCCACAATACCTGCAGTGACCTGGCTTCATACATGCCATTGCTCTTCGATTTTGCGGTATTCTCTAACGGCGACTACTGGTGCCCGAGCCACAAGGATCTTATCGTAACCACTGGCAAACTGACATTCCTGGCCACAGAGGTCCACTTTCTCTCCGCAGGACTTGAAAGGGGTGCAGAAGTCGGGCTTCGAAACAGCCATCCGTTGAATGATGTTCTTTCCATACTGTTGCACTGGTTCAAGGCACGCTACACTGTCTCGCGAGCCGAGAGCAAATTAGCCCCGCCAGAGTATCTGATACATGCTGCCGAAGACAGGTCGGGTTCTTTGCAGACCTCTGCACGTGATGGCGATGAGGAGAAGACAAGGACAAGTGCTACACAAATGGCCGAGAACCAAGCAGTCCGGGAGAACATCGGTGCCAAAGTGATGGCTATGGAACGGGAACAGGCGCGCAAGCTTGCGACGCACAACGCCATGTTGAACCTGATTGCGAATGCTATCGTCAAACGGAAGTGGCCTCAAAAGGACAGAGCGGGTGATCAACTACCAGGTCACAGCCACGAAAAGAGGATTCTGCCCAAGAAGACAACGAGCCGTGCACCTGCGCATGATCCGGACGCCATTGCTATGCGCCCTCGTCAGCAGAAGCGCACTGCCCATGCGAGCGTCCACGAGGACAGCTCTGACGACACCGACGAACGTCCAGCCAAACGACAAAGGAAAACCCATGCTCCACGGTTCACTCACGCATCGAGCTCTCGCGGCACGAAGCGCGGAGCTTCAGACAATGACAGCTCTGACGGTCCTTTGGAACCGCCAGGGAAACGTGTCCGGACATCGCGCACCGCTGCTCCGGTGAGCCAGTCGTGCAGCGCACCAGCCGCGTCGGGATCTCGCACCAGCCACTCTCGTCCCGCATCGAAGCCTTCATCGCGGACCCGCAAGGCAGATATATCCACGCCGCCTCCCCCTGTACCGGCTCGCAGTCGTGGCAGCGCGAATGCACCAGTTGCGTCTGGCTCTCGTTCGAATCGCTCACGGGCCGCCGAAGACCAATCGTCTACCGAGAAGGCTACAGATGGGGTCATAAGTGGCGCGAGAAGGTCCATGCGATTGTCTGCGAAGGATAAGGGTAAGGCGCGGGCATACTAACAGAGTTTCTGATATCGCTCGGCTGGGAAACTCATGGATTTATGATTATACGGATGCTCACCATTCATTAGCACAGTTGTATGCCATTTGCCACTCGTCATCAACAGCTCATCGCAATTGTAGCAATAGAGGATATCTGTCGTGTCGGACTGTAGCACGGATCTCGGATGTTCACCCACGGCTAGGGCCAGTCCCAATGCAAGCATCGTTCAGGTCCTCGTTATATTCCTATCCTCAATGAAAGGTCACACACACAATGCCCGTGAATATCTGATGCATTGCATTGCCATGCCTGTCACCTCGACGCGCAAATCCTCTACCAGCTTCTGAACCTCAGCCTGCATTGAACGGCTAGATCGCAACACACCGAATCAGCTTTGTGATTCACATCAAATTTATGCGACTACGACTACATAACAGTACGAGTCTGCTTCCTATCCACTCCCTCCTACATGTGCACTCAGGGGAACAACGAGTCGATGTAGTGAGAGATTCTGGTCTAGATAAGAACGACTCGAAATGACCTTGGGTAATTAATTTGAAGGGTTACACAGCTGAAATTAATCAGCCGCGTATGACATCCCGTGACAGCATCCACTACCAGGGAATCAATCGCTCGGCGACCACCGCAGTCGACGAGATTTGGCCCAAGACGACCGTTAGGTCGCTGGGCCATGTCGCTCTAAGCACTTTTGTGCAACCTATTGAAAGCACCCATTATGAGCATGCAGTCAACAACATGAACCAACTAAACCACTCACGAGCCTGATGTCCCGGACTTCCCCTGCTACAGTATGTTGCGGCAAGTTCTGCGAGCTTACATCCACCACACCACTACATAGCATGCTGAAACAGCATGGGGCGATTGGTGAACGCGTTCGCGCGTCTCGGCTAAGTACATTAGATCAACCGCAAGCCACGATTGTAACCGAGACGGTAACTCACGGGGTCCACGTACTCTCAGAGTCCGTCTTGCCGCCACCAAGTTAGGTGAAGCCGCTGATAGTCTAAGAGAGACGAGCCGAAGAGACGCAAACGAGCGCCTGGGCAACTTTATGTGAAAACTTTAGGGCAGGCATAGCAGATGATCGACCGCCACGTGGACAGGAAAATAGAGATCACCTCCACCCACTGCAGCAGGCCGAAATGTAGATACAAAGTAGACAGCACTTGTAATATATGTACCCGCTCCTCTCGCAACGGCTATTCCATCTCACTCGACGTGCAAAGCATCCATAATCTTCTCCAAACCCTTGTTCCCTCCTAGCCTCGCGATCTCGCTGCGGATCTGCTTCTCCAACGACCGCAACACTCCTACGGTGTAGTCAAATGACTTGGTATGATTACGCAAGTACGCTACGGTGTGATGCTTAAGCGTCGGTGTGGTTGGGCGTTTCTGTAGGACGTCTGAAGAGAAACGCCAGAGTTTAGTCGGATGACAGAACATTGATTTTGGCGTACGTACTGAGTACTTGTCGATTCGACATGTCCGCACGGACAGCGTGTACGATCGGGAAGGAAAACTTCCCTTCCGTGAGGTCTTCCGCAAAGCCCTTGTTCTCCGCATACTAGCAATGTAAGCAAGTAAACGACCAGGTAACTAACGGTGAAACAGTCACAAATTACCTGAGAGCTCTGCAAGTTCATGTAATCGTCTCGAATTTGATAATATATGCCGAACAGGTTGACCAGAGGGACGTAGTCGCTGCGATGCACGGTGACAAACTTTCCGATAAACATGCCACCGACGAAACGTACACATCAACATTGGTAGTAGCACATGCCATCATGAGCTTCACCGCGACACGGAAGAGACCGCCAGTCTCTAAATAGAGTGCACAGAAATGAGATAGAAAGAACTGAAGAGGTGCGCAGAGCTACTCACTGTTGTTGACCATCGCCACATACTCTTCCTCTGTCGGGCACTGGAGCGAGTCGCGCCATAACAGTTCGAGGCCTTGACCTCGATGCAGAGATAATAACTCCGCTGACGACAGGTAACCATTAGAGCAGGTATGCGACCCACCGTATGAAGTTACCTACCAGTGACAATACGATCCAACTCCCTGAATGGGATCAGACGCTTCACCGCAGAATCCGCTTCACTTTCGACGTTAGACCCGATGCCCGATCGCAACGAGAAGAGCTCTTGATAGGCAAGAAAGTACGCGTAATTAGCCGAGTTGATAGTTTGTGGTATACCGTATATCTTGTGTGATGCTATCGAGGTAATATTGGTCAGACAGGCCGAGACGCGAAAACACCGACGTACCTGGGACACCCCTCCTCAGCGTTGCATCGTCTTCGATATCATCTATTCTGATCTCCGATTCATGAAGACCCAAACGGCATACAGGACGCGACATCTCACAGCAGACTGGCCGTATGCAGCATGCTGATCACCTTTGAGATCACAGCGAGCCTATCCTGCGGCACCTGGAGCCACACGTTGAATGCCTCCAGCATGAGGCCTCTGATCTCCTTCCCTTTGACTGAACTGATATGGGTGAATGGTTCGAGCAAGGCCTGAAGTGCAAGTCAACGAATCGGTGCAGCGGATGATCCGGTGGACCTACCGTCTCGTTGCTCTCTGACCACGTCTGCGCTTCGGATAGTATGCGTAGAGCGTCGAACTGAACGTTCTCGTCGGATGCCATTGGAACTTATCGCTTGGTTTCCGGTGTATGCAGGTGATAGTAAAGCACTGCCAGCGTGCTGCGCGTGAAACGAGGGAAACAAATAAGCTAATTGCGCATTTCAACAGAAATGCTCGGGTATCTTATGGGAAGGACGTGGAAAGGTATGACAGCTCGCGGGATTGTGGCTTACCGTCTGAATCTCAGCTTGCTAAGTTCGCTCGTCCTGGAACGGGTACTGCGAGCGCACGTTGAGAAGCAGCTGCACTGCGCAGCTATCCTATGTTCTTGTGATAAGGACGATATTAAGAGAGCTATAGGAAATAAAACAGGCGTAGATAGAACTGTTGTTCGATACAAGCTGAATGATCTGGAGCAAGGTGTACTAACTCACAGCCACAGCCGCGATCATCGTATGCACGCGCCCATCAGCACGCGCACGAGAAAAATACACCTCCGCATCCCATATACTCTTTCCGGCCATCGACTGGGTCTCTCGTTCTGCCATCGGTTCTCATCGCCATTTTCTGCTGATTACTGTGCGTTGCCAAATTCATTACGGCGCCTCCAAAAGCAAGTTTTGCACGGCTCAAGGCCAAGGAGACATCCTCTGGCGCTATGGGCCAATCGGAAATAGAGTCATGGATAGCGTCCACTTCCAGTGCTGTAGATGACACTAACTCCGCCAACAATGGAACAGCTAGCACTCAGCTAGAATGGCGCAGAGAAGATGTTCTTGCCGACTGGTCGAGAGCGTTGGAGGCAGCACGCTGCCGGCTTCTGACGAGCAGCACAAAAGCGCGTGTCCGATTCCTTCGTGAGGAGCTGATGATCTTAGCAAAGCATGGAGGTGAGTAAGATATATTGTCGCTGTAGCGAGCTGATTAATGATGTTTCTTCCAGACCTTGATATCTCCCAGACGATGGATATTTTCCGGTTACTCACGTTGACCTACCCTCGTTATGCCGACGCACAATCCCGAGAAGCTGTTGAGGAAGTGGGTCTGGAACTCATACGGCGAGATGAACTTCGAGGGGTTCCAGAAGGAGAACCTAACGCGCCAAAGCTTGGAGTTGCTGAGCAGATTTTAGGATGGCTCTCTCACGAGGTCGGGCATATCTCCAAGAGATCGAGGTTCGTTCTCTTTGACCTTTTCGTATGTATCTTTTGCGACTTTCCTCACCTTTTCATAGCTCCCATGCTTCCACAGATATGTTCGTTCTGCTCAGCTGGTGTTGCGGAATGTATGTGGTCTGTCTCAAGAGCAACCCCGATTTCGTATCGTCGCTTTCGTGGACGCCATTGGTTACCATCTTTTCAGTCTTGCTGGACATGTTACTAGACAGATCGACGCGCGCAAAGGCTTCGATACAAAAGAGTGCGTTGACCCGCACGCGACGTGCCTTGCGTTCAGTACGTCGCTGTAGTCTAGACCGGCTACATCGACCTGACATCTAGCGGTCAGAGTCCTGAACACATATCGGACGTAATGCGGACATTGCTATCCAAGGCGAAGACCAGCCCGAACCCCATAATCATCGCCGCGCTACTTGGAATTTGCATAGATGTCAAATCGAGGCTGAAAAATGTCAAGGATGACAGCATGAAGGTCGTAGATCCTGGGCTTAAGGTCATCTCCATTGATCAGGATGTATCGCCGCAATCCTAACCCGTATGATCTTCGCAGAAAGATGTCCTCTCTTTTTATACAAGTAGTATACTGATGTCAAAAGTGCCTGTACCGGAGCACATCGCGGTATGCGTTCCGATCCGATACCAACACATCAACGTCTGACACGGGCTTTTCCATTGTAGAATGCATTGCATGGCTTTATCAGCACATATGTGACCGAGGAAGACTTCTTAGATGTGGTCCTGCCGACGATGGAGAAAGCACTATTGCGATCACCAGAGGTTTCCCTTCCTGGTGAGCTTCGTCAGCAGTTTCCATTCGTGGCGTCGCTTAGTTTCAATTCGCAGTCGTCACGAGCTTCTTGTCTGCATATGTACACCCAATGGCGGGCGTCTCGTTCCAGAAGTTGCTGACGCCTACGCTGAATAGCGCGAAGTCATTCAATGCAGTTGCAAGAGATCACTCAACGCGATTGTTCAAGGTGCTTGTCGAGAAATCTGGTGATGCAGCCGATATCGACTACGCCGTCAATGAGGTGCTAGCTCTGCCGAAAGCAGGTAGAACAACGGGGCCAGATCACCGTTTCGCCTTATACACGATGCTCGATTCTATCCAGCCGTCGTCTTCAACATCTGCCGCTATCGTTCCGGCTGGTCTTCCTCTTCTGGCCAAAGAAACCCATGATGCCGCTATATCGGTTCTGGCAGCCTCAGTGGCACCACATCTGGCATACTGCATGGAACAGGACATTGCGCTACCTGTCGACATCGTATCCTTGGTCGTGAAAGAGATGAACAGCGTGAAGCCAGTCGTGCGACGAGCCTTCTGCAGGTTGCTGGGTGATGCATTCTGGCGACTGGATAACATCAAGTCTGACATTTCTCTGTCTCTCGCAAAAGCTGTCTTGCCTGCCTTAGAGAACAATCTCAAGACTGTCGCAGCGGGCCCGCTGGCTGCCGCCGCCGGGCCTTTGGAAGGGTACACCGCGGTTGCGGTACTGTTAGGTCCCTTCTCACGCTCCGGCCAATTTGGTAGATCGATAACGTTTTCTGTATATTCGCGACCAATCCTGATGTCTTTTATGCTATGCAACCCTAGACAATTTCATCTCGCGCAATGCAACTCTGCAGTCCTTGCTGTCGGCCGGTCCCAAACCGTCATTCTTACTGTGGGAGAAGGTATATCAGAAGTTGAGTGCCATCGAGGACGAGACCTGGCTTCTACGAGCGGCAGAGGCGATGCTTCCGTTCTTCAAGAATGACCTAATGCGAAATGAGCAAGCTTGGTCCGTTCTCTATCTCGTCCTATCTCGACACAGCATCTGAGTGTACTTCATTCAGTGCCATGTTGGGGCTGGTCTTACTGCACCTCGCCGTCGAAAGTCGTTCCCCGGAGATTCGGCGAACAGTGATCAAGGTTCTAGAAGTTGCCACGGCGCAAATGCCGGAGCTTGTGAATAAGCTGGTGACATCGTCCTTGCCGATCTACCTTTCAAGAGCTAAGAATTCTTCACTGGGAATCGTCGACGAAGGAGCGGAGGACAGCAGTCATGTAGTCAGACGTCTTCCTGCATTCGCTTTGGCGTCCGCAGCATTCGATGAGGGCTGCGACCAAGTAATTCGGGCGTCTTGCCTGGTCAATCTATCTGTATTGGCACACCATCCTTTATTAGGTGCGCTCGGACTGGATTGGTGTGCCGATCAGATCTAATGGGTGATCAGGTGCAACGATTGGGCAACAATGGATTGAACTGTGCCAAAAGGCACGCATCGATCCTCACGATTTAGTATGCGACAAGGTAGACGAGATTCTTGGCAAGGTGCTAGGCACCCTGGACAGGAGGTCAAAGGTCTGTCCTCATTCATCTGGCCGCGCATATTTGGTTAAAGCCCGTCATCTTCGCAGCTGTACAATGAAGACCTCGCAGAAGCCGGCTTCCGCGCTGTGACGAGCGCCGTCTTCGTTGCACCAGAAGTTGTCCTTCCTCGCGTCATGGAGGAGCTACGCGGCGACATTAACGCTGACGAGATCAACTCGCTGACTACAGACGATTTTGGTATATGGGCCACTCCGGAAGGCCAGACATACGTTGACGGTATGCTGTTCGTAACGTGCAATGAGAACTTAGCTGACTGGCGTGAAATGCAGTGCTCTCGTCCAAGAAGAAGGAAGAGCCGCAGAAAAAAGGGAAGGGATACAAGGACGCTCAGTGGGAGGCTGAGGTGCGCAAGTCGCTCGCGAACAAGAAGGGTGCAATCCCTGCATTGTCGAAACAAGAGCTCGCGTTAGTAGAAGCGCAGCTAGAGAAGGAGAAGATAATTCGACAGCGTGTCGCTACCATCAAAGCGAAGCTCGAGCGTGGCCTTCACTTGGTTCACCATGTGGCTCAAGCTGGAGTCGAGGAAATCAGATCTTATCTTTCAGCTATGACGGCATTACTAATACAGGGTGCTTTCGGAAAAGCAGTCACTCTTGTCGGCTTCTCCTCCTTTGAACGCTATCTGGTATGATGGTATCTCTATGCAACTGAACGTCATGCTTACATACCTGCAGGAACTTGCTGACGCATGCTCAGACAGGCTTGATTCGTACCGAAAATGGATTGGAGTTGCAACGCTGCGTAGTCTGGAAGTCGACGGGATTCCGGAGGAATATCAGGTCGAGCCTCTCAATGGTTAGCAATTGGGCACTCGCTACTGTCCAGATACTTATGAGATGTCTTCTCCAGCTCTCGTTCTCAGGGTGCTGTACAGGCTGCGGTCGCTTTCGGAACAGAGCCCCTTTGATGCAGCAACGTTCTCCTACACTTCGCCCTTACTCACTCAAGTTCTCGTTAAGGGCGGCGTGGCTTTGGCAGAGGAAGATGATCCGTTGGAACAGGTTACATTGGCAGTTGACATTATCAGATTCCACTCCGGAGAATGTGAGCATTTCTCACTGGCACATGATCTCACTATTGCTGAAATCTTCATCAGTTTCAGACCCACGATTTCCCAGGTCTCGGACACTGCAAGACTTACTTTACGTCATCAAGCATCAACCTAAGGTTGCGAAAGATGCGTCGACGGCACTTATCGATATTGGCCAGTCAATGCAGCCAACTGCGACGCGCCCGGAAATCGAGGTGTTATTGCGTGGTACACTCCAGCAGGAAGTCTATGTGCGCAACTCATGTCTGCAGACCCTTCAGGTACGACCATGAGCTGTTCGTCTATGTCAGAAAATTGATGCTACGTCTGTGCTCAGCCATTTGATTTGACGGAACTAGACTGGTCTCCTGAACTATGGATCGCATGCCATGACGATGATGAGCAGAATGCACGTCTTGCACGCCATCTATGGGAGGACAACGGCCTAGATGTCCCCGAAAGCTTCATGGACATACTTCCACAATATCTGCAACACGAGAATGCTTACGTTCGCAACAGTACCTCTGCGTCCATAGCCGCCGCCGTGATAGAGCATTGGCCACAATCTATCAGCAATGTTTTGCGAATTATGGAGGGTCACTATCGAGAGAAGGTCTGTCTGATTCTCCTCGAGATCTTCGATAAGATTAACGCGCATTCAGGCTAAAATCCTCGCACCGGAATTCGATGAATATGTAAGTAATGATACAAGTATGACACGACCAACTTACCGACGAGGTAGTGCAGGGAATAGTGATTGCCGAAAGTCTGGACCGCTCAGATCCGTGGTCTGCGAGGGTGGCCATCGCGCGCTCATTTGAATTGCTCGCACCCGCGTTTGTAGAAGCCGATATCGAGCCGTTCTTTAGGTTCTTGATCAAGGACGAAGCTCTTGGCGACCGTCACCCAGATGTGCGCCGGGGAATGCTGAATGCAGGCATGACCGTTATCGATCTTCACGGGAACATACGTTTGGCTGGCCTAATAGCGATGTTTGAAGAAGAACTGTCAAGCTCAACTTTAGGCACGGAGACTGCGGATTTCATCAAGGAGGCTGTCGTGATCCTGTTCGGCCGGGTAGCTAGACATCTTGACCCAAGCGATCCGCGCATCCCGCAAATTATCGAACGATTGGTCGAAGCCCTCAGGACTCCCGCTGAGCAGGTTCAGATTGCTGTCTCCGATTGTCTCGCAGCACTGGTGAAAGCGACGCAATCGCCTATCAACTCTCTTGTTGACCGTCTGTTGGACAACATGTTCAACGCTCCGAAGTACGCTGCACGACGTGGTGCAGCTTATGGGTTAGCTGGGGTGATCAAAGGCGCCGGCATTGCTACTATCAAGGAGTTCAACATCATAGAACAACTGAAGGCTGCTGCTGACGACAAGAAGCGATTCGAGCCGCGCCAAGGGGCTATGTTTGCCTTCGAGACCTTCTCTAGTACGCTCGATCGCCTTTTCGAACCATATGTCATCCACATCCTTCCTGTGCTTTTGGCTTCGTTCGGAGACGGAACAGCTGACGTCCGTGAGGCCACACACGATGCTGCTCGTGTCATCATGGCCAACATGTCAGGTTATGGAGTGAAGACAATCCTCCCGTCGCTATTATCAGGTCTGGATGAGAAGCAATGGCGAACCAAGAAGGGTTCTATCGAGCTAATCGGAATGATGGCATATTGTGCGCCTCGACAACTCTCACAATCATTGCCGATCATTATCCCCCGTCTCACCGACGTCTTGACGGACTCTCATGCTCAGGTCCGTGCAGCTGCTAACAAAAGCTTGAAACAATTTGGTGAAGTTATTAGCAACCCGGAGATCCAATCTCTTGTGCCTATCTTCTTGAAAGCCATGGTAGATCCCGCCAAGACACCTAATGCGTTGTCTTCCCTCCTCAAAACGTCGTTCATGCACTACATCGATCATTCTTCACTGGCTTTGGTGAGACTTCTATTGTAGTCATCAGGATTCTTTTGACGTGTCATGCCTCATGGAAATAGGTGGTTCCAATCGTCGAAAGAGGATTGAGAGAGCGCGGTGCTGATACCAAGAAGAAGGCAGCGCAGATCGTTGGGAACCTTGCGTCCCTCACTGACTCGAAGGATTTCGTGCCGTACTTACCTCAGTTGCTTCCGTTGGTGCATGTGGTATTGGTGGATCCGGTCCCTGAAGCCCGAGCAACAGCTGCGAAGGCATTGGGTACACTGGTCGAGCGCCTCGGCGAGGTACACTTCCCAGACTTAGTTCCGGGGTTGCTTCGCACTTTGAAAACGGATACCTCTGGAGTGGACAGGCAAGGTGCAGCCCAAGGACTGAGTGAAGTATTAGCAGCTCTAGGTATGGAGCGTATGGAGGGCCTTCTTCCGGATATCATTTCAAACGCGCAATCACCACGCAGTACCGTTAGAGAAGGGTTCATGTCTCTCCTCGTTTTCCTTCCCGCGACGTTTGGCGCCCGATTCCAGCCGCATCTGCCGAAGATAATCCCGCCTATTCTGAATGGGCTGTCCGATACCGAGGACTACGTCCGAGAGGCCGCTATGCGTGCTGGACGTATGATTGTCACTAACTATTCAACGAAAGCGATCGATTTGCTCCTGCCAGAACTGGAGCATGGAATGTTCGATCCTGGTTGGCGCATTAGGGTGAGCATACACTCGTGTATGTCGGCTTTTCTAAGTCCACCCCCCTTAGCAATCCTCCATCACTCTTGTTGGAGAGCTGTTGTTCAAGGTCTCTGGCATCAGCGGCAAAGCTGAGATTGAGGAAGAAGAAGAGATAGCTGACACTGCAGTGGCCGAGTCATCACGTCGCGCCCTTGTCGAAGTACTAGGGCCCGAACGCAGAGACCGGATTCTATCTGCGCTATACCTCGCTCGGCAAGACTCGGTCAACGTGGTCCGTCAATCATCTATTCACATCTGGAAAGCCCTTGTGCACAATACTCCACGAACAGGTCGGCGATTTAGTCGTTTTCTTTACGCTCCTTCATCACTCATCCCTTTTCAGTTCGTGAGATACTTCCCGAGCTCACCACTCGAATCATCTCTCTCCTTGCTGGCTCGGAGGCGGACCAACAAGAGGTAAGTACGAAGACCGTTCAATTGCATTGTTAGTACTAATAACAGTTTTAGACCGCAGGCCGTACTGTTGCTGAGCTATGCCGCAAATCAGGAGAGAAAGTTTTGGCAGAGCTTGTGTCAATTCTCAAGTCCAAATTGACCTCGACAGATGCAAAGACGCGCGAAGGCGTCTGTTTGACTCTTTGCGAGCTAATGCCAGTATTCATATACTCTGAAATAATCGCCAGCATCTGATAGGTGTATTCTAACAGGGAAAGCACGACCGATACCCAAAGAGAAGGGCAAGACGATGAGATCATATCGATGGTCCGTACCTCGCTTGTGGCCGATGAGGCAAACGTCCGGGCAGCTGCTGCAAGAGCATTCGACGTTCTACAAGAGCATATTGGAGTGAAGGCGATTGACCAAACCATACCCACCCTTCTGGAAGCTCTACGACAACCCGGTCAAAGCTCTGGAACGGCGTTACAGGCACTTAAAGAAGTGATGGCTGTGAGTGCTGTCCCTGCATACGTCGCAATTGTGCATTGAGAACGATTCTTCCAGGTCCGAGCCTCCACCGTGTTCCCGGTGTTAATTCCCACTCTGACTGCGATTCCGATGTCCGTCTTCAATGCTCGAGCCCTTGCATCACTTGTGACGGTCGCAGGGACTGCATTAAGCAAGCGGCTTACTGTCATTCTCACTGCCCTCGCAAAAGTGAAGGAAAGTCCGGACACTCGAGATGAAGAGCTCAAGGGCGCGATCGATGAAGCTATTCGAGCACTGCTGGCGTCTATATCCGATGCGGAGGGATTGAATACCCTCATGCTCCTCCTTCTCGGTTGGTGCGTGTTCGTTTTTAGCGTTGTAGTCTGTCATGCTCCTAATCACGGTGAACGACAGGGCGAAGCATGAGACGGTGTCGCGACGCGTCACTGCCTGTGAACTCTTTGCCATCTTCTGCGAGGAGTCGGAATTAGATTCGTCCTTATACCGCGTGGACTGGATACGACAACTTGTATCCCTTTTGGACGACAGCGAGGTCGCGGTGCACACTGCTGCACAGCAGTCTCTTGATGTGTTCGTCAAGTCGCTACCCAAAGATGAGCTGGAGTCTCTCGTAGTTCCTCTCAGACGAACCATCGAGAGTACTGGCGCTCCTGGCAGACATGTTCCGGGCTTCAGCCTACCGAAGGGAGTTGCACCGACTGTTCCTATCATAATAGCAGGTCTAACGACAGGAAGCAATGAGCAGCGAGAACAGGCGGCATATGCAATTGGTGACCTCATTGAGCGCACTGAGGAGAACGCCATGAAGCCTTTTGTCGTTCCTTTCACTGGACCTCTCATTCGTGTGGCGACGCAGGCGACTACTTACCCGCCAGCAGTCAAGACAGCCATCTTGACGGCCCTATGCACCATGCTAGAGCGCATCCCGTCGTTTGTGAAACCGTTCTTCCCTCAGTTGCAGCGTACGTTTGTCAAGAGCGCAAGCGACCCATCCAGCCTCATCGTGCGAAACAAGGCAGCTCAAGCTCTTGGTGTGCTTATGCGCTCTCAACCAAGAGTGGATCCAGTCGTCACCGAGTTGGTCACTGGTGTGAAGAGCAACGAGGATTCTATAGCGGCCAGTCTCATAGTCGCGCTAGCTCATGTCGTTCACGGCGCTGGTGGTAACGTGGGAGAGAAAGCGAGGGAAGCGTGCATTGAGATTGTCACAGATGCATTCAGAGAGACACACGACGGTAAGTTGCGACCAACGTGACCACGGAGTGACCTTCAGTCTGAATTGTTTGTCTCTTCAGAGCATTACCAACAGTCCATAGCAGCTCTCTTTGCCGCCCTGTCGAGGTACCCCGAACTGGTGAAGCCTGTTGTGAAGTAAGGCTGGCCTGTCTCTTTTCATACATCAATTGCTGACACTCCTGCAGTGCGTACCTGCTAGCAGGCACTCTGCCTTCTATGCTGTCTTCGCTTTGCATTCTTGCCGTGCTCTCTCCCGACGACGATCTTGCTCCGAGCGACGGTGCGCCGAACGTCTTCCAAGCCTTGGGAGTTATCCACAGCATCGCGCAGAAGGTACAGGAGAGCATTGGTACCGACAAGCCGTCCATAGCCCGTCCGGCTCGCGAGGCGAAGGAATTGTTGAAGTCGCTGGATGATGACGCGGTTCAGGGAGTGTTCTGAAGTTTGCACTGCACATACCGCCGAAACGCATAGGAATACCGATGAATTGTATCGAGATCTACTTGATGACTCACGAACACGCTATATGAAAGCAACTAATCATGCATCAATAGCTACGATTTATCCCTTAAATTGAAACGCTGTTAATCGCACGCATCAGCTCTTGTCGTCAAGCTCTTCGGCTTGCCGCTCGCTCTGGAATTCAATCCCTTCCTCGACGTCCAGCTGCACAATTCCAAGCTCAATATCATCCTGCATCGTCCTCTCCTCAGATACTACGTTCATGCGCTTCTCTTCCGCTTTGGCAGCTGCGCGAAGACGATCCTCATCGCCGCGCGAAAGCTCCTTGTGGCGGATCATCAGCACACTTGCAACCGTCGCCACCGCAGCGAGGCTTGCGTTCATGACGAACACCGTGCGAAAGCCGTGCGTGTACCCATTGAGGATGTCGTCAGCCATGGATGGCGTGACGCCGAGTGACCCTAGCTTGCTGGAGGATGAGGCAGAGAGCCGGTCGCCTAGGATCGTAGGGTCGTCGATGATGGCCTTGATGGTCGACTGCGAGAGGCCGAGGACTGTCATGGACTGGCGCAGCGAGTTGTTGCTGTGCATCGCGACAGCATGAGCATTCGCGCTTAAGGAGACGTACTGATGTGTAGGCTTACATGATGGATGCTCCAAGAGCCAGTGACAGTGTGCCTCCTAGCAGCCTGACGAACTGTTTGGAGGCGATCACGTCAGAGTTTGCGGAGGGGCTGGAAAAATGGCTATGGCTTACGTTCCGAACCGCTGTCACGACGGACATGTCCTTCCGTGACACGCTCGCCTGAGCCGCAACAGTGGTGGTCTGCAGAGTCTACGTTCGCACATTGAAGCAGTCATCATTAGCTTGCGAATGCCTCCTGAGACTATCACGCTGAGCGTAATATATCCGTAGGAGCGCGAGGTTATGCGTGTTCCTGCGGCGATCACGCACCTGTCCTGCACCTAGTCCGGAGAGAAGCATGAAAAATACGAGGAGCCCCTTCCGTGTACTGCTAGTGACTGTCGACAGGCATCCGCATCCGATGGCCCACACCGAGAAGCCGCTATGTATGATGGTCTGTAAGGGATATGGCTTCAGGATCTTCGCTGAATCTGAGCGGAGAAAAAGGAATGCACCCTATATCGCCCCGTTCTACTCACGATCTGGCCCTAGATATGGCTGTGAACAACCTATCATGCAGATAAAAGTGTTCAACCAAAGACGCACCGAGATAAAACTGGCTGTTGTCTGGCTGACGAGAACGGGAAGGAGGAACACGCCGGAGCGAATAGGCGAGTATCCCAAAGCGACCTGGAAGAACTGCGGGAGATAGAAGAGTGCCGAGTAGAAGATCATTCCGCTATAAGAAAAAATCCCGATCAAGACCTCGACGACAGTGTGCCAATGAAACAAGAACAAGAGCACTCACTTCGCAAACATCGTGATGTATACTCCGGTGACGGTGATGTGCTTGAAAATATACACTGCAAAGTCATGTGTTATAAGCGTTGTGAACGCAAATGCAGCCGAGCTTCACACACTGGGCACGATAGGCAATCTTGCGCCTTTCCATTCCCAGAAGCAGAAGAGGGACACTACAAGGAACCCTGAACATAACGGTGCGAGCACCACTGCTGATGACCAAGGGAAGGTTACTCCGCCCTACCCGCGGCGTGTGAGCTCGATAATATAGGCAGTCCTGGTCACACACCCATATGATCGGAAGAATCACAAGGGTGCACCCAGCCAGAGTCAGTGCCGCTCCTAGATAGTCAACGGCAAGGAGTTTTCTACATGGATACTGTGAGCAAATGGCCATGGTGACCCTCCATCGCATTTCACTTACCTACGGAAGTTACCTTCGACAGGCTTCAGCGGGAGAACGAGCAGGACTGTGCACATGGCGGTGAATGAGATTGGGGGAGTAACCCAGAAGCACCACTGAACGATTTGAGTAAGCTTCTTCAATCAGGATAATGACACTCACCCGCCAGCTGACTTTCTCCGCCAGGACACCGCCGATGAGGGGTCCGATCGCGAAGCCGAACGCGACGACAACGCCGATGATACCTTGATATTTCCCTCTTTGAGAAGTGCAACACATCAGCGCCGGAAAAGTACCTTCGTCAAATTGGAGCTCCACGCACCTCTCACGAAGCGTCACAACATCCGAAATGACAATTTGCCCAATACTCACGATGGCTCCACCGCCGGCACCGGCAAGTGCGCGAAATATGATCAACTGAATGATCGTGCGGGAGAACCCTGCGAGAATGCTGCCTAGCATGAATATTGACATGGCGAGACATAGGCTGGCCTTGCGTCCGAAGATGTCGCTGAAACGCCCATCTAGTCATTCGTTGAAATTTTGGCTGTCAATCACTCCGTCTCCTCGTCAGCGGCCTAGAAGCTCACAGAGAGGCTGAAAGGCAGTCGATGTGAGCAGGTACGCAGACGGGACCCATGAGACCACCGCGCCAGCATTGAAGACGTCGGAGATTGTCGGCAACGCGGTCGCGACAATGGTCGAGTCAAGGGTGGAGACCAGGATACACATAGAGAGGCCGCAGAAAACGACTACGACTTTCTTGAACGGCAGCAAGTTGGTCTGGTCTGTCAAGGAGATGGTGTCTGCCGCCCTTCTCGTAGTGGAGTCATCTACCGCTACGGCTGCTGCACCTATGACTCGACCCTCTCAGCCTCTGACAGAGACTACACCATAAGATAAGAACAATACCATTGCTGTTGTCGTTGTCGTCGTGTTGCGCGTACTGACTGCCAGGCATGACTGTGGACTCAGCTCGAGTGTCGTGGTGGTCGTTCGTCCGATCCTTAGAATCTGCCATGGGCGTTATAGGGGGATCACACGAGCGTACCATGCTATCTTCAGGGCGGTCCGAGGAGCCTTGCCGAGGTCGGCCGCCACGACGAGACGCAATCATGTGACCGCGTTAATCGATTGAGCGCGCGCTAAGACGCGTGCATACGCGTAACACTCGTGCTCTGGCGCCATCGTAGGCCACAGGCACTTAGTGAGATTGCAATGGCGGATGTGTTGAAGTAACTGTACCAAGGAGGCTTCATCATCATGCATTTTCTGCGAGACAACGCGCGGCGCGACATAAGGAACCAGATGATGCGGAGATCTATAGCAGTAAACTGATTGGAATTGCTTCGAGACATGCTGCTCGAATCGTGTCTTTTACACTTGGATCAGCCTGCGTACCTATCGAATGTCTACTTTTCTTTCTCCTCGGTTTTCTCTCCTTGCTTCTCCGCACTGACGTCTACCGGCGGGGAGCCACCTTCTGGCTTCTCGACCTTCGGCTTTCTAACGTATTTCTCGTACACAGAGCACTTGTCGAGATCCAACATGATCCCCTCCGTGATCGGCTTGCCATCCTGGTCCACGCCGTTGAACGACATGATCGTTTCAGGGCAGACATTCCCATGGAGGAAGCCGGCCATGTAGTAAGCAAAGTGTGCTACCGAGAAGCGATGCAGTGAGTTAACACGTTCGCATCATTATGTAGCGATCCAAACGCTAAGCGCACCACGTATAGCCTCCATCCATATGACCAGAAACTCCTCCGCACTCTCGAACTCACCCATCGCCGCGGGTGTGAGCTCCGCCACATGCTCTGAGACGCGACGGAATTTGCAGGTCTGAGATTGGGACATTATGGTACAGGGACCGTGACTAGACGATATTGATCAAGCGTCTGCAGATGGAACTTTGGAAGACTTGGGATGGAAGATTACCACTGAGCCGTAACGACATCTCAAACAATGCATCATTTTAGGTTCCGACTCCAACCCATCACGATCACGTGAAAATACCTGTCGGACGGGAACCTTAGGCTAGCTCGGGGCAACTTCGCGCTTCTGCATGTCACGTCTGTCGCATAAATTCCAGCTAGCATACGAAAAAGCGCAGAGAATCAGCCTGATCGTGCACCGCTCACAGACGGGAGCAGAGGAATGAGAAGAGGATCGTCGAGCTGAGCCTGCTCCTGACCGAATAAGAACGCCAGTGCTAGTTGCAACGACCATGACTTTGCATATAGGCAGAGAATGGAATTAGCGATAGGTGAGCAGGTAGTGCTTATTCAGAGGGGGCGTGAGGAACACGGGCATAGTGGGCGTTCACAAAAATAGTGAGCCTGAGCCACTGCGGTACGTATACAGGAGGAGGAGAAATATTAAACCCAATTTCATGGCATACTATCATACGGTGAGAAATGTCCCCCTTCTGACACATAATTAGGTACCGAAGCTACTCATGGACGTTCTTCGGTGTCCGTTTGCGTTGATATGGAAGACTTCATTATTGCTATCAGAGTTTCATCCGATCTTTCATCGCGTATTGCTCGGCTGCGGTGGGCGCTGCAGACCAAACGCGCATACGGCTTTAAAGACGGATGCACGCATACCGGCAGCACCCACTTCACTCCGTCTTCGAGTCGCAGCCATGGTTACAGTAACTGTGAATGTGAGTGGCACACTGCTTGCTTCACCCTCGACCTGATGTTTGACTCTCCACAGTCTCACCTTAGCGGCAAGCAGAAGAAAGAAGTGAAGAAATACCTCGAGAACATCGATCCTGCCAAGGTGGAGAAGGTGTACGGGAAGGGGCAGTACAAGCCGTGGCACGGGGACGGCAAGTCTCAGTCACAGACGAACGTCACCTTCCAGACAAAGTCGCAGGAGACCAGCGGGAAGCCTCCGGTCTACATTACCATTGTCGCCTTGAAGGGTCAAACGGACGCATACGTTACGTATGAGTCGACGGAGTGGGCCAGCGAGACCGCTAAGCAAATCATTGATGCGATGCTGAACGCCGTCTGAGGTGCGTCCTTGGTGTGCTTGAAACCTGATTATATGCCACTGGATTATGAGACTGACTATTTAATTGCAGAGATGACAGGGCGCTCATTTCTCACGCACGATGAGGAGAAGGAAGTGCATTGAGAGAACTTTCGTGTATTTGGCATAGCTGTAAGAAGTAGACGAGGGGATTTGAGGTATGATCAACACTGCCAATGGACAAATTGGTAATGCTCGATTTGCTGGGCTCTCATGAGGGCCGGATGGGTTGACAAATCTGTTAGCAGCCTTAACGAGACTCTGCTACAGGTATATGAACTTGCTGATTTTTTTTTATTATGTTGGTCGGCTTGCGCCTTTGAAACCGTCATCCATTCATTGCGGCTCTGACAGTGGCAGACTTTCACGCTCGCGGCTGCTGCCGATCTGTGCCTGAATGTATCAAACTCCGCGAAGATCGATGGCATTTCCAGCCACCGGGGTGTCCACTTTTACCTGCAATGGTCTAAACATCTGCTATGCCGTAAAATTGGTCTGGCGCGTGCAACGGATCAACTGCTGCTATCAATTCACTGACCTTTTCTATGTCTCGGACAACTTTCAGCATTGCGGCAGCTGGATGCAGCTTTTGGCCTGGCGAATCGCCCTTGCTGTTTATGCAATATTGAGCATATGCTTCGTGCGAGCTGAGCACGGTATTTTTGCTCGGATATCGTGATTGGGAAATTATGTCAAGGTACAAATGCGGGCCACAGTCAGAATCGGCACTATTGAAAGTGATCGCATAGCTTGTATGACAACTACTGCACCTGCGTCAACTCGTAGGCGTCACGATCCCCACTGATACTTGGCTCGTCTTCCATGCTATCCTCGACATTCTCAAATACAAGAGACGTGTGCTGGACCTCGGCGCCAATGTTGCCAACCAGGCGAGAGGTAAAGTCCGACGTGTTCAGGGTGCTGTGAGAATTTGTATTCAGGCGCATGCTGCCGGAGGACGCCTGGCGTAGGTTGAGGATGAAGCGCGACACCGGGATTGATGAGATTCTGATTGACTCGGTAAGCATGAGTTGAGCTGAATTGGGTATGATCGGTCGCTTACGGTGGCAGGAAATGTGCGACGTAGGTTGCGGTGTTCTGCTGGCACGTTACATTCAAATGACCATGCATTTATACGGGCAGACTTGCCTGTGAATTCTCGTAGCGGACTTTGATCACGATCTCGAGGATATTGAGAATCAGAAGGGTCCTAATAAACGGTGGCAGAATACAGTCATGACAAGGCACTGTGACGAAACCCGACGTACATGAAGTAGAGCGTGCCTTGATTGGCTGCTTGTAAGGCATCACGTACACTGGAAGAGCCACACATACTCACCGTCTCTCATCAGCACCGTCGCGATCGATCCTCTGAATTGTGACTTGCGCACTTTCATGGCGAGTCCGGATGTTTTGAACCAAGTGACAAGGACCACGATCAGGTCGGATACAGCCGGGCAGATGCGCGCGATGAGGACGACTGCAGGAATGGTGCGTGCCAGAGCAACAACTCATCGGAATTTTTCAAGCTCACGTCTAAGCAAGGGAGAATCAGTTCTAGGAGTACCGACGTCAGAGAGGTGGACGTGGCACTTACTTGTTCTCTATCGCGATGGACCGGTGGACGTTATAGTCACAAAGTGGATAGCTGCCTACGTAAGTGATGAACGCGTCTGAATCTCTTGTATATATAAACTGCCGAGAGGCGCTCAACAGACATATAATGGCAGAGAACATGTATACTCACGATGTTGACGGTGACCGGCGCTAGCCCCAGTATCAAGACTAGCAATGCAGGGATGATCTGGTGTCCATCAATAGCATATGTGCGGAACGCGGAAAAGCCTAACATTTTATCGATCAGTCTCTTCATGGGATCTGAGTCAAAAATCCTCTGACTTGCTGTCACAGCCTCAAGAACAGCGACTGTCACGTCTGTCGATAAAAGCACAGCCTCACAGCTGCGACAATCTATTAATCGCGCTGGACATATGGTGCGGTCGTCGCCTCACCTCTGTGTGCGCGTAGATCGTGAGTGCTACATTCACTCGCAGCACGACATGACATTACTTACCAGTGGAGTATGCCACCAGATGGCATTCAGTGTGACATTGATGCCTTGTACCATGAGTAGATAACGGTTGAGGGCAAATATGCCTGTGACAGTGGTCAACCTGGCTTTCCAGATGACATGAACCTCGTCAGAGAAGGTCGTAATGTACTCAAAGAAGATGAGGGCTGAACATGTCTAGTCTGTAAGTCGAGTTCGATCGCTTAGAATGGTCGGACCCGGGGGCGTACCAATAGTTGCAACATAGCAGTATCCATTGATGTATCTGTGACCATGATCGCAAACCCGTTAGTTGAACTCCTCGGAAACTATCGTCGTCCTCGCCCTTCCTGTAACAAGACCACTTTTTCCTGAGCCGATATGCTTGTAGCTGACATGTTCGACATTGTAGAGGTATCAACGTCGGTGACAACGGTCAATGCAAGTCAGAACAGTTGTCGGAGGAACTTTAAGGGTGCCCGCGTGCGACTCATCGTTATATAATGCCTGATTGACCGCACACATGAACGCAGAGGCTAAGGTTCAGATGAGGGCTTACGGATAGCATAGGCATTGAAGACTGCACAAAACCACCGTTCATATAATACGTGTGGTTCATCATGCGCGTGTGAACATAGTTTCCTCGCTTCTAGTCGCGGAGAGAAGCTGAGGAAGAAGTCGTGAGAGCAGTGTGGTAGCAATCCAGCAGCTCGCCGTGGCATCCAAAGCCGCCAAAACCGCGGTGCTGATGATAATCTTGTGTTCTTAATGACCGCGTCCGCTTTGGGCCGTAGAACCCACATTTTTGGCCAACAGGCAACTCTCGCTCGGCTTACATATGCCAGGCCTGTCCGATCACTCGATCGCTCTTTGGCTGCACTCCCGAACTTGCAGGCCTTCTGCCATGGATCAAAGGATGGCTCCGTCCTTCCTAACCCGCCGCTCCAACGACATCCGCAGGCACTCTCGAATCCAAGCAGGAGGACCCCATTGCGGGCTCTAATCACCGCGCATCGCATAGCATCAAACTGCCTGCTGTCCAAGTTCTCGAACACGGTGTTTCGGGTGGGTCGAATCGGCACATGGAATGGAAGAGCGCCGAGATCACGTTGCTGAAGCGCGAAATCGGACACGAGGCATTCAGAAGCATGAAGCGACGGCTGGGGCATTGCCCCAGAGCCTAACATTAAGCGCGACGCTATCACGGCGGGGGACACGACGAACATGGATACGATCTCGAACGAGCGTAGCGTGCGCACGCCGCATGCTCATGCCATCGCCGTGGGTCCCAGCGACGGGCTTATGGGCAACTCGGAGGGCGGGTATGTGCAGTATCGCGCTTTCATGACGGCGCGTTGTCAGATGCTCGTTGGACCTGCAATGGAGGAAATGTCTAGCAGAGATCATCGAGCAATACGGACATTACAGGACTTGCCACAGAGGTGAACGGATATATCATGGGTATCGTGAAGTGCGGCGTCGGCCGCCGAGGAGACGAGGCACATGTGTTGGCGGCTAGGAGAGATCAGGTAGAAAGTGTCGAAGGCGAACGCTTCGAGACAGCCCATAAGGATTGGCTGACGAGCGAAAGGGGTCGGTAGAAGCTCCGTCATTGAAAAAGATTCCATACGCACCACAAAAACTCCAGCTTATCATACCTCGCCTCATGAGAACGCCGCAACGCAGCCACTTCGCGCCGCGATGGTCGAACACCATGATGAACGCCCGTCAGCGAGATGCACGAACAGCCGATCACACAGCACGCTTCTGCTCTTCCCACCGCAACAGCTAGAGGGTTGATGCAGATCAGTACGGCTGCGCAGTGTGTCATGGGGCGCACTGCGCGAGAGATGGCGACAGATGCATTAACAACTTGAGCGGTCTTCGTGCTTGCGATGGATGGTACGAGTGCGCGAACATAGAGCATAGAGCGTCTCTCGGCCGAGGCAGAGGTATAGGAACGTTGATGCAATGCTGAACGCCGTCCGAGGTGCGTCCTTGCTAGTGTGCTTGAAACAAAGCCTTTCCGGCTGATATACCACCTTCGCGCAGGCACAATGCATAAGAATGGTGTCGAAGATAATTTCCTGACGTTATACGAGTACAAGCGAGAACGAACGGTCCTCTGGAGCACTGTACATAATGCAGATCATTCATCATAATCGGTCTTCTCTTCGTTCTCTTGCCGTTGGCCCTGCTCGCTGGATTCGACAAAACTGAGGTCACACACGACATTCTCCACCGATGCCGTGTACACGTTGGGACCGAGAATCAACCTCCCGGGAATATGTCCAGCGACATGGAGACGCGCAAATGTCTCCATGATCCACTCTTCGTGTCTAAACCAGGCTATGTATCCGCCAGTGAGCACCTCGTGGAACTTGAGGTAGTACGGAGCATCCGTGAACACCGTAGCGCGCAGCAAGTCCGTGTCTCCATGCACCTCGTGCAGCGCTCTCGCGAAACAGGCGCCGAAATGCTGCCGCAGATAGTATCGCTTGACCATCGCTGCCGCGCGGGTGGTCATATCGACACGATCGCCCTCTCCGCGGAACTCCTCCGCCCAGGCAGTCGTGTCGCCGAGCGACGTCCAGTCGTGGGGGACCGTGTTCCAGCCTTCGTCTGGGTGCCCTGGTCGCTCGCAAGGATCGTCGCCCTCTGTAAGGAGATCGTGCGGGTAGTGCGCGGTGAGCATGAGCGGAAGTATCTGGGCACCTCCCCAATCGATGATCCCATTCACTTTCGAGTAGTCATGAGGGTCTACAACGATGTTCCGAAGAGCGAGGTCGGGGTGATGGAGAACCAGAGTGAGATAGAGCGGTGGTGGAACGAAGTATGGGATGAGCGCGGAGAGTGTCTGCAAGAGTCGGCCGAACTTCTGAGGCGTGTACTGGCCGAACGAGTCTGGCAATTCGTCCTTCTCGAGCGTGGACCATTCGTTCATGGCGCGCACGACTTCACGTTCGAGGAGCCAATACCACATGTCAGAGATGGACTTCCAAGGGCCACCCAGGACGTCTCCTGTGAGTGAAATGCCCTCGGCAACGACGAACCCCTTCGTAGTAGAATCAACGAGGCTACCCAGCCTGTCAAATGGAACGGGCTGTGACAGGGAGGCTTGGATCTTGGCCATGACATTGACGACTCGGAGCTGATCTTCTGCGCCCAGTGCGTCGAGCCCTCGGAGCTCTTTGTCGTGAGAGATGGCGTCGTTCAAGGTCACTCCTTTGACTACATCCATGAGAATGTATGGTGCACCGACTGGATTCGCGAATGTGAGGTCCGAAGCGTGTACTTTCGGCACAGATATATGAGGATACAGTCCGGACTCGCTCACGAAACGAATTGTCGCAATCTCGGAGCGCTTCGTGGCGGGGACAAAGTCCTCTTCATCGGCGTTTGGAATGCTCGCGGCAACATCGGAGCCGTCATCAAAGGCGATACGGTAGACATAGTTGTAGCTGCCGCAGCCAAGAAGAGTGATTGACTCGCAGCCTGTTTTGCCCAGTGCAGCAGTTGCAACTTGAAGAAGCGAGGAGAGATCAGCCCATTTAGGTTTCCGAAGCTGCGATATTTGCGATGCGAGAGAGGAGTTCATGTTTTGCTTGATGTTCCACAAGGAGCACCAACAGGGATTGTGGCAGCTGTCGAGCTTGTGTTGCAGCAGCGGAGTGATTTTATGCAACGCTGTACTTGAGCGCTACGGCCTTGCATGAGGATGAGATTAGTTGCACGAACGGTGGCTAGCCCTGGCTAGCCACAATCGCGAGGCAACGCGATGTGTCACGCGGGTCACGCATCACGACGCTCCAGTCTATGCGTGACTCTCTCTCCCCCTTTGAACCTTTGACTTTGACTCAGCCATTTTTCAGCCATTTTAGATAGCGTAAATGTCAAGATGTGGACGTTACATGTCTTTTCAATGCGGCTGTCGCGCATCTTGCTGAGTGGCGATAAAATCATAGGAAAATGAATCTGACGTCCCAGTGCACAGCTTCTATGTGACTCCACTTAGATGAGAGGTCATTCGATATCAATACACGTCTGCCTATAAATCTGACGTACACAACCTCCACAGAGAGAATTCCGCCCATTCAATTAATATGTGCTGGTATTCAACTTCGATCTCAAACATACCGCCCTGCTCTGTGCGAGCGGTCGAAGGAGCATGTGAGCGAGAGAGTTGGTCAAACTCGAAGTGGCACGGGGAGCAACGGGCCTCAGACGATGACACGTCGAGCCCTGCCACAGAATGCTCGGCGACCCAATGCACACGACCACTAAGTGCTCGGAAAGCAGCCTCAGCGGCACTCGTAAACAAGAAGCATGCCGTAAGCCTTTCATAGCCGTGCGACCCTAAAAGCCGGTCAGGTCCAGACTGTGTACGTGCCATTCGAGACAGCTTCTCACCTTCGGTCCACGGACGTCGCTCATGTCGATACCCATTGGCGCTGTCGATTAGCAGTTGAACCACAGCCTTGACGGTAAAGGCCGGATAATGCATGAGGGCAGTATGCAGACACCAGGATTTTAAGTCCCTACGCCGCCGCCGAGTACACAAAAGGTGAGTATGACAGCCTCATTACGTCCTGATAACGACTACGATCGTACAATCCGTAGATGCTACCGAACGCCTTGCTAGCTTCGCAATGATTCGGCGTTAAAAGAAAGGCTGTCCAGAGATGATCGCGGACGACTATCATTACTCAGGAAAGTGGCACTAAGATGCCAGCTTCCGCGCCAGGACACCGCCAATGAGGGGTCCAATCGCAAAGCCGGATGCGACGACGACATGATGATGCCTTGATATTTTTCTCTTTGAGCAGTCCAACATATCAGCGCCGGAAGAGGCCACCTCGTCAGGTTAGGCTGCACGCACCTCTCACGAAGCGTCACCAAATCCGAAATGACAATCTGCCCGAAGCTCACAATGGCTTCACCGCCGGCACCGGAAAATGCACAAAATATGATCAACTGAACGATGGTGGGCGAGAAGCCCGCGGGAATGCTCCCCAGCACGAGTGTTGACATGGCGAGACATTCACGACATGCGCAACCAATCGCAATTGCAACAATGCATGCAAGGGAGATGACCTCGTATGCGAGCTCGGACTAACGCCGATTGGGTCTTAGGTTTTTAAGCGAGTCCAAAGAGCGCATAGACAGTAGTGCTAACCTGAAAGGTGCTCGCAATCTGCTTGGTGGCTTCTACATATTTAGACGTAAAGAGATGTTATCCAATTGATCGTTTCCGACAGGCATTGGCGCTGACATATGATGCGACTGTGAGATAGTTGCTGAAGCTCGAAGTCTTGAAACCTCTGGGTAAAAATGCTTCGATACGGGTTCCAACGCAGAGAGTTCAGTCTAGCCAATGCGTCTGCGAGTTTGCATCTTACGCCACACCACTAGCAAAGCGGACTATCTCCTACAACGCATTGGTAATCGAACAGGGCAGGGGGGGGCATCGTGCTTGCCAAGCCGGCCAGCTTAATGAGAAGATGCAGACGCAGATTCAAGGCATCAAATCATGGCGCGGAGAAGCAAAAATAGAACTCAATGTCTCCCCGGGCCAGCAGCTGCCAGCAGTCGTCGGTGTTTTGAGGTCATCCTTTAGCCTTAAGGCCCAGTGTCCCCATTTATTAATGTTAGAAAAAGATTGAAGAACCGAAGAGGGCACACATACATCCACATCTCAATTGCCTTCGCATCTGGAGAATTTCAGCATTAGTCTCATTTTACTCTCTTCCACCTCAGATAAGCCAGAGCGGAATATTTCAGCTCTCACGATCCTTCTCAAGTTATAGTTCTACTATACATACCTTGCATTACTGAGGTGTGCGGGGCGACCTTCGTCCTACAACGTCCGTCGAGAAGAAGGCTACCAATACGGTTACCTAGCGATGATTGATTGGCGCCGACTCGTCCTCGCCACGTGTACTAATCAGCAGCATGACTTATTGTTTACCAATCTTTTTTGACGCCATCTTGTCAGCCTGTCGCGAATAATCCTTTTTGAGCCAAACCCAGCGTATCCGCCGCCCAACCAAGCCGAAAAAGAACGGAATGCCAGGAGATAGCAAGATGAAACGCCAGCGAGACAACCGGATTTTGTGCTGAGCCTCCCACCGCTTCTCAAGCATGGCCTCGAAGCGCATGGAACCTTGCCCGATGCGTTCGAACCATCTCACCGATTCCTGGCTCCTGTCCCCCGGAGGATCTTCTTTCCCACCGTGACCCGGACATTGTCAAGGCTGAGCACGCCGGTACGCTCGCTGACTGTGTGCCCGCCCATCTCACCTAATCTGCGTCGCCGATACCATCACCGGTCCGTCGTAACCATTCTCAGGCACCCTTTTTTTCGTGCAGCATCTCAGTGGAGCAGGGGGAGAGCTTTAAAAAGCCCACTTCGCCATGTCGTTCGTCAAAGCCCTTCGCAGCTCTATCGCACCCGCCGTCCGCACGCATCGCACTGTCCCCTCTTCTCTCCTCGCGTCCACCCGAGCAGCTCGTACCGCATCCCCCTTCGTCCACCAGCAGACCCGCACAATGGCTTCCGCGCAGTTTCTCGAAGAGATCAAGAAGCGTCGCACGTACTACAACATCTCGAACAAGTCGCCCATTCCCGACGCGCGCGTCGAGGAGATCGTGAAGCAGATCGTGTTAAACGTCCCGTCGTCGTTCAACTCGCAGAGCAGCCGCGTCGTCGTGCTGTTCAAGAAGGAACACGAGAAGCTATGGGACTTCGCGTCTGAGATCCTCAAGCCGATCGTGCCCGAGCAGCAGTGGCCGACGACGGCCGGCAAGCTCGCGAGTTTCAAGGCTGGGTACGGCACGATCCTCTTCTTCGAGGACCAGGTGCCCGTACGCGAGCTCCAGAAGAACTTCCCGCTCTACCAGGAGTCGTTCCCAGCATGGTCAGAGGTGCGTCTGTTGCACCCCGCTTTCCTCGTCAGAGATTGACGGATCCTCTGCAGCACACCAGCGGCATGATCCAGTTCGCTACGTGGACATCACTCGAGCTTGAGGGCTTTGGTGCCTCCCTCCAGGTCAGTCCTCCCCCTCCCCTTCGCTGTCGCCCGACGAGAGCAGACGCTGACACACACTGCAGCACTACAACCCCCTCATCGACCAGAAGGTCAAGTCGGAGTGGAACATCCCCGATAGCTGGAACCTCATCGCGCAGATGCCCTTCGGCACGCCGAGCGCGCCGCCGACGGAGAAGAAGTTCTCGCCCATCGAGGAGCGCGTGAAGGTTTTCGGCAACTTGTAGAGGTGTCGCGACGTCTTTCGGCGGCCGGATAAGGGCTCGTCCGCGCTAGATGATATGGACTGAATGTGGATTAGTATCATAGACGAGCGCAAGTGTATTTTGACGAGCCCGATGATGTTAACAATTCAGTGAAACTTACGATGGCATGCCAGCGATCGATGGCTTTCTCCATTCGGGCTTTGTGGGACATAGAGAGCGACGCTGCGACTCGGGTCCGCTGTAACTCTGTGCCTGTAATATCCTGGCCATTTCAAGCTTCACTGTTCTTCAAGATCCGTCATCTTCTACCTAAAGATATGTGTGCTTTGATTGGGGAGAGCCCTGGTGAGCTTCGTCTTCTCGCTCGCTCGCCCGGCTAGCTTCCGCTTCTCTTGTTCCGGGTTTCGGCAGGACATGCAAAAACGTGCCAGCTGTGATCGATGAAGATCAAGATCCCTACATCCGATTGCTGACCCATCCTACGGGCGCGTATCTTGATTGCTTGGGTAAGAATCATCGTTGACGCATGCGCAGTGAGTCAGGAGGATGTGCCGCGGAGGCCATTAGCGCCCTGTGCCTTTTTCTGGTCGCTTCATCTTACAGCAGCGCAAGCTTGCGGTGAAGCCATTCGTCGTGAGTACGATAATTCATCTCGAGCAGCTATATGATTATATCAAAGCGCTCGCGTCGACCCAGCGTAAGGTAGAACGTCGTGACGGCGAAATGTGCGTCTGTTCCTTTGCGAAGCTCTGAGCCTTGATCATGAGTTGCGGACCTGGGTTGCGTGGTAAGGACCGCGGTGAAAGTTTAAGTGTAGAAGAGAGGGTGTCTGAAGAACTCTTGAAATTCGATGAAAAGCACGCGGACAGATGACAGATGAGGCCGTGAGACTATGCACACTTGTTGTGAGCGAACGAAACTGTAAGCATAGCGCTGCTCCCACAAGCTGAGGAAATATACTCTGAACGTTGTTCATAGAATATCTGCATTCGCACCGTGGCGTAGTATGTGCTGGTCCCGGAAATCATCGACGTGCATGATGCTATCGCCATCTGTTTCCTTAACGCATCCCCCGTTAACGGCTATGCTGTCTCTCATGGTTAATGGCATCGATGCTCCAACATCTTATTAAAGCACGCACATGGTTTTGCATCAGTCATGCTGGCGCAGCTCGATGTGTATGATACTTGATTGTCTCACATTCGGCTTCATTGAACTGGCCGGTAGGGTCTGATGAGACTGTGGTGTGCAGTTCGCGCAACGCTGAGCTCCAAGCCGCCGTACCAGACAACCACAACCTCTCAAGCGCCCATAGGCGGTCACATGACCGCGACAGGCTGGTCGTACATTGTTTTTAATGCTATGACAGAGGATAATCCCGCTTATCGAATAGTAAGCAAGACATCGTTGTTCGTAAGCAGAAAAAAGGCGACAGGATTGGATGGAAGAGGAGATGGTCCCAGGTGATTCTATCAGAATGCTGGGCCAGGCCCTCTGAACTGCGGTGTCGAGGTGGGACGACCAGTGCGGCAGTGCCAGACTGCCAGTGACATGTTAAGGCTGACTAGGACTCTCGCGGCTTTCCCTGCTCCTCTTGCTCGATCGTGCACCTCGCGAGTGCTGTCGACCCAACTTCATACTTTTCGCACCATGTCGATCGCCTCGGAGCCCACTCTTTACAAATTCGTCGTCTGGGCTCCGGACATGACGGATCCCGATGCGCTCCAGCGCCGCCTCTCTGTTCGCGAGCGGCATCTGGCGAGGGCAACCGACTTGCACAATTCTAAGCAATGGAGTGCGTGGCGATGATAGTAGTTCCGTGGCTGTTCTCTGCTTGACTTGATGAATTGCGCTTTCACAGAGGTCGGAGGCGCGTTGCTCACGCCCGAGTCGATCGCGTCTCCTGACGCAGAGAAGAAGATGATTGGATCCATGATTATTTGCGAGGCGGAGAGCATCGAGGCTGTGAGGAAGATGATCGAGTCTGACATCTACTATACTTCGAATGTGGTGAGTTTGTGCTGCCCTTAATATATTGCTGGCGCGCTGATTATCTGCCAGTGGGACAAGGAGAAGCTGCAGATCTTCCCTTACCTGACCAGGGATCTGTGATGACTGGTCGACATATGATGCGGAAGCGAAGAATGTATCACCAGGGTGTATAGCAGTGCTCAATGTTATGGATGATAATCAGTCTCATTGCCTTGAAGTCCAGAGCGCTGTCGCACGGAAGTCCACAGAAATCAACTTGCTGTCCTCGCTAGCGGTCAACATCGCGCTCACATCTCAAAGTGACGAGTGGTCGGTTGCTCATGAAGAATCACAGGAGATCGACTCTTGTCTGGTGTAAGAAAAATCGTTGCACACCTTCCTCATAATCGGTGATTGATCGTTGATGGTCAGCATCGCCAATGCTTCGTTAACGGCCTCACAGGCGTTGTTCCTGTATGATCTCTACATTGCGCTGCATGTCACAGCAGTGACAGAGACGAACAGGGTCACTATCAATATACATCATCATATCTCAGCTACATGAGAAATTCGCAGACATACGGCAGACGCACAAAAGAAATGCCCACATATCGTTCTTCAGCATCCAAACGTCCAATTTATCGTTTAGCACGGGATGGAGACTCTTGCGGGCCTCATTTTCCCCATCGTTTATGAACAGAGCTGCCCATAACTGAGGGAGGATACCGTCGCGCGAGAGGTTTGGATTTTGGATATGACGGAATGCAAAATTTAGAACTCCCCTGCCACTTTCGGCTCCGTCTTCGATGTTTTTCTTAAGATAAACTGTCCCAGAGCCCCACAGCGTCTTGAGCTTAACTGCCAACTCGGCTGCTGGGTCTCGAGAAGATGGCGGCCGTCTGGGGGACTGTCGCGGTCACATGATCGCGACGGGTCGTGTTCAACCCTCGGATTGACGCTCTTCGCTGCTTCGTCGGCTCCCATACTTGCATTGCGCTCAACAGCTCAATTCATTATCCTACCATTTTCTTGGTATATACTGTCTGTGCTCAGATTATACTCCCAATGGTGGACCTGAGCATCGACCTGGAGGAACTTCCTGAACTGTTGGAACTATACAAGAAGAAATTGCAGGATACCCGCATCAAGCTGCGCCATTCTGAACAGGTAAGTAAGACTAGAAACAATGTGGAGGAAAGTTCGGGATTTATGCTTTTGACACTCACATGTGGACTCTTGGAATCAGGAAGTCGCCTCTCTTCGTAGTTCGCAATCTCAGCCGCGCTTGCGAGATATTGCTAATGTGGAGCCAGAATGTAAGCGTGAAGCTATGATGTTCAAGGTCTCTGACCACAGCTGAGTCTCTTTGTGTCAGTAATCGATAGCAAAGTATGATGGCATGTCTCTTGCTTATGCAATAGGCGTTCTCATGTCGCTTGTTGAATCGCGATAGCTCGCAGGAGACCTAAGCAAAGCACAGGATGAGCTGAAACGAGCTCGGAGCCGTGCAAATGCTGCAGTGAGCATTCCCATCCGTCATCGTTGTAGAGCTCACGTAATGGTGCTTTCAGGAAGGCGAACTGATGGTCGTCGGTGACAAGCTAGACCAACAAGAGCAGGAGATCGGGAACCTTCAGACCGAGAATGGTCGATTGCGTGTGAGGATTGAGCAGTTGCAAGAGGATAGTGGCCGAGCGAGGCGTGACTTTTCTCAATGGGAGGAAGAAGTGGGGCAATTGCGCGCCGAGATCAAACGGATCACAGATGAGAATCAAAGGTTGAGCGCCTCCAATGCCCAGCAGAAGGCCGTTTCCCAGCGTTTAAAGAATGACTACGATCAAGAACACGCGGTGAGCTCTTGTTCAATATCATTACACAATCGCGTGCTGATGAACTGCCCGTAGCGCTTGCTCAAGTTACAGGGTCAACTCGAGGCTCAAGCCGGCGTGCAATGGACTACTGCTGTCGCGAGAGATGAGGCGATCCGCGAGAGAGACGAGATTCAACACGAGCGTGATGAGCTACAGGCAACGGCCGCCGCACTCGAGAAGTCGGTTGAGGCTCTGCGAAAGGTGAGTTGCCCGCACCTCGGTCCTTGCAAGTGCCAATATATGCGATCTTAGGAGCGCGATGCGTTAGCCAAGAAGCTGCCTCCTGACGGTCTGCTCAAGGTACGGATCTTGTTGATATCTCGTTGATTCAGTCGTGCAAACTTGTCTTGCGCTAGTGGATGGCATTCGAGCAAACAATGCAGAAGATGCCGCTCATCGCTGGCGTGCCGAATGTTGGAAGATGGAGGAACTGTATCCCGTACTCAATCCACATGAACCACGTTAAAGCTCAAGAGTATCTCAATTCTGTGAGTGTTCTGCATCCTGAGCGCAACGTTCACTCACTCCAAAAACAGGCAGAACTCAGAGCTCTGTGGTACGCCTTCCTGTGACTACTATCGTTATTGTTCCTATGCTGAACGGCTCGGATCGGATAATTTTGTTCTGCAGTAACCACAACTCGATCCTCTACGCCGGGCACCGCCTTCTGTGGTTCATGGACGTCCACCAGCATGCATTTCTCGTGACATCCACCTATCATCCCAACTCGGACGACAAGTCACAGTGGGAACGCAACGACGAATATGACAAAATCGTCAACCGAACGTTGGAAGTCGTATACACGCCCGATGGAGTTTCGGGATACTATGTGGGAACATATAGATCCGTGGAGGGTCCGAAGCAAATCACCCTACGTGACCTTACGGGCTACCGTGATGTTGTACGTGCTCCATGCATTCAAAGGCGACGGCAAAGTGTTCATGTCTTGCTCTGCCTGCTCCCCCTAGACGACCCACGGACCGCTCGTCAGTGACATAATCGAGTACAGCAAGATTCAAAACCCGCGCGGCTCCTTCGCCACCGAGCGCATGATCGGGCAGCTGTACGAGGATGGTACTGCCACGTTGGATGTCCTCGGTCTCCAATGCGTTGGCTACAATAACGACCTCAATCGCGCTCTGCAGGACAAACTTAGCAACCCTCAGGCTGAGCGTGACATGCCTGGTCGAGCCCCGAGCTCTCCCGTGAGGTTGCACCGGGTCACTCGCAGCTCCGTTTTGGAGATATCGGGTGGAGTCCCGCCTGGCGTCGGCAAGCGACCTCGCGGAGACAGCGACGCTGCTGAGGTCAGTCGTAGGCAGAAGGCAAGCAGAAGGTGATTACTTTGCCTAAAGTCCATATGGTCAATGCTCTATGTATTTCATATCTATTTCTATCTTGCTATATTGTTTGTTGTATTCACACCGCGTAGGATCTACATTCTAGTAGGAACATCCGTGTACCACATCTTGTCGCTGTTCCTCTCAATCACGGCATCGGCTTCTTTTTTGCTTCGTTGTCATGCTTTCCAGTATTTCCGTGCTGTACTGTGCACCTCGCGACTGCGATAGATTCAACTTCATACCTTTCGCACCATGTCGACCGCCTCGGAGCCCACTCTTTACAAATTCGTCGTCTGGGCTCCGGACATGACAGATCCCGATGCGCTCCATGCGCCGCCTCTCTGTTCGCGAGCGGCATCTGGCGAGGGCAACCGACTTGCACAATTCTAAGCAATGGAGTGCGTGGCGATGATAGTAGTTCCGTGGCTGTTCTCTGCTTGACTTGATGAATTGCGCTTTCACAGAGGTCGGAGGCGCGTTGCTCACGCCCGAGTCGATCGCGTCTCCTGACGCAGAGAAGAAGATGATTGGATCCATGATTATTTGCGAGGCGGAGAGCATCGAGGCTGTGAGGAAGATTTCGAGTCTGACATCTACTATACTTCGAATGTGGTGAGTTTGTGCTGCCCTCAATATATTGCTGGCGCGCTGATCGTCTGCCAGTGGGACAAGGAGAAGCTGCAGATCTTCCCCTACTTGACCAGGGATCTGTGATGACTGGTCGATGTAAGATGCGGAAGCGAAGATTGCATCACCAGGGTATATAGATCCGTGGAGGGTCCGAAGCAAATCACCCTACGTGACCTTACGGGCTACCGTGATGTTGTACGTGCTCCATGCATTCAAAGGCGACGGCAAAGTGTTCATGTCTCGCTCTGCCTGCTCCCCCTAGACAATCCGCGAACCGCTCGTCAGTGACATAATTGAGTACAGCAAGATCCAAAACCCACGCGGTTCCTTCACCACCGAGCGCATGATCGGGCAGCTATACGAGGATGGTACTGCCACGTTGGATATCCTCGGTCTCCAATGTGTTGGTTACAATAACGACCTCAATCGCGCTCTGCAGGACGAACTTAGCAACCTTCAGGCTGAGCGTGACATGCCTGGCCGAGCCCCGAGCGCTCCCGTGAGGTTGCACCGGGTCACTCGTAGCTCTGTTTTGGAGATATCGGGTGGGGTCCCGCCCGGCGTCGGCAAGCGACCTCGCGGAGACAGTGATGCTGCTGAGGTCAGTCGTAGGCAGAAGGCAAGCAGAAGGTGATTGCTTCGCCTGAAGTCCATATAGTCAATGCTCTATGTATTTCGTATCTCTTCTAGCTATCTTGCTATATTGTTTGTTGTATTCACACCGCGTAGGATCTACATTCTAGTAGGAACATCCGTGTACCACACCTTGTCGCTGTTCCTCTGAAACATGGCATCGACCTTTTCTTTGCTTCGCTGTCATGCTTTCCACGACATATTATCCCGGTCTATGATATCAAATTATGCGCAGAGCAATATTGTATGAACTCAAATCATCTCGCTCCGCGATATGTGCCATGGCCGCCATCCTCGGAGACCCGCTACGGGCGCTCCGCATCAATTGATAGAGCGTCTATTTCCCCGCATTCGACTCGTGGCCATCATCCGATTGACTCGACGAGCTTGCTTGTCCTTGGGCTACTGCCAGAACACAACAACTTCTACTTCATCCAAAGACGACCAGGAAGGATCTGATATGTGCGCGATGTTGTCGACCACGCGTTTGCTGCTCAGTCGAGCGTGCCGTCCGCTGCCTTGTCAGGCAAAGGCGACCTTCCCAGTGAGATGTGCTTCGACATCGTCAAGCTCCAGTTCAAGTGTGCAGCCATTACTCCTAAGTATTCAATTGTAAACATATAGCTTTCACAGAGTATGCGAAGTTTGATTGGGAGGTACGCCCACTCTTATTCTAAGGCTCAGCCTACCCAATACAACATGTAGGACCCATTGAGCCTGGAAAGTCTCCTGACAGAAGAGGAGGTCGCTATCCGGTAAGGGGCTCAAGTTTCGAAGCACTCGTCATAACGCTCATGGATTACATAGTGATACTGCGCGTGCATTCTGCCAGGCAAGTCAAAACAGCCCGGGCGTCCAGCCTTCTGCGGCAAGTTGATCCCTGACGTCGCATGTTAGGAGAACCTCATGCCTCGCGTACTTGAGGCTCAGCGCACAGAAGGTGAGACTACGTGACAAATAGCATTCCAGACCGTATTCACTGGACCCTGAATCGATAATGACCACGTTCGTCACAGAGTTTAACTATGACATCCTTCCATCTATGGGCGCTTTGGGATTCCTCGGACCCACCATTGAAGGCTACGGCTGCGCAGGCGTCAGCAGCGTCGCTTATGGCCTGATCGCCCGGGAGGTAGAGCGGCAAGTACCAGAGCTGCTACCCAGGTTGTAGCTATCCTAAGGCTTCCTTGTTGCAGTGTCGACTCGGGCTACCGCTCGATATCGTCCGTTCAGTCGTCACTCGTAATGCACCCCATTCACGAATATGGCAGCGACGCGCAGAAGGAGAAGTATCTGCCTAGGTTGGGTACGCTGTGGCCTCCTATAGCGCTGTGCTATCACGAGGGTGTCGCCTCCATCGTTGTTTACACTGATATGCTCCGTTTGCACCATAGCTAAGGGAGAGCTCATCGGTTGTTTCGTGCGTTGCTTACGATACATCACGTGGGCTGCTTCTGATGGCATGATCACAGGGTCTTACTGAACCCAATCATGGTTCGGATCCAGCTGGTATGGAGACCACTGCCGAGGAGGTAGACGGCGGGTTCGTTCTCAATGGTTCCAAGACGTGGATATCCAACGCTCCTGTCGCGTAAGAACTTCCCTTAATCTGTTGAAAGTGATCGCTGAAGTAGAGTCCTCGTAGCGATCTGTTTGTCATCTGGGCACGTTGCAAGTGGGATGACAAAGTGCGGGGCTTCCTACTCGAAAAGGTGAGGGGCAGTTGCAGAGTCTCGCAACAGCTCGTTCTCAAGAAAGGATATTTATACTAGGGAACGAAGGGCCTGTCTGCTCCTGTCATCAAGCACAAGCTTGCCCTGCGTTGTTCATTGACAGGTTCTATCTTCATGGACAGCGTCCATGTAGACCACGATGCGCTTCTCCCCAAGGCCAAGGGACTCAACGCACCATTCGGTTGCTTGAACAACGCAAGGTCAAGATGTGTCATCATTGCATGTTCGAGCTTTCCGTACGATCACGGCTTTGTTGCAGGTACGGAATTTCCTGGGGCGCGATGGGCGCGCTGGAAGACTGCATCAACCGCACTCGGGCGTACGCGCTCGAGCGGCATCAATTCGGCCGGCCGTTGGCTTCCTTCCAGCTCGTGCAGAAGAAGCTCGTCGACGCGCAGACCGAAGTAGTTCTAGGCCTGCATGCGAGCCTACAGGTAGGCTCCTTTGAATCTCGTATAGCGGGTATGCAGATGAAGAAATAATCTCACGCTTTGCATCTGTAGGTAGGCCGTCTTAAGGACGCGGGCAAGCTCGCGCCCGAGATGATCAGCATGGTGAAGCGCAATAACTGCGGTAAGGCACTGGAGCACTCGCGGAGAGTGTTAGATATTCTCGGTGGTAATGCATGCTCCGACGAGTAAGTACTCCTGGACAAGAGAAGTCTGCCTCGATGTTACTTACATACGTGCATTAGGTACCATGTCGGTCGACACGTCGCAAATCTGCAGGTAGTGAATACCTATGAAGGTATGTATCGTCCGTGTGCCCCCTAGACATAGCACTGACATTATTGCGACAACCAGGAACTTATGTGCGTGCAGTTGCTTTCATCCTCGGAGGCTTCATATGCGTGAGAACTAATATTACATGTATCATCGCAGGACATCCACACTCTGATTCTCGGAAAGGCTATGACGGCTATTCAAGCGTTTGCAAACTAGGGAGTCTAAAAGATAGCATGTATGTATAGTAGTGCGTTACGGAGAAGCGCGTTGCCTGCTTAGCGTCACACCACAAGAAGTGTAGTGAGATTTAAACGCAGCGGACAATTGTTTGCATTCATGAGAGATCATGAACATCATATGAGAAAGGCATAAGATTATGACCGGAAAGCGACGTTTTCGCGTCCCGTGTCGAGCAATCGCGAAAATCTGAGAAAGTGCGGCACCGTCCAATGTAAATCCGTCTGCAGCTGGATGTCGATTGATGCAGTCTCGGCATAAGATTACAAGTTTGTCCTTCGTCGGCGAGATGAAATAGCAATGGCGATTGCATGGCAATTATGCATCGGCATTGCGCCAAGTCGGATCGATCCACTCGAGGCCGAAGAGATCGAACACTTCCTTCTCCGTTCTTGGGAAGAAGGGCTTTGAGTCGGATCTCCTTGTGCTATATGCAGACACCCATTAGCTCAGACTCACTTTGGAGTCCCTTAATATGAAACTCACATTCCGGAGCTGTCGAATTTCATCGCACTGGAGAACGTGCGTAAGAATCAATACCTGTACCAAAAGTCCAACCACATACACTTTATCCTTTGCCCACTGTCGCAGATCTCTCTGGAACATGACAGACCCTGTCCTACAAGTATGGCAGGCTTAGATGAGATGCAGGTTGCTGGCATAACGGCTCTCCATCAACTCACCAACCAATAATGGCAGTCCAGTAAAGCTCTGGAGGCACGAATATGAGGTCCAATCGCCTCCGAGTACCTTTGGAGAATGGCGAAGACTCGGGCAGGATAAACACCGTAAGAGCCTTCTCAAGGGAGTCCCAATGCGTTGTCCGTAGAGGGTCATGTTCGCGGAAACTAGATAAATCTGCATGTTCGACACATAACATGAGATATGGTCAACGAAAGCGGACATGGTAGCCTACGCATCACATGTGTGACCATTTCTAAACCAAATGTCAGCAACGTTGCATAGAGACAGTTGAAGTGTACGAACCTCGTTCGCGCAGCCGCGTGACAAACCGCTTGCAAAGGCCCCTGACGACCTTGGGGTCCCGATGCGTGAAGACGATGTCGACATCACCACTCTCCAGCTTGCCTCTCCTGTATCCACCAACGATGGTGCTGACGCAGCCAGACTGGAGCTCTTCCAGCTCCGTCATTAGTACTCTACCAATCTCCTCCACTTCATCACGCGGGATCCTGGGACTGCATGAGCGCATGACACGGCACCTGTCAGAAAACAGCGTACTTGATACTGAAATCCTCTCGCAACTCTAAGGCAACCCTGGTCCAGTTGTCTCCCAGCTCCTCCGAGCCCTCGCTTTGATATGCAGACCGGCGCTTTGGCTTCGCTGCCTCGACTTCGACGAACTTGTGCCCCTCACGCGACCCGACAGGCTGGCGCCTGACGCCGTAGTAGGTTTCGAGATCCTGGAGAGTGCGCAGTCCGAGCGAGAAGAGCTCACGCGCGTGGACCGGGCCTATGCCGTAGATGGAGGAAAATAGCGTGAGCACTTTAAATCGCTCAGAGGTGAAGTGGGACTCTGTAGTGGTGTGAGTTGACATTGGGGAGAGGGAAGATGTGTGAGCCGAACGTACGTGCTTCTTCTATCTTTCCTGTTTCTATAAACTCTTCCACCTGAGTATGAGCAAGAGAATATCGTTGAGCCGAACAATACGGGAGCAGGGCTCGTGAGGGCGCACCATAGCACCAATCTTGGGCCCAACAAAGGGAAGTTCGTTCACTTGATTCAATGACGTTATCTTTTTTGGATAGGCTATGTGGACATGTCAAAAGCAAACGGCGTCGCACGACGCACATATACGAACACGTTCCCGTGTCAGATGACCCTAAGAAGTACGAGACAGATGGGACACTCAACGCACCCTTGAGCGCCGAAATCCCTTTCTGATAACTCAGCTCGCTCCTGATCTCCCCTTCCAGCAGGCGCGCGCGGCGCATGATATCGAGCTCCTCCACTAAAGCCTGATTCGGGCATTTCAGCGGCGACGCCCGCTGGCACGCGTAGTGCGCCGTGTAATCGAGCTTTGACAGATCCGTCGGAATCGGAGGATCGGGTGGCAGGAGTTGCACATCTATCTTGCCGTCGTGGTGCCATTCTGGCGCGACAGGGGCGGGCTTCTTGCCCTTGCCTTCTGCATCGGACTTTGAGCCAGCGGAAGATTTGCGTTTCTTGCCTTTCGTTGCAGGTTCAGCGGTGGGTTCACCTGTAGCTGCGGTCGTGGCATCGATATCGGACGAAGCCTCCTTCTTCTTCCTCCCCTTCTTCAAAGGCGCTGAAGATGGCTCAGCTTCGGGGCTCTTTGTTCCAGCAGTGCCAGCGGCAGATTCTTCATCCTTCTTTTTCTTCCCTCTCTTGCTAACAGCGGCAGCTGATTCTGTCGGGCTTTCAGCGACTAGTTCCTCTTTCTTCGGCCGTCCTCTTTTCTTCGGAGCTGCACTACTCTCTGCCTCACTTCCGCTCATCTCGTCTTTGGTCTTTGCCCTTTTCTTTGCAGGAGAGGTAGGCGGCGATTTGGTCTCCTCCGTGGGGGACGAAGAAGAACGCAGTACAGAACGAGATGGCGTCTCGCGCATGGACTCGACTGACGAATCAGAGCAGACACATGGCTCGACGTTACACACTGGGCAGTGGGCCACTGTTTCGTCGTGCAGGTCTTGGATCGCCACATAGTTTTCGCACGGGAGCGGAGAGCCCTGCTTGACAGAATCTAGGAGCCACTGGGGAGTGACGATTGCTTTCGTTTTCTGCAGAGGTTATGATTAATGATATGAGTAGGGACCATAAGGTGACGGCCATTCTCTGAGAGAACCAAAGCAATCATGCATGAGCTCGCGAGTGCAAATCATGGCAATCCAATATGCTTTGTTTCCAACATGCGTAAGCATGTGCATCACCAATAATTCAACCGCCGGTAGCCGCAATGGCACAGACGCATGATCTAGCGTATATATGCGCCTATACTGCCGTCAGTCACTGAATCCTCTACATATATACGCCTGCGCATCAAAAAGCGCAAAAGCTGCGCATATGTGCAATCCCATCCACGTTCATGATCGCTCAATGCTGTTCCGCAATGACGCTCACCGATGACCAATGGGCATAAGAACAGAACGGTGGTGCTTACCGCCAATTCCCAAGATATATGTCTCTCCAACCGTCTCCGCATGCCAATGGCAGTGATGATCACATCCGCCTCCTGTGGATCACGACACACGCTCTCCGCGTTCTGCTCTGCTGCCCGGACTAATTCCGATAGACTGGGCGAGTCGATCTTCGCCTCGACAATGTACACCTTGACTTTTGGCAGTGCTTTGGCAGATAACGGCAAGCGAGAGAGGTTGCTTGTAGAGGGAGCAGACGAGGACTCCTGAGACTGAGATCGCTTGCCTGGCGCCGTATGCGAAAGGGGCGGAGGTTGTTTGAACGACATGGTCGTTGTAAAGGCTCGACGACCGACGATAGCTGCTCGTCTCTGCAGAATACGTCTGGTGGTGAACACTGGTGAACAGGCAAGCAGGCGGGCCTCGGTGGATAACATGCTCCTAAACCTGTTAGCGCCTGAGCTTCAATGACACAATCAGACCTATAGGAAAGTCCAGATCGTAGATGCTATAGACTTTTCTTCGTTGCACAATGATCCTGAATACTTGCAGTACTATCAGAGTGAGAAGTTCAGGGATTGCAGAGAAGGAACTTTAGTAAAGCCTCGTGTACAGGCTGCATCTACGCGACGGCTGAGTCTAGGACATAGGCAGACGCGATCTCCGTCGCGGTCACGTGCATTCAAGCGCTTATCTCCAAACGGGCGCTCGACATTGTGGCGTCGCCTATTCCTTCTGTTCCGAGGCTCGAAGACAAATTTCTTAACCGTCGTATCATCCTCACTGATACCGACTCATTCTGACTGTGCCTGTGCGCCTTAGTTGTATAGAAAAAGAAACAGAAATGAATTCGTCTGCTTCATGCTTTTCAAAGTGCTCGGCAACGGCCGACTTCGGCTGTTCAGACGACGAGGCCCTCCGGTTGATCGCCGTTCATTACTTTGATATCGACGTTCTGCTTTCCGCATTCAATCCAATGCAAGCGTTGTCCAGGTGCGTACTGATTGAAAGGTCATGTCAGGGCGATTCATTGCCGTTGCAACGACCGCAGTTGCCAAGGTGCCTCGCTTCGGCAAAGTCGTCCTGCTAAACGGTTCAGTGGAGTTGCATCACGACACTGATTCACGCTGGGCTCCTGTAGTTGAGCACGCGGCCCGAGATTAACGGTCATCGCCGACGCCTGCCCATCGTATGCGAGTCGCTGGGCTTTAATACTCCAATTCTCAATCTTCTGCCCCATCCAGCTCACTTCAACCCTTCACGCTCAAAATTCTCGGATCTCACCACACCCGTCCACGCGCCTCACCCTATCTCGCTAGTGCGTCGGGCCCCACGCTCCTTTTGCAACATGATGTACAAGAACACGCTCGTCGCCGTCTCATTGTCGGCGCTCGCACTCGGCAGCGCCATACCTGTCTGCGAGGAGTCCGTTTGGGACTGGTTTGAGGTGCAGCTTCACGAGTTCCTCGACAATGTCCCCAATGGCTTCTCGTTCGACGGAACTGCAGAGTCAAGCACGAACCTGACGCTGCGCATAGCGCTCGCACAGAGCAATTTCGACGGTCTGGTCGAGGCACTGTATAACGTGAGCGACCCGTCCAGCGAGTACTATGGGCAGTATCTCTCGAAAGAGGAGGTGTGTCGCAACTTACGGGCCATCGCCACATCATACTCACTATATCTTGCAGGTCGACAGCTTCGTACAACCGGATTCTGAGAGTGTTGAGGCCGTCACGAGCTGGCTGAGCGAGTACGATTTGACCGCCACGAATCTCTCGTCTGCTGGTGACATTCTCTCCGTCGAGCTCACGGTCGGGCAGGCAAACGACCTCCTGTCTGCGGATTATTCTCTATTCACGCACGAGGCCACTGGACAGCAAACACTACGCACACTTAATTACTCGATACCCGTCGATCTGGCAAATCACGTCAACTTTGTCCATCCGACAGTCACGTCAGTCGCGCCGACCGTACATTTCTATTCGTTTGCTGATTGCTCGCAGATTCCCTTTGTTCATGAATAATACCCCGATTATTGAGGTCCACCCCGCGTCCAATCAGTCGCAAGTGCGTTCTGCTCAGAAGCGCGACTCTGCATGCGGCACTGGCACCCCTTGGATCACTCCTGCATGTCTGCAAGAGCTTTACGACATCCCCACGACGGCTGCTTTCTCGTTGCTCAACCAAATTGCTGTGACTGGGTATGACAATGAGTATGCTCAGGCAGCGGATCTTGAGGTAGGGTTCCAATTAGCCGTAGATTGTGTGACACACTAATACCTCACCTTGTAGAGCTTCTTGTCGGAGTATAGGACCGACATGAGCCCTAACACGACATTCAGCACGGTGACCCTGAATGGCGGCGAGAACCCACAGAACAAGTCTGACGCCGGAACCGAAGCGGTGCGTTACTTGCCTTCCTTACTCGTCTGTTGTCTGACTCTCCACAGAACCTTGACGTTCAGTATGTCATGGGCCTCGCAACGAACGTCTCGACGACGTTCATCTCCACTGGCGGCGACTTCGCGCAGGCTCTCTTGGACACAGCTGACTACCTGCTCGGCGAAACCAGCCCTCCTCAAGTTGTGTCGACCAGCTACGGCACGGACGAGTCGTCCATCGGGGAGATGTTTGCTCTGTGAGTGTCTAAACAGCATTTTCCGGAGCGATCGAGGCCTAAACAATCGGCTGTAGGAGTCTGTGCAATGCGTACGCGCAGCTTGGCGCGCGCGGTGTTTCCGTCCTCTTTGCATCTGGTGATGGAGGCGTGTCCGGGAATAAGGACGATGGGAGCTGCACGGCGTTTGTGCCGACTTTTCCCTCCGGTTGTCCTTTGTGAGTTCCTTCTTCTCCTCAGTGTCTTCTCCGCTCATATGCCCCCCAGCGTCACGTCAGTCGGAGCGACGATCAACCTGCCCACAGAGGAGGGTGCCTCGTTTTCCAGCGGAGGCTTCTCGAATTACTGGCCGCAGCCGTCATATCAGGCCTCGGCCGTGTCCGCGTATCTGTCCGCGCTTGGCAGCAACGATACAGGCCTGTATAATGTCTCGGGGCGTGCATACCCCGACGTCGCCGCGTACGGCTCACAATTCGAGATCTATACGGGCGGCGCGCTGACTATCGTCTCGGGCACGAGCTGCTCGACGCCGACCTTCGCCGCGGTGATTGCGCTGCTGAACGACGAGCTGATCAACGCGGGCAAGAACGCACTGGGATTCTTGAACCCATGGTTATACGCTAACAGCGGGGCACTGAACGATGTTGCAACGGGTAACAATTTGGCGTGCAGCGACGGCTCTACTGGCTTCTATGCGGCTGCTGGGTGGGATCCGGTACGTCGCTTCTCTGGGTTTCTCCTGAACTGCTAGACTGACATTGTCGTGATCGACCTCGCAGGTCACTGGCCTTGGCACGCCGAATTACTCCAGCCTCAAATCAGCCGCGGGCCTGTGAACTCTGCTACATTATTTGCTCTCCTGAACTTTGGACTTTCGGACTGTTTTTCAATTCTCGCTTTCGAGGACTGCGCCACACTTGCATACTGGACTTTACTGACATAGATCTTGCTGTCTCTGCGCTGTATCGCTCACTTACAAAGCTTGTCGTGCTTGCCTCTGATTTGCAATTATTACCGAATGCGCATAGTATCTCGTGTTCTGTGACTTGTTCGCGCCACAGCACTTACGGTGCCGTTATCACGCCGTTCGTCGTGCAAATGTTCGCGGTAGAAACATGCATCGGTAATGACAGGACGCCTATCAGATGACCATTATCTCAATGTCGCAATCCCAGACCGGACCGCCAACCCCCCATTACTGACACCCCGAGTGAGTCGGTTGGATCAAGGCTGACTCCGCAGAAATCCATGGCTTGCAAACACCAGTAATGGTCTGCTCACATGCTGCAAAAAAGAGGTCCTCAAAACTGCCCGGCTTCCGTCGGCCACTGCATCGGTGCTCCGTCAGCTGTAGATATAGTTGAATGCTCACTTTCGCAGCTTTCTCTGCTCGTACTTCGTGCTCTCTCAGTGCTCGATCGTGCACCTCGCGACTGCTGTCGGCTCGACTGCATACTTTGCGCACCATGGCGACCGCCTCGAAGCCAATTCTTTACAAATTCATCGTCTGGGCACCCGATATGTCGGATCCTGACGCGTTCCAGCGTCGCCTCTCTGTTCGCCAGCAGCATTTTGTGAGAGGAGACAAATTGCACGAGTCTGGACAATGGAGTGCGTGCAGAAAATAGTGAATTCCCTTTGCCATGATGGCTAATATGCTTTGGTGGATCGCTGCCTTGCAGAAGTCGGCGGCGCGTTGCTCACTCCCGAGTCGATCGCTTCTCCCAACGCAGAGAAGAAGATGATTGGGTCCGTGATTATCTGCGAGGCGGAGAGCCTCGAGGCTGTCAGGGAGGTCATTGAGTCCGACATCTACTATACTGCGAACGTGGTGAGCTTTATGTGGCCCTTAGTATTTCTCTAGCGCGAGGCTGATCATCTGCCAGTGGGACAAGGAGAAGCTGCAGATCTTCCCTTTCTTGACCAGCCATTTGTGATGACCGGTGAATGTATAACACGCAGAAGCAAAGAACGTGTCACTAGGATGTATGACGATAGTGCTCAATGATGCGGTGTAGAGAGATCCTTAATCTGATTTCTCCGAAGCCAGAGAACTATCTCATGGGCACCCACGGGCCACTAGTAGAAGGCAGCCTAAACAAATCGGTTTGCTGTTTTCGCTGACAGTCACAGTCACCCTCATATCAGATCAATGAGCAGTTAGTTTATTTGTCTAGTGGTGCGGAAGGTCAGCGCTTCAGCTCTCAACGTGGCGGAAGATAGATCGTAGACACCTTCTCATTTGGCATGAGAAAGAATAGGTATATCATGAATAACAAGATATAATATTCATCCACGGCCATAGGACTCTGAAAGCACCGCATCCCGTCCGATCTGCGCAGTTAACCAGAGTGCCGCTTGGTTAGTACCATGGTGGGGGACCACACGGGAATCCTGGGTGCTGTGGTTTTTGCCTTATGCCTTTTTTTGCTAATTTGTCTATTCAAAAAGTTTGCTCAAGGCAGAACCATGCCACTACATTGCCTCCTAGAAGAAGCGCTCTGTTTTGCATTCTGCCAAAGGAAGAAGCACAGGCAAGGGTGAACTTGGTGTCCAGTTTTCTGCTCATGATCCTCACTTTTAAAGTGAAAAAAGGATGAAGAATTCAACTGCAGGGTCACACAGCTTTATGGAAAGACAAATAAGCAAGAAAAAAAGGGCGAACAGCAAAAACCACAGCACCCAGGATTCCCGTGTGGTCCCCCACCATGGTACTAACTAGGCGGCACTCTGGTTAACTGCGCAGATCGGACGGGATGCGGTGCTTTCAGAGTCCTATGGCCGTGGATGAATATTATGTCTCGTTCTTCATTATATACCTATTCCTTCATTGACATGAAAACATTCAAAAAAGCGAAGCAATTGGTCGAAGGTCAGACATTTACATAAACAAATCATATATACTTTGGGGCCTTTGAACATGCTTATTCGGTCCGGACTGTACATCTGCACGCATGATCGCGCCATCCGACGAATAAGCTGCGAAAAGTATCTCGACAGACCGTTAGAGTTATAGGTGAACACTGAGGAACTCGCTGAAGCGGACCGGAAGTTGGCATCAAATCACGCATTGAACGTCTGACGGACTTCATCCGTCGACCCCGCCCCTCTCCCCCGGTTGAAAGCCTGTAGACAACGGGCCAGTTAGGTTGTCGGAAATATTTTACGCCGTTAGACACTGAGACAGTACGGCCGTCCGCGAGAAATGGAACGAATGTCTGAAGGTGCACGATGTCGACATGTTGGTTGTACCTGTCATTCCGCGAAAAAGATCGAGCAGTTTTACATAGATTGTCCATGCACACACGTATTAGCGCTCGTTAAAGCCCGTATTTTTCTTGTGTGCCAAACCTCTTGACACATCCGGATGAAAGCCCTCCATATAGATCTTCCACTACCTCTAAGGATCGCAGCAGGACAGCAACGCCGCATTAGCCTTTCAGTAATTCAATTTCAGCTCAATCTTCGAGCCCGGGGCCTCCCTGACGAACAATCTTGACGCGTTAAATCTTGAGATTGCATCTCCACCCAGATGCTCGATCCGCAACGTCTGGCCACCGATCGCTCGAGATTTCTGCATAATCGCGTCCACTACGCTCCGATTGTCCACGCGGACCAACGCGTATCCCGTGGCGGTATCGTCGTCTGAGGAGCCTGTCGACGCGCAGATCAGCATGTGCTTAGAAATACAAACGTAAAACGAAACAAAACGACTTACGACGCATAATCACCTTTCGCGCTTCGGGGAGTACCTCCTCCACTCCCGCTGCCGTGGCGCTGGGCGGGAGGCCGGTAATGTATAGCCAGTTGGACAGCGGGTGGCTAATATTGAACCATCCCGGACGGACGACGACAAGCGTATTTTTACCCAGGACGAGAGATCTTGGGTCCTCGCTCCACTGTGCATACACCTGTTCTGCTCTCGCTTGGGAGTGAAAGTGGACGCCTGCGCGGGAAGCCTTTGACTCTGACCTCACTACAGGAATGTCAGACCCATCCGGCAATGCGCGATGATTTGCCACAGTTACACACAGATTCTGGCCTTCACCGGACCAAACGGCGCAAACACCTCCATGAGCGACTCCTCCGTCGCGGATTCGGGGAGGTTGTACACCATAAGCCACTGGATAAACCTATTCGTCCGCTCCCTGGGACTATGATAAATCTGCAAACGGCTCCTGTCCACCGAAATGGGCATTACACTGCACAAATCCACGACGTGCTGCGCGACTCGGGCATGGCCGAACGTGATTTCCGCTACGCCGGTGGGTCGGCCTGACCATTTTCTGCCTATACGAGAGTGGTTAGGAAAGATGAGAGCGAAGATGCGTTGAGGATACATACGTAACCAGATCCCGTTGATCTTCCCGAACCGCGAGAACATGTCCCACACATCCTCTTCCGTATGTCCCGGACTGAGCCCCGTCACCGTGATACTCCCATGAGGTTCTACTGAATAATTTGTTACGGTCTCTTCTGGAGAAGACGACTCCCTCGAGCTTGACTCCGCGCTTTGCTCTGCAACTGACGAGGTTTCCTGGTCGAAGGTATCTAATCAACGCGCGAACCGATCTCTCGCTAAGCCAGAATGGTCCAAGGCAGGGCTCTGTCGATACTCACCTTGTAGAAATGCATACAAATTGCGCTCCTTGTTCCATACTGTTCGAGTGGTCGACAATTGGCGTCTATGTGCGCCGGCATGAGGAAGTGCGGCGCGAGGAACAGAGTGGGATGCTCGAGACGATGTAGCTGCGGATCCTATAGAGCGCGAGGAGCAAGGGGTAAAGCGAAGAGCTCGTAAGTGCGCTGCTTTCGTTGCAAGCATCAAGGTGGCCGCGCTTTGCTCAGAAAACCAGCGACGAAGAAAGTGAATGCGGCTAGCGCCCATTTACTAGAGGGCTTACATCTTACAAATTTGTGGCCACACAACGCCAACATCCTTCCGCCACACCAAGTACACAGAACATCTTGAATGATGGTGATCTCGACTATAATTGATTATCGGTCACACATTGCTACTGTGTGCGATCATAAAAGGCGCAATGAAGAAGTCATAGTATAACTGCTCGCACGAGCGCAGCGTTACAAGTCTCGCGACCGAATCAATCGGTTCAGATAACGCGCTAGGTTAGTCTCCTGAACACCTGGCTCATGATGCAAAGGTATACAGCGGATATCACGTACATACAGCATGTAAGCTATGTCCCCCACCGTCTTCGTGAAAATTACATCGAAGCAAATAGATGTTCGCGCTAGATCTAATGCGCAGGTATCTCTGTGAACGTACACTTCCCCGTGTGACGGCTGAACTGCTGCGCACTCTCGTTTCTTTTCAGTACGCGGATATGTCTGCTCATGCGACGGCCGCCTGCACTGGCCTCTTCTCCTTCACCATCTCGCTCGACCCTGCCTCCTTCTCTTTCTCTCGCTCTTTCTCCTTCTCCCGCTCCTTCTCCCACTCTCTGTCTAGTACGACCACGTTCCCCGTTGCACTCTGGCTCGAGCCCTCGTCGACATACAGGCCGTGCGTCTCGATGTAGTCGATGACGGCTGCTGGGAGGAGGTAACGCACCGACATGCCACGTCGGAGGAAGAGGCGAATCTTGGTCGACGAGACGTCATTCTGGATGAGCTGGTGTATGAGATGGATATTATTCCGCCATCGCGAGAGGCTGTCGATCGCCTGGTCCATGTCCGCGCCTGCCCGTTCGATGATCACCGCGCCGTACTTGCCGAGGATGTGTTCAAGGTCTTTTTCGGACCATACGCCGGGTTCGCCCATCGTCGCAATGAGGTCTGAGCCTGCGAGAAGCATCACGCGCACGGGCTTGCGCTCGCCGGACGGCGTCTCCACGCCGCCAATGCGAGTGTTGATCTCGTAGTCAAAGTGGTCGAGGACGACGGCGGTGCGCTGATAGTCCTGGAACGCCTCCCACGGATCGACCATCAGCCAGGAAGAGGTGTCCTCTGCGGCGAGTGTGCACATGCGGACTCTGCATGAGGAGGCGTTACGGGGTAGAGCGGGAAGCGCGGGGCGCGCACTCACCGGTGGTGTGCGCTGAGCAGGCCGGGCTTCTTGTACTGGTCGCTGACGGGGCTCAGGTACCCGCCGACGACCTCGAAATCGGTGTTCTGGCGCACATAATCTACGGCCATCTCGAACATGCGGAGGTGGAGGAAGGTAATGGGGCTGAAGGAGCCGCACGCGACGAGGACAAGCGGCTGCTTGTCGGGGTTGCGGAGCGTGCGGCGCAGCCGGTGGGAGGGAAACTCGTAATTTGGAGGGTTGGTGAACGGCGCAGGCGAGTTTGCTGCGCTCATGGCTGACACCGGGAAGAGAGGGAGGGGAAGGAGGGGATGGGGAATTGAAATGAACGGCCGGTGGATGAGAATGACTGGTAATATGGCGGGTGACCAGATCCTGGAGCAGAGCATTCCCACGCTGCGGTATGGCAGTCGCAGTCAGCGCAAGTACGGGCCTGAAGGGCGCCCTCCTCGCCGTCGCCACCGTCCTACTGGATGCTCGACTCGTCCTTGTTGGTGAGAGTAACGCGGAAGCGAATACGACGAGCCGCGACCGACATCTTCTGCCCGATTACAACGAGGTTGATCATCGCAAGGCACTTCACTTCCTACAGCTGAACGTGCGAACAATGCCTCACTCTTGAAGATGTCAGGCACATTCATTCGCAACTCAAGCTCTAGTCCGGTGACGCTCCGCTGCGCAATGTCAGAATAATTTCGAAAACATTCCGATCTTCTGCATGTGAACACACGGTCATTGACTTATACTCCTGTCCAGCCATACGAATACTGCAAGGAAGTTGCTCGAAGGTGACTCGACTTCCGACGCTCACGCAGCAAGTCGTCATACCGGCAGATTATGAGCAAGCGGCGGCAGTAGATTCTGACTAAGGTGGCCAGCCACGGAACTTACTAGCGGGATCAACAAACCTTGTGCGTCAGCAACTTTCCAATGCCGACCGTAGAATCCCGTTTCCAGTATCTGACCTACCGCAGAACTGACGCATCCATTTTTGAGTGGCCGTCTACCTACAAGTACCTTACTAACTAGCAGATGCTAAATGAAGGCATCGTGAATGCAACTCTCCAAATACTTGCACTGTCTGAGAGCATACTTTTGAGTGGTGGTGATACAGCACCAACTTGCGCCATTGTATCGCGTCGGGTTGACGTACGTATCACCCTTCCGTTGGACCATACGCACTCATCATCGTGCTGACGCCGCAATGGGAAAGGCACAGCATGCTCTGCTCCACGCGCGCTCTTTACGATGATAAAAATGCACCCCAGTAGGTAGGGACACTGCCGGCCATGAATCCGAAGTAATCATGGCACGCGTCGTACCCTTTTTGTTGTGCCGCTGTCAAACAGCGATGGACATGCGTGCTGAGCAACCCAACATCAGCTTGATCACAAGTCTGAGCGAAATAAACCATACCTTGCATGCAAAGCCCTGTGCCGAGTGCAGCTCCCAGCCGCAACCCTCAAAGCTGAAGTTCAAGGCCATCACCCTCCGAGACAGGCTGCTCGCTCAGGCGCAGCGTAAATGCATCCCGCTCGGTCAGTGCAGTCCCCTGCAGCGACTCCACGCGCAGTCTGTGCCCATTGAGTCCACGCGACCAGGTTTCATCGTTCTTCATCATCTTGACGGCGCGTGCGGAGGTCATGAGGATGAAAGCGATGCGCTCTGCATCCGGAGTTTTCGCAGTAGCTGTCATCGCGCACTCGAATCAGGAAGGAGGATAAATAAAGAAGAGAAGATATTAAGACGGACTGATTTTGATCTGGAAGGCCTCGGGGAAGACGTCCTTCAGCTGTTCCGGGGTCGCGTGCTCCGGGACGCCCGTCACGCATAGCCAACGCGCTAGCGGAAAGGCCTGCGTGAATAGACCATTTCGCACCACGCGCAGCTTGTTCTGCCCAACAGAAATTGGTTTGAGCCGGACCTGCTTGTATATCTTCTCTGCTTCGCTCTGGTCGCGGAACCGTACACATGCATATGGAGCTCCCGTCGCTGAAGAGTATACTGGAGACCACATCAATTCTCCGTTAGATACGGGTGTAGATAAGGAGCACCGACCAAGCCGCATCTCGAGCCCTCCATGTTGCGCAAAGGTCTGCCTCAGGGTCTGCAGTGTCGCGGAATTGGGAATGTTATATACCATGAGCCATTCGGGCTGCGTGATGGTGATCGGGTTCTCCCTAAAGGACACCGCGACAGGATTGCCTTGCACACTGATGGGCATGAGTCGGCTGATCTGCTCGATATGCAATGCGACCCTCGACTGCTTGAACCAGATGATCGCGGTGCCCGCAGAGGCGCCCGTATCCGTGCGTGCTAACCAATGTCAAGTAAGAACTGGGGAGTGCGTACAAGGTTGTGGAACGAACGTACTTAGCCATACCGCATTGATGATCCCGAATCGGGAGAATACCTGCCAGACGCCGTCCTCATCAAGGCGTTCGGGCAGACCCTCCACATAGAGCACCCTATGTGTGATCTCCGCCGTCGGTGGCTTCGGGGTCTCCCCCTCAATATTCACAATAAACTCCCGATTATTCCGCACAGTATTGACCTTGATATTCCTGTTCGCCTTATCTCCCAGGTGCGGTGCGGCTTCACGGGATGGAGCCGCTGCAGCACGGTCATGCTCATGTCGCGTGCCCTTCTGTTCTTGTGGCGACTTAAATGGGATTGGCGGTTCATGGACGGGAGCGGCCGTCGTGCGAACGACATCAGATTTCATTTGAGAGCGGTTATGGTTCTTGGCCTTTGGCGGTTCGGGTTGAGCATGAACTTCTGTTGCTATGGGCTCAGCTTCGCCCTTAGCATCCGCATGATGCCCATCGACCTCCGGTGTAGGGATAGGTTCTTCATCCTCCCGAATCAAGTCAAGTGCAGCATTCCGAACCTTCTGCACAATCGAATCTGCTGCATCGGCTTTCTTCTCCGTGCTGATTTGCGACGAAAGAGGAGGGACACTCCCCTGATGTAAATCAGAGGTAGCTGCTTGGTCGGTGAGTAGTGTAAGTGAGGGCGGTGTCGGTTCTGTAGCGGCGGACCCGGAACTAGCCTGGGCTCGAGGGAAAGTGTCATCCTCTTCAGGTTTGCTTTCATGAGGCTGCGTCTGTAGAATACTCTGAGCAGTGTCTATCACATCTGGGACAGTCGGCAGCTCTTTATTGGTAGACTGGGGCTTTCTGACCTTCTGGACTGAGTTTGATACAACCGTCTGTACAGCAGATGGTGTTGTAGGCACTACATCGGGTTCGATGTTGGTCGCGTGGTCTTCCGCCGCTGTTGGAACGCCAGTTCCTTCAATGAGCTCACCAATTTGAGCCTCGATCTGTGCACTGTTTGATACAGAGCGCGTGTCTGCGCCTGAGGTCCCCTGGTCAGCAGCAGACGTCGAGCGAGCTTGCTCTCTCGGGCTGCCCGGCGTGTGTTCCGCTTCCAAATTAATGACCGGTATGGATGTAGGAGAAACCTGAGGGGTTACCAAGTGACCTCGTTCGGAAGCCGCATCTTCATTACCTGAAGGGGTCGCCTCCGTCTTCTCAGGTTGCTGAGGCAAATTGGTGGCGACAGATTCCTCCGTGGCCCCACTTGAACTCAGCGAAAAGAAGGCCGATAACTTCTTGATGAAGGAAAAGGATCGAGGTTGTGCCTGATCAGCATTGGCTGGTGGAACGTGTGCCCTCTCGTCCTTCTTCAATGCATCTTCACTCTTGGCAGTTTTGGACGAGTGGTCGCTCTCTGACGCGATTTCAACAGGACGAGGTGGTGGGAAGAACGCCGCCAGTTTATCTTGGTTCGAGTCTTTTTGAGGACGCGAGTTCCGAACGCCAGGCGACATTAGCATCGCAGCATATCTAGGCGTAGCCTTCGCTCCTGAAGACGTTTCCGGTGCGCGACCTGCCGCGGCTATTGCCTTGGGGTTCTTGTGCAACGCAGACTTGAATGCAGCCGATATATCCACAGCCGCCGGCGGAGCCTCTGCAGCAGGCCTCTGGTCAGCCCGAGGCGGCGCAGGTACAGACTGCGGTACCTCTGCAGCGCGCTTCTGCCCATCCTTTTTCCCCGCGGGCCCCTCGCTTCCACCCCTTTCATACTTCGCGTCTCCGAACGACCAGGCCTTGCCCCAGTGTATGGAACGGCGGAGAGGACGGACGCTGTTCCGATTCGGGAGATGGTGACTCGCTGCCGAGAAGATACCCGCGTTCAACACTCGTAGCGTGCTGCCACTTCCAGCTTGCATCGCCCCGCGGCGAAGCTGCTGAGATTGTTGGCAAGACAGTGGCAGCGGTGGGTTGGTATGCTCAATGCATGAGACAGAGCAAGACGCAACATTTGCACGGGCGCCCGCCGCGGCGGCGGAGACGACCACACGCGCACACAAGTTACCACATAACGTTCCATCACTCGCATCTGAATCTGAATACATATGCATAACAGCCATAAACCGCTGCCCCAGATATTCACCGTACAATCTCAACCGACCAATGCATGGAAATTCATAGATCATAAACCATATACTACTATATTAATATCGTCCAATTTCGAGCGTCCGCGAGATCCTGCACATATGCCTCCAGCAATAACCCAAGTTTATAAAGTAGCAGTCACTTTCTTCGTCGGCAAGTTTTTGGGTCAGTTGGAACCCTCTGGCTTTGACATGTATACAAGCGCAACCGCAGCAGTCTTGTTGGGAGATGTAGCCCAGCTAAATTCCCAACGTGATTGGCAAGGACAGGAGGAGCCGGCTGAGGCCGCGCAGTAAGGCAGGCAACGGTGAGCTCTTGCAGGTCCGCGCAGGGTGCTAACGCGATAGATGGGAGGCAAAGAGCACTCCCAGCGGCATAGGCTATCCTGGATCTTAACCGCGGGCGTCTTTGCAGGAGACAGTATATCAACAGCTGTAAAGCCGACTTGAACGCATACATGCTGTAGGCACCTCGCAAATATCAGGAGTTCTTTTACAATCTGATTTCGGGACCTTGCCCAGGACGATGTGGTGATTCTCGAATGAGTATCCTTGCAGCTTTCAAGGGTGAGATGAAACGCCCCATGAACGAGGAAACCTCCAGTCGGTGATTGCCAATCATAGGCGGCATTCCCCTCATGTTCAGAGCTTTGAGAACGAGCTCATAGCTTCTAAAGCGGATCAATGCGTAGCGAGAAGAATCGTTTTTGTCCAGGGGATCTGCGAGGGCGTTGGTGAACGACTGGACCAAGTATCGATGCGCGATATGACCACTCACATATCCTGATCTCGCTGGCTTCTGAGAAAATTGATTCCAATTTCGGCACGGTCGCTGTCGGCGGCAGATCCATAATATACACCCAGTTTTTCAAGGCGGAGCTCCTCGTGAACCACCCGTCCCGAGCGAAGCGAAGAGTCTTGTCTCCTAGGACGACGGGGTCGCTGACGCACATATCCCAGAAGTTCTCGCATTCCTCCTCGTATGTGAAACGGATGCTCGCTCTTGTCCCCACTGGTTCGTGATAAGAACGCAGCTTCGCATGTGAAGCCTGTTCACTCACCAAGTCTGGTGGTAATCGCGCCGTGCGCCTCGAAGAGCTCTCTCACCTCCTGCGCGGCGGCGCCTTCGGGAAGGTTGTACACCTTGAGTACCTTGCCGTTCACCTCTCGCGGAGGGCACTCGACGAAGTACGGGGAGATGGGACTGCCGTGCACCTTGATCGGCGTGAAAGTGCTCATACGCTCTATGCGTTGGGCGACCTCGGTCCTCTTGAACATGATAGCAGCGGCACCCTTGGGCTCGCCAGAGTCGCTCCGTTCTAGAAAGGAGATGAGCACAAGACAACTATAGGATCAAACAATATGCACCTAGCCACACGCCATCTACCTTTGCGAATGGAGCAAACGCATCGGCGACGTCCTCCTCACAAAACGAAGTCGGGAGACCTATCACATAAAGCATTCCGAACGGCCCATTGTTCGAGGCTTGCTCTTCTGCCTCCGACTCCGAGATGCTTGCAGCATATTCATCGTCCTCGTCTACCTCTGCGAGCGAATACTCTTCATGAGGTTGAGCGGACAGTTTAGGTGGAGGTGTCTTTGTGAGCTTCCCAATTCTGACATTCGAGCTCATTCGGCGGACAGAAGCGATATGAAGTGAGAGAGAAGCACCAGATGATCGTACTGCACGTCCTATGATTGGGAGAACATAAGCTCTGGAAGCTCCAGATTGCAGTATCCGCCCTGCTTGCATCATTTCACGGAAAGACAGTCGAAATCTTCAAGAACTAAGTCACAGTGACGAGCCGGAGATGCGAGAACTCGAGATTACGGTGGCCAAAAGCACTAAACAATTGTTGCTCTCGTCCGACCACTCCTTCCCTCGCAGAATCCGTCCGACGCGATGATGGGTGGAGAAGATGCAGTAATCAACGATTGATATCCCGACCTCGTCACTCCTCGATGTCCTATTTCTCTTTGCGTCAACTCCAGTACGTTGTCACTTCGTTGGTAGCTGCAGCGGTTGGTGCAAGCAACAGTTGCTCGAAGGAAGAGGGAGAGAGGGCACAGATACTTCGTTTGTTCGCCGCGACTTGTAAAAGGCGCCCGGCCGCTTGATTAAATATGGATCCTTAGTCACTAGACGCCTATGCTGTTTCCGTATCATATATATATATATATTTTTGAGTACAATTTATATCCCGCCCCGAAGGGGCGGTCGGAGGTGTGTAAATACATATCGTGTAACAACGGAGGACCAGACGCATCTGGGGGCGAAGAAGCTTAACGTACGGACACCAGGTCCCCACGGATGCAACAGAGCAGGCGTATAGTAGAAGGGCACGAAGCCCGGTAAGCTGTGTCATGGACCACGCAAGCGCCGATAACCTAACAAAATGCATATGCCTGACCAAACTCGAAAAACCGCGCCGCAGTCAGTCCGTTGACTCGTTAGAAACACTGTGTAAGGGGAATCGAACCCCCAAGATACTCCCACCAAACAGACCTCATTCACCGCAGTCCGTATCATATATGCACGCACGCATGTCACTCAATGGTTTTGCTCATTCCGTCAATTGTATCAGGCATCAAGTCCCTTTTCTTGGTGAAGAGGTTTCCGCTACATAAGTTATGCGAGTTCACTGGAAGGCTCATACTATATGTTGGGTAGATCCTCACTGACAATCTACCCAACGTATAGCGAAAATGCTGTATGCATCGGCCTCGGCAGCTTCAGTATGGATGGAGGCTAGTATACATCTTCACGGAACACCGCGTACGCTCAAGATCGCACACTTCAAGAGACATGTTCAATCCGTTTTTGATGAAAAAATCAAACGTCCTGCATAGCCTATGAGCGCACTGCGGTCGTGGCTGTCTCAATATACTCAAAGTCCCTGAGCCCTGCACGCTCTCTGATTGTGAGTCCTTTCCTTTATCTCATCGCGAGCGTGCGGTGAACTGGACGCAGGAGCCAGCTAGAACGAGGTGCTCTGGTGCAGCGTCTCACTAGCCATCGTACTGTGGGGAAAGCGCTTGCACGGCTCGACGTCGCGTGTCAGGGCGAGGAGCTGAGGTCGGTAACGCTTGCAGGCCTACGTTTTGATGGTACTCAGGGTGTGTGCGAACGACGCAACACGGTAGAAGAAGCTAGAGCGTTTCATGCAGAACGGCGTTCGCGCAGATAAGGGCGAGGTCGGAGAATGCGAGTGTGGAGGGGTCGGTCGCACACCGTCGTCGGTAGGCTGGACAGCTCAGGCGCTCCAGGATTGAGCAACCTGTTGAGTGGACCGGCGGGGGGGGGGGGGGGGGGGGGGGGGGGGGGGGGGGGGGGTATGTGTAGCAGTGAATGTGGACAAGTGGAGGAGCTGGAGACACGGAACAGAGAGCGAATGCAGCGGAGCCAGCGATCAAACACGGGACACAACAATTCAATCGCGTGAACATCGATGCGAGCGCCATTCGCTCACCTATCGTTGCTCCGAGTGTTTTTCCATGGTCATTTTACTGATCCGCCGGCTACCGAGGGAGTGCGCATTATGCAGCGGATTATGGATGGCTCTTACACATCCCTACAGCTCATCAATCGTAGCCTCCAACGGGACGTCCACCTACAGCCGTCCGATCTGCTTTACTTCCCCGGCCGCAAGTGTGTCCTGGTTTCGACGCAAAATAGCCCCAATTGTTCGTCGATCTCTACCCATACTACCCATACTTCCCACACTCGCCTCTGTGTTCCATTCTCAGTCCCGGCGTACAGTCGCTTGTGACCGCATTTTGGATGTTTGAGACTAGCTGCAGGAGCGTGTTAGCCGAGGACAAGCAGCTGTTCTGCCTCCCGATGCACGGTCTCCGACATTCTCTTCCGGAAGTTCTCTCCCGTCATCTCTCCTCTCCGTGAGCTCCCTGAGCACCTCAATGACCTCGATTCTGGCGTTGTTTCCTCCATCGGTGAGTTTAGTGTTGGATCTGCAAGAGAGGACCTGCACCCAGCAGCTAGATGCGAGATCGCTTACATTTGACCCGCAGACAAAGTACCACAAATGATTCTCGCCGCTGCCCGCCGCTCATCGCTTTCCCGCACATCAAGCATGATTTGGAGTAGGTTGTGTGGTCCTCCGTCTTTTGCCTGCAGGTTCAGCTACAGAATTGCTTGAATAGACGCATTTATTTGATATCTCATCGAGAAACTTCATAAAATCAACATGACGCCATGGCAGCTACAGACCATGGGCTCGTGTGGCTGTAAACCCTCCGAGTCACAAAGTGACACCGTAAAAATTGCTCCAACTGACTAAGTTGCTCTGATTCTGTGAGTCTGAGACACCGAAATGGTGAAGCCTTCCGAGCAATTTTTGCAGATATCAGTCGCCTCTACGATGTCCATTGAAACAGCATAGAACATTGCGCTGAGTTTGACAGGGTGCAAAGCCGTGTTTAAAGAACGTTCTGGTTAGGTATCGCTAATGAGCTCGGATTGATTAGATATCCGGAAGTTTATCTTACATTATGTCTCGAGTTCTGAGACGTTGCACGCGCACGCTTTCGAGTGGCCCAAATCCGATCGGGTCTGGCGGCCCGGGATACACAAGCGCCTACATCGGGACAATTAGGCGCGCAGCTCATGTAACCTCCCTCCACACCGCTTCCTAAGCTGAGCGGTTGCTTGCGAGGTTAGGAAGAGTGAGTTGGGCAGTGTAAAGTACTACGACGGTGTGTGGGGGGAGAGGTCTCGGCC